TAGGCTCAGGACAGGTGAGGGTCACATGCCTCATCAAGCTGAAATAAAAAATTTAAGGTCTTATATATATAATAAATGTTCATAAATGTACCAACCAAGCACATACATAGATATGTGGACCACAAGTCTGGAGCAGCACAGGAAGACCATCCTGAAACCATTTTGACTCCCAAACTGACCAAACGTTTTGTCTGCAAGGAGGGAGGGGGTGAGGGAACCTTCACATTGTCTCAGGAATTGGGAAATCACCATCTCAAAGGAAATGCCAGACTACCAGGAAAGGCAATCAGATAAGGCATTATCAGATAACCTGGCAGACAGGATAAACAACAACATTCAAATTTCTGTTGAGGACCGCCTTTTCTGTGATGTAGGTATGATGTTTGTGGGGGGTGGTCTTGGGTTACACCCCTTCTGTGATGTATGTATGATGTATGGAGGGGTGGTCTGGAGCTCCAGGGCAGGGAATTTAAAATGTCTATATAAGGGCAGGCACACCTTGGTTCTGGGTCCTCCTCCATCCTCTTGTGTGTGAGGGGAGCACCCGGTTGCAACAGTTCAATAAAGATCAGGCTTACTAGCTGCTTTGCTTCTCAATATTCTCTGGTTGGCCTCAGTTGTTTTCTCCTACCGATGGAGAACCTACAACGGACTCTATAAAGGGCTCTTGTATACCCCATAAGGGAATAAGGGCAGATTTTGTTTATTACAGAGCCCAGGTGCATGCTGGTACAAAAGCCAAGCAGAGCTGAGATGCTGTGTCTGCTCAACTGCACTTGTTGATGGATCTTGACTTGGATGTTCCTGGACCTTCACGGGACTGTGCTTTGGGTTTGACTCCACACTGAATCCTGACTGCTGGACTTCAGACTTGGCTACTTGGATTGGCCCTGACCCTCATTTCCTGGACTTGGGACTTTGCTTGTGTGGATCACGCTGCCCTCCACTTTGAACTTGGCATACTGACTTGCTGCCAAGTAGGCCAGGGGTTCAGGACACTGTATAAATTTTACTAAAGTAAATAAAAATAAATGAACTTCTATGTTCTGTTTTCAGACTGCACAGCCCCATGATTCCACTGAGCAGGGCAATAAATAAATAAATTTGAAATGAAAAACATTTTGTACTAGCGCATCATGAGTAGAGTGTGGCCATCAGATTTTAATCTTTATCTGGCCTTCAAGCATTTGATCTTAATTCCCCCAACTGCACAACCTTCAGTGCTTGAGTTCTGGAAGTTGTCTTTGTTCGCTGTACACTTTGCTTGATTTCTGCTAGGCTTGCTCTGTCAGATGGAAACAGACTTTTCTCTGAGATTCCGAAAGAGCTGCAGAATTATAAAGCAAAGGAACAGGGAATGTAGAAATAATCCAGAGAATTCCCACATATTGCAACATCTGTGCAATTCAAGTGTCATCCAGGAAAGCTTTACAGTCACTGCCAAATACTTAAACACTCTGATTTACCAAGAGGAATGTTCTGAGACGGTGGTGCCATTGGGAACGGCTTTGGGGCAGACATCCAAGGACCCAAATTCAGCCGGGCTGCCTGGTCACATATTGAAGTAAGCAAAAGAAGGCATGTAAGCCCCCACCCTGTGCAAAAAAACATTGTTATTATTATTATTATTTCATATACCACCCTTTATCTGAATTTTTTTGGGGGGTTCACAAGATAAGAATACAGGAAAGAAGCACAAAATAATAGTTAAAACAATAAAATACCCCCGACACATTTAAAAGCCAATAGAATATTAATCAGGAAAAAGCCTGGTTGAAGAGAAAGGTTTTCAGCTGCAATGCGCGCTATGTGGGGCTACCTTTGAAGGTGACCCGGAAACTGCAATTAATCCAGAATGCGGCAGCTAGAGTGGTGACTGGGAGCGGCCGTCGAGACCACATAACACCGGTCCTGTGCGATCTGCATTGGCTCCCAGTTCGTTTCCAAGCACAATTCAAAGGGTTGGTGCTGACCTTTAAAGCCCTAAACAGCCTCGGTCCTGTGTACCTGAAGGAGCATCTCCACCCCCATCGTTCAGCCCCGGACACTGAGATCCAGCACCGAGGGACTTCTGGCGGTTCCCTCACTGTGAGAGGCCAAGTTACAGGGAACCAGGCAGAGGGCCTTCTCAGTAGTGGCACCCGCCCTCCCTTCAGATGTGAAGGAAATAAGCAGCTATCTTCTCTTTAAATGACATCTGAAGGCAGCCCTGTTTAGGGAAGTTTTTAATATTTAATGCTGTATTGTTTTTAACACTCGATTGGAAGCCGCCCAGAGGGGCTGGGGAAACTCAGCCAGATGGGCGGGGTATAAATAAATTACTATTATTATTATTATTATTATTTTCGCCTGGCACCTAAAGGTGCATAATGAAGGTGCCAGATGAACTTTCCTGGGGAGGGCATTCCACAAACGGGGAGCCTCTGTTCTCATGTTGACACCTTCTGGACCTCTCGTGGCCTCCTTGCCTCTTAGCACCCCCCAGTAATTCCCACCCCCAAAGGGCGCCATCACCAACTTTGGGAGCCATCAATCAAGCCTGATGAAGAGCTCCAGAGGCTGGAAGCTTGCCCAATACTTTATCACTTTGCCACACAGTTCTGAAGAGTTATTGGTAACTGAAGTGCTGGGAAATTCTGGGTGACCTCAGGCCCAGTTCTGAACGCAGTTCTGAGAAGTTAAAGGCGGCCTCTGGCCCAGAAGCCAAATGCAGGACTTTTGCCTAACTGAAGTATTCCTTGAACTGTGAACATGTTTGGGGGATGGATAGCTGGGTGTTTGTAGAAACTTCTGAATTCTCCATCATTTCCATTGTGTTTCAGAGTGTTTTCGCCAGCTGTTCACATGAACATGGCTTAATTAGCACCAGAGTCATTTCTGTTTGTGTACATACCAGGGGTGGGAATATTTTTTACCCCATGCAAAGGTGTTCACACTTTGCTTGGAGCCAAGCTAGGAAGGGCTTCCCAGGGTGTGACGTTTGTTTGAGAAAAGAGCACATCAAATGATAGCATTTCACAACTAAGCATAGGATGCATTTGCATTTTGGATGGAAGGTGAATATGCAGTTAAAACCCCGAACAATGCAGTGAATGCCAATCAAAATGACCAAAGGGATGGAGTAACTCAGTTCCCACACTGGGAGCTTTCACGTTTTGAGAAAAGGCGAGTAAGCAGCAGCACGATAAAACTTTATAAAATTGGGCAAGGCATGAAGAAAGCGGGGAAAAGTTCCCCCGACCCCTCTCATAACACTGACCCAAATGAAGCGAAATGCCAGAAGATTCAGGACAGACAAGAGTAAGCATTTATTGAAGCTCTGTCACAAGAGACTAGGGCCCTGCGGAACTTGACATCTTTCCGCAGGGCCTGCAAGACAGAGCTGTTCCTCCTGGCCTTTGGTTTGGACTCAGTCTGACCCTTATGTTTCCCTCCCCTTATGGTTTTGACTTTTAAAATGAGGCTGCATTTTAAATTGCATTTTAACCTGTATTTATACTGGGGGTTTTTTCCTTTTTCTTTTTTTCCTTATTATGTTTTTACTGAAATTTTATTGATGTTAGCTGGCCTGAGCATGGCTCTGGCTGGGGAGGGCAGGGTATAAATAAAATTTATTATTTTTAATTATTATTATTATTAAGCACTGCATTGTTGGAACCATGGAACTCCCACCCCATAGGAGCCAATTTCTAGGGGCAGAGGTCCCTTCAGCCCTCCAGTAAAATACTTGAGGGGTCTGCCCCCCCCCCCGTTGATGGGCATTGCCGTTCAGATGGTGTGTGTGCCATGTCATGTCATTTTATTGAATATTGTATTGAGTTGGCACCCCTGATCCCTCCCCAGGAGGCAGTGATGTTCACCAACTTTGATGGCTTAAAGCAGTGCTTTTCTTCTAGGGGGAAAATGGTGCTGGTACTGCGTACCCTTGAATGCCCCCAGAAAAAAAAGGCACTGACTTTAAGACAGGATTAGACAAATTCATGGCGGGCAAAGCGATCAATGGCCAAAAGCCACAATGCTTCCACTCCTGTCAGAGACATCATCCAGGGTGCAGGCTTCCCACGGGAGAACAGGATGCTGGACTGGAAGGGTAATGAATGGGCCCTGATCCAGCAAGGTTCTTCTTCTTGCTATGTCCTTTGTGCGAGCACAGCCTTCTTCGTTTCCTTGGGACCTTAATTCTGGGCAAGTCAGAATGTTGTTGTTTAGTTGTTTAGTCGTGTTAGTCTTCGTGACCCCATGGACCAGAGCACGCCAGGCACTCCTGTCTTCCACTGCCTCCCGCAGTTTGGTCAAACTCATGCTGGTCGCTTCTATAACACTGTCCAATCATCTCGTGCTCTGTCGTTGCCTTCTCCTTGTGCCCTCCATCTTTCCCAACATCAGGGTCTTTTCCAGGGAGTCTTCTCTTCTCATGAGGTGGCCAAAGTATTGGAGCCACAGCTTCAGGATCTGTCCTTCCAGTGAGCACTCAGGGCTGATTTCCTTCAGAATGGATCGGTTTGATCTTCTTGCAGTCCATGGGACTCTCAAGAGTCTCCTCCAGCATCATAATTCAAAAGCATCAATTCTTCGGTGACCAGCCTTCTTTATGGTCCAGCTCTCACTTCCATACATCACTACTGGGAAAACCATAGCTTTAACTATACGGACCTTTGTTGGCAAGGTGATGTCTCTGCTTTTTGACTTGGGCGAGTCAGAATAAAGGATGGTTTTCCTCTCCTTTCCTTGCACCGCTTGCGCTCGGCCCCTAGGTGTCTCTGCGCGCGGCTCGGCGCCAGCAGCGCCCCAAATGAAAACAATCGCAAGGACACGAGGGCTCGCAGGGGACGGAAGAGCCTGGACTTCCTCTGCTGGCTCTCCCCTCTGATTGGCTTGTGAAGGTTATGAAACCCTTGAATGGGCGCTGCGAGCAAACTTTGCCGCAAAAAAGTCACCCCTTCGCGAAAGGAGCCGGAGAGGCGAGGCTGCGCGCTCGAGCATCCCCACCGCCCGTCACCATGAAGTCCGCCGCGGTGCTCTTGGCTGGGCTGCTGGCTCTGACTGCCTATTATGTCTACTTGCCGTTGCCCAACACCGTCTCGGAGCCGTGGCGGCTGATGCTGCTGGATGCTTCGTTCAGGGTGGCTCAGCAATCGGTAAGGCGGGGGACCCCCCCGGCACCTCCTTTCTTCCCAAGCTAAACCCCTCTGTACCCCCTCCATCTCTCTCTCCCACCGCCACCACCTTGGGTTAGGAAGATAACGGCAAGCGCCGCGCGGAGCGCATTGGCGATCGTCCCCGTCGGATCTCCGCGATCGCTTGAAGCAAAAATAACCGCTTCAGGGTCTAGATAGGCGGGGATCTTCTGCCTCTTTTGGGGGGTGGCTTTGAAAGCATCTCTCAAGCGGATGTCGGCGGCGATGCTCAGCTCGCGCCGCGGTGCTGCAGTGAGAGCCGCGGGGCGCGCACCTAGGCGTGTGTTTGCTGTGCGTAATGGAGAAATCGGCGCTTTCCTTCCGTTTCTTTCCTCCTTCGCCGGCGACGTTTCAGCGTATCTCTTTTCTAAAAATGGGGGTGGTGGGCGCTTCCTCCTCCCACCCACCCCCTTTTGCACAAGGTTAGCGAAAAGGGAACCGCGGGGGACGGCCAGCCTTTAAAATACAGCAAAGCAGCCGTTTCAGCGCCGGGCAAACTGGGCTCTCTCGCCTGACGCAGCAGATCGCGCTTGGTTCGTTCCGCTTTTCCAGCCTCCTCTCTCGCGGTCCCACCCCAGGCGCCCTTTTACGATCCACTGCGGCTCATGCCTCGTGGGAAGGGCATTGGAGGCGCTGCTCTGAACTGTTAATATTATTTATTACATTTGTAGACCGCCCTTGCTCCGAAGATCACAGGGCGGTGAACAGCGTGAAAATACAAAACGTGAACGCAAAATACATAACGAAACAAACAAAATAAAAGCATTAACCCGCCCCAGTCTTCTTTCATGTAATCCAGGACAGAACTTGTGGCCCTCGGGATAGGAAGGCCTTGAGAGCTTCTAAAGGTCCTGGGTTCAATCCCAGGCAGCTTCTGGTAGGGCTGGGACATACTCCCTTGTCTGAAACCCTGGAGAGCAGCTGCCAGTCAGTGTAGACAATATGTGCTTTATTTTTCTTACTTTTTAAAATATCCATTCTTTCCTTCAAGGGGCTTTAGGTGGTGTAGTTGTTCTCCCCCTCTCCATCTTATCCTCAACAACAACAACAACCCTGTGAGGTAGGTTAGGCTGAGAGTTGACGCCTGGCTCAAAGTCACCCAGGGAGCTTCACAGTCAAGTGGGAATTTGAATCTTAAGAACATCTGGGGTGGGCAAAGGGGCTCCCACCCCTGCTGTAGTTCCTCTACGATGGGCATGTTTAGAAATGACCTCCTGATTGTTAGGAATGGGAGACCCTTTCTGACATGCATGTGCATTTTCTAAAGGGGATTTAAGGTGTCTTGCCTTGTTCAGCTGCAAAAAAAATTTCTTCGTTGTATTCCTGAGTTGCCCCATAGCCAGGTGTCTCTGTGCAATAAAAAGCATGTATTAAAAACATTTTAAAAACCCAATGCCCAAATTGCAAAGAGCTCAAAACACCTAACTGGCACTATCATATCGCCCAGCCTTCTCCAATCTGATGTCCTTCAGGTTTTTAAGCTGCAATTCCTATCAGTCCCAGGCAGCATGTTCTTTAAAAATGTAAAAAGCTTGAGATAAGGAAGAGGCGTTTGTCTGATGCTGGAAAATACATTTACACAAGTGCTATGCAAGCCTCTTTGGGGTGAGTAGTCTACAATTGCAGGGGTAACAGGACAGTGCCAGAAATGCCCCCTGTCTTGTGTCTACCCTCCATACTTCAGCTTCAGGGTGTACGCAGAGCAGGGCCGTCTTACCATAGGCGCTAGGGGTGCTGGGCGCCGGGCTGTAAGGGGCGCCAGGCCAAGAGTCCAGGGCCCGAGAGTTGAGTCCAGGGAAGAGCCCACCAGTCAGTCGGATCACCACGGCAGGCTCTTCTGCTGCGGGTGTCTCTGTACCACAAGTTCAGGGGCAACCAAGCCAGAGAGGCACTGAGGCGGCTGGCCAGCTCTGCCCTCCTGCGCACCTGTGACTGGGCAACCGGGGGGGGGGCGCCGGGCAGATCTTTGCACCCCAACGCTGCATATGCTTAAGACAGCCCTGAAACAGAGTATACACCTAGGGCAGCGTCTGTAAAGGTAAAGGGACCCCTGACCATTAGGTCCAGTCGTGACCGACTCTGGGGTTGCGGCGCTCATCTCGCTTTATTGGCCGAGGGAGCCGGCGTACAGCTTCCGGGTCATGTGGCCAGCATGACTAAGCCACTTCTGGCGAACCAGAGCAGCGCACGGAAACGCCGTTTACCTTCCCACCGGAGCGGTACCTATTTATCTACTTGCACTTTGACGTGCTTTCGAACTGCTAGGTTGGCAGGAGCAGGGACCGAGCAACGGGAGCTCACCCCGTCGTGGGGATTCGAACCAGTGACCTTCTGATCGGCAAGCCCTAAGCTCTGTGGTTTAACCCACAGCGCCACCAGCATCCCTAGGGCAGCGTCTGTAGATCTTCCTTATCACCTGGTTTCCCTATCTGAAGCATCTTTTCCTTCCAGACATACTCTAGTAAACTATGTTGGTTTGAGAGGCCTTCCTTCCAAATGGCATTGCCATTTATTTGTTTATTTGAAATATTTCCCTGCACTGCTGCCTAGCCCAAGCTCCCAGGTGACCCACAAACCCAGAAATCCAAGACAAAGCAATGAAACCCTTTGACAGATAACAAACACATTTTGCATCTCGTCTGGTCTGCTTGAAAAAAGGATGTCAGTTGGTGGTGTTCACGTTTAAAATATGTGCCCTTTGTAGTTTTTAAGCTGTGCTCCAGGGAATGCTGGGGGTGGGGTCTGGAAGCTGATCAGAGATCCCTTGGTGCAAAGATGAGCAATGGCTTAAGAGCTCTGCAACAGACTGCTTTCTCCGCCAGAACTAGACTTCCTGCTCATACAACAGGAAGGGGGAACCTGTGGCCTCACCACTCAAGGCCAACAGCTGTTCTGGCAAGGACTGATGGGAATTGGAGTCTCACAACATGTAGAGGGCCACAAGTGCCCAAGAATAGCATGGTTGTGTGTGTTTTAAAAGATCACACACTCTGTTTATGTGATGCATTGTCTTATATGAAATGAATGTATTTTCTAGCAAACTTTCCCCATGGCACAATCAGGCCAAGACTTAACTTCAGTGTTCCGCTTAGCAATAGGGCACACACACACACACACACACACACACACACCAGCCCTACAATGCAGCCTTGCCATATTCATCTTATTTATTTAATGGAATTTGTAGATTGCTTAATTGTAAAAACCTCTAAGTGGTTTACATGAAATTATTGATAAAAGCCCAAAGTTAAAACAAGCTGGACCAAAACAAAACACAAAACCAAAATAAAACCAGCAGTTAATAAAATAAGATTTTAAAACACATGTCAACTTTACATATCTGGGGAGAGACTTGGCTAAAAAAAAAGGTCTTTTGCAGGTGCTGAAAATAGTACAGCAAAGGAACTTGTTTAATATCAAAGGAGCTGCCACACTGATGGATCAGTCTCTTGGAACTGCAGAATAAACATTTTGTGGCGCTTGTAAAAGTGCCAGTTCTGCAAAGTGAAGTGGTCAATTAGGCATATATGAGGTAAGTTGATCCTTTTAAGTAAACTGGCTTCAAGTACTTAGCAATATGCATTACCATTGAAACAAGACCTGTAGCCATAAGACTATAAAGCGCATAGCCTAACATCACAGAACAGCACCACTGGGCTTCCAGAATCCTCTGCTAGACAGAGAGGTTGCTCACCAGATGTACTGATGCAAAGACAGTTTCATGAAAAAAATAAAAATTTGTAAACCATTGAAATAACCAATGTTGAAGGGTGCATTCGACACCTTTCCTTACCCCGTCCCACCCTTAAACATGGTTGCAGGCGTAGAACTGGTTTGTAAACCTGAAAGGCAGAATTGTTTCCTGCTTGCATTCCTTTGGTGAGGGCAAACAGGTGACCCAGGCTGCTTGACTAGCCTTCTCAATGGCTTAAACTAATAGAAGAAAGCCATTCATATGGCATGAATAAATGCAGGCTGCGCAGAGCGTGGCTGCACCATGTACAATTATTCCCTCCATTTCTGAAGTTCTGGGGTGAGTGTGGATCATGATATAGCCAAATTGGCAACACCCATGCCCAAGGAGGAGATATCTTCAGGCTGGGGAGGGGACTGCCAAGGGAGGAAGCGAGGAATATAAATTTAAATGAATAAATAAATACGAATTGGGGAGGGGGGAACCCGAGAGACTTTCCAGCGAGGACTGGCATGCTCAGTCGACATGGAAAACGGTTGGGAGCAGTGTTAGAAACTGAGATGTGAAAGCTAGGAGCTAAATGGCACCTTAAACCTAGGTTATGGGCACAGCAATGGAATGTCTAGGCACAGAGGGGGAGCGGGTGGCTCTGTGGGCTAAACCTCTTGGCTTGCCAATCCGAAGGTTGGCGGTTCGAATCTCCATGACGGAGTGAGCTCCCGTTGCTCTGTCCCAGCTTCTGCCAACCTAGCAGTCCGAAAGCACACCAGTGCAAGTAGATACATAGGTACCACTGCGGCAGGAAGGTAAATGGCGTTTCTGTGCCCTCTGGCTTCCATCACGGTGCTCTGTTGTGCCAGAAGCAGTTTAGTCATGCTGGCCACATGACCCAGAAAGCTGTCTGTGGACAAATGCCGGCTCCCTCAGCTGGAAAAGCGAGATGAGCGCTGCACTCCATAGTTGCCTTTGACTGGACTTAACCATCCAGGGGTCCTTTACCTAGGTGCAATTTTTTAATAACAAGGATACAAAGCTGAAAATGAATGAGCTGCAGCTAAAATATTACGTTCGTTTTTCACCTGGTCTAGTCCTTCCCCTGCCCACCCCCCTAATATTCTTAAGAGGGTCTCTTCTCCAGTCTTCAAGAGAGTAGCTGGAGGTGGGGAGGCAGAAAAAGGCCCTCCTTTCCTTCTACTCTGCAGCTTTAATGTGAGATCTTAGGCACAGCACTGCGCCCAGAGCTCAGAATCTGCTCATGCTAATGAAATCCCCTGTTGCAAAATGCGCCTAGAACAATGAGGGTTTTGAACACTGGTTGGGAGAAAGAAAGGACAATGGAAAGGGGGGAATGAAATGGGGTGTCATGAAAAAGTGTGAGTCTGGTTGGCTGAATAGAATCACTCCCAAATGCAGTATTTTGTTATAGGCGTTGCTTCCATGCATCAATAGCCATTAATAGAGTTATCCTCCCGTGAATTTCTCTAGTCCTCTTATTAGCTACTATAATTATGCTTTGTTTATCAGGTATGTACACTGTCATTTGCTTACTCTTCTGCGGTAAGAAAGAACTAGGGCAGGGGTGGAGAAAGTGTGGCCTTCCAGATGTTGCCGAACTATAGTCCCCCTAAGCCCACCAAGCCTGGTCAGTCACCAGGGATGATGGGAGTTCTAGTTCAGTAAGATCTGGAGGGCCAAAGGTTCCCCACACCTGGACCTAGGGGAAGGGCCATAGCTCAGCAGTAGAGGGAATGCTTTGCATACAAAAGATCCCTGGTTCAGTCCACGGTCTCTCCAAGTAGGACTGGAGAGACTTCTGTTGGAAACTCTTAGAGAGCTGCTGCCAGTCAGTGCAGGATATACTGAGCTGCATGGGCAAATGCTCTGACTTGGTGGAGGTGCATGCATGCATACGCACCCTCCCGTGAACCATGCTTTTGTTGCACTACAAATGACTTAGGTCTGGCCTATAAATATCACAGAATGAGGTAGAATGGACTGCTCCACTTTGGCCTGCAGGTGCAGGAGTCACATTTTAGAATGGACTCCTGTGTTGAAAACCAGCACAACAGGGCTGCAGCCTTTCTCAGCCTTGGGTCCCAGATGTTTTTGGCCTGCAACTCCCATCATCCCTAGCTAGCAAGGCCAGAGCTCAGGGATGATGGGAGTTGTAGTCCAACAACATTTGGGGACCCAAGGTTGAGAAACACTTAGGTTTTTTTTCTTAGGCTTTGCTTATTTTTTTTCCTTCCTTCCTTCCTTTCTTTCTTTTCTATACTACCCTTCATCCAAAGATCACAGTGGCTTTCAATATGAAAGCACCAAAAATACATATCATAATTCTGTGTTTCTCAAACCAGTGTCTCCAGCTTTTGTTGGACTACAGCTCCCATCATCTCTAGCTACCAGGACCAGTGGTTGGGCATGATGGGAGTTGTAGTCCCTCACTGAATTAGACCAAGGGTGCACTGAATCAGCATTGTGACTTCAACTTCGGCTGATGAGAGTCGTCCCCCCCACCCCATGCAGGAAGCTCAGAATCAGGGCATGATTCTGACCTATCCTGGGTCAGAATTTATTGACCTATCCTGACCTCATCTGGCTCGCCTCTTTGGTCCTAGAATTAAACGGATCACAGCATGCAAATTCTTAGCTGCGTTGCCTTCCTAGGTTTCTGACAGCACAAGGCAATTGACTGAGACCAACCAGCAAGAGAAGTCTGGCTGAGGACCCCCAAAGTCCTTTTCGCTGCATCCATGCTGTTATCGAAAACTGGAATAGCGACTTTGCAAGGGCACCTGAAATTTGTTCTGTACCTGCAACTTAATTCCTTCCTGGGACACCTTCAGCCTGATGAGATCTACAACAATAAGCTGCGTCGTCTTTGTTTAGGGAGGTAGCAGCCGTAATCTGCTTTGTTCTGGGATAAGCTGGTGCGGCAGGGGCTTGGGAGCACGTGGATCACCTTGCTTTTGGCTCAGGCGAATTATGTCTAGCATTTGCTATAATGGAGCATGATGGAAGAGGGGTTAAGTCCATTAGGAGAACATCTGGGGATTGGTGGTAAGAGCGCAAGCCTTGCATGCAAAAGGTTCCAGATTCAACCTTTGCCATTTCCAAGTAGGGCTGGAGAGAAGCTCTGTCTGAAACCCTGGAGAGTCGCTCCCAGTTGATGTAACTGCCTCACTGAGGGATCGGGATCCAGATACTGTGCTCACGTATTGCTTGCTGTTATTTCCTTTGCTTTCCTCCCTCTGAAGGCTGTTCTACCCATTAGATTGCGGGTGGGTGGCAAACCTGTCTCAGCCTGAGGGCTGCACTTCCTTCCAGGGCAGTGTGCCACTGGTGAGCAAGGACAGAGGCAGGTTATTTTGGACAATATATTGATATTATCGCCCAGCCCTATCTTGAATATCTCATTTGGAAGGTTTCCAAACCTCCTCCCCCGAACACCCCAAGATAAGACTTTGCAATTATCACCACTTTTGTTGTTAAAACAGCAAACCCTTAGATTACTGGGTGAAAGGGCAGTTTTATCATATGATATATTTCTTGCTTTCGGGTGAATATAAAAAAAACACACACAACCTTTTGCATAATTTGTATGGCTAGACAGTCAGCAGAGCTGGGTAATCTCTGCCCTCAGTCGAACCCCAAAGGGAGAAAGTATTGGGACAAAGGGGAGCAGGCTGCAAGCACATTCAGAAATAGGTGAAAGTTCAGTGGCTGCATTTAAAGAAATATAAAACCATCTGGCACTGTCCAAAGGCAACAGGGAAAGGAGTCGAGCTCTGTAGAACTACTGTTTCAGTTATTAGCAGGCTTTGCCATATGGAAGAGCAACATAAAGAACAGGTTTGAAGTCCATATTGTGATATATGTTTCATAGTTTTTGACCTGGCAATATATCACAAATCATGATGTGTGTTACGGCTGGGTGATATATCACCCTAAACCGGTTTCAGGTCCATATCATATTGGTTTCAAAAAAAATTGACCATTCAATGTATTGTGAATCTTCCTGTGTGTACTAGGCAAAAAACACAATGTGGGGGAAACCGTGAAGCCAGCCAGTGTCTCTATATAGCTCCATCCTTATTTCAGACATTGTGATATATCAGTATACTGTGATGTTTAGCTGGTGATATATAACAATGTTGAAAACCAGATACAGTGGTGCCTCGCAAGACGAATGCCTCGCAAGACAAAAAACTCGCTAGACGAAAGGGTTTTTTGAGCTGCTTCGCAAGACAATTTTCCCTATGGGCTTGCTTCGCAAGACGGAAACGTCTTGCAAGTTTGTTTCCTTTTTCTTAACACCGTTAATACAGTTGCGACTTGACTTCGAGGAGCAACTCATAGAACGCGGTGTGGTAGCCTTTTCTGAGGTTTTTAAAGACTTTGGTGATTTTTGAAGCTTTTCCAAAGCTTTCCCGACACCGTGCTTCGCAGGACGAAAAAAATCGCAAGGCGACAAAACTCGCGGAACGAATTAATTTCGTCTTGCGAGGCACCACTGTATCACCCAGCCCTAAGTATAGGTTGTTTGGATTGTACAAAGTGACAAGTGCCATTTTTCTATTTGAAATATATAAACAAAACTCCTCATGCATAAGCTCCTTAAGGTTTGCACTTATGGGACATGATCCATCAGGAAATTCTCTTGTGCTGGGAAAGTTGTCAGGAGAGTGAGCCCTTGGCATGGTGCAGACATCACAAAAAGCAAAAAGAAAGCTCCACAGGACTGTGAGCATGCAGGCTCCCAGAGAGGAGCTCGCAGCTGCTTTCGCTCCTTCCTGATCCTTCTCAGTGCCGTGCAAAGCTAAACCATGGTTTTGCATAGTGCAGAGGTGGGCAGCTTGTGGTCCTCAGGCTAATAACATGTGGGTAGAAAGTAGGGAAAGAAGTGGCAGAAATAAATGTAAAAGAAGTGCCCTGCCAACATTTGGCTCTGGCCTTTGCAGCTCCCAACAGATTGTTAAAAAGGGAATGTGATCCTTGGGGTTCCCTCCCCGTGATTTATGTTATGTGAATTATCTTTAGGTCTCCTCTCCCCCTCCAGTGCAGCCATGAGAAGATTGGGAGGTTTCGCTTCCATTTTTACCTAACCATAGTTTAGCATTCGGTCTGAACCCAGATAAGCTGTGGTTAGACTTAACTATGATTTGGGCCCTTCAATTTTAGGGAAACAAGGCCACTTCAGTCTGTGGTTAATGAAGTTGGCTTGCTTTCAACAAACTGCAATTGAGCTTAACCACAGTTTAGCGTTTAGATGGAACGCTAAACTGTGGTTAGTTGAACATGGAAGTGAAAGTTTCCAAGGAGAGGCCCAAGGTTTGTTCATGTAATGCTCAGTCATAATTTAGTGTTAAATTGGAACCCAACCATTACCTTATATGAATAATATGGACATTGGACAAAAAATAGGTTTCTTTACTAATATACACAAGTTGCTAGTGTAAATAATTCTAATTTAAATGTTGCCTATGATCCTGTGCATTTGTATTTTGAAACTAGCCCCACCGTTTTCAGTGAAGCTTCCTCTCAAACTACCTATGCATAGATTGCAGTCTTAGTTGATACCATTTTCGATGTCCCATAGAAATCCCTTCCCAGTGTGGCATATTAGGATTTTGCAAATCTGCTGTTGCTTCTTGCTACCAGTGGTGAAGGGATCACACAGTGTTTGTAATGGTGTCTCAAATTCACACTGGGGTTTTAGCAGAGCATTCAGTCAACTGCTTTGCTACATTTCTTTGTTGGTGACTTTGAGAGTGCCAAAGCATTTGTGTGAATGGGCCCTATATTAGAAGAGCAGTCATTTGTGTGCACCCATCGTGTGCTGCTTTTTGAAAAATGCCGCAGTTAGGCAGCCCTTTCGCTTTAATACAACTAGGTTTGCCTTATGACCCTTAATAAGACAAAGGTAAAATGGATGCGGGTGGCGCTGTGGTCTAAACCACTGAGCCTCTTGGGCTTGCCGATCGGAAGATTGGCAGTTCAAATCCCCATGATGGGGTGAGCTCCCGTTGCTCTGTCCCAGCTCCTGCCAACCTAGCAGTTCGAAAGCACACCAGGACAAGTAGAAAAATAGGTACCACTGTGGCAGGAAGGTGAACAGTGTTTCCGTGCAGACTGGTTTCCGTCACGGTGTCCTGTTGCTCCAGAAGCGGTTTAGTCATGCTGGCAACATGACCCGGAAAGCTGTCTGTGGACAAACGCCGTCTCCCTCAGCCTGAAAGTGAGGTGAGTGCTGCAACCCCATACTTGCCTTTGACTGGACTTAACCATCCAGGGGCCCTTTGCCTTTTACCTTATGACCCTTAGTTGTGGTTGGAGGAGTACTTTTTAAAAAAAAGTTTTGCAATTGATTCGTCACTGACGCGTTACAAAATCTCTGCTAAAGGTTCACTTCTCTGTTCCTTTGACATGCCTACTTTAAAAGTCAACAACAAAACATTCAGGCAGTCTGCCATATTTTTGCTCTCAGGCCTTCCTTGAATCATTTTATTGTTTTAGCACTTTGGGCTGTGGGTTTGCTACCCCTGCTTTAGAGCAGGGATGGGAGGAATCTTTGGCTCTCCAGACATTGATGGAGCCAGCTGGGCTGATAGCAAGAGACTGGGAGTTGTAGTTCAGGAACAGCTGGAAGGTCGCAGGTTCCCTTTCCTGGCTTTACAGGCATTGGTAACCTGATCTCATGCTGAGGCAGGAAACATTAACCATGCAATCCTATACGATCAGCTCACAATTAAGTTTCAATGGGACTTACTCCCAGGAAAGCAAGAATAGGATTGCAGCCTTTGTGTTGATGGAGGAAGCAAATCCACCAGCCAAAGAGGGTCATTTGAGCTTCTATTACTTTAGCAATCCTACTACTTTAGAACAAGTAGAAGGGTTCACACGTCAAGACATGTTCTTTGGCAAAGTTAATGTTTACAGGGGTTCTTGCTTCCCTCCATCTTTCAAACACCGTCCCCCCCTTTTTCAGCTTCATTTCTCGTTCTTCTCCTTCTAGTGCAATCTGGTTCATTTCCTGGGACTTGGCCATCATCTGAGAGCCCTGAACTTCTTGATTGGTGCCTTCGACCAGCTGAATCCCCAGTCCTCGGAAGGAGTGAAGATAACAGATACTCAGTTTGACGGCGTGGAGGTCAGAGTGTATGAGCCACTGGCGAAAGGAGGGGCAAAGCTAAGGCGCAGTGTGGTCTACATCCACGGAGGAGGATGGGCTCTGGCAAGTGCAAGTATGTCTTCTGGGTGGCTGCCATGTGCTCTTTCCACTGCATCCTTCCACACACCTGTTTTGTGGTCTCTGGATAAGTTAACAGCAGTTTCCCTGAGGACATCTGAGTGGTTGATGTAGGGTGGAACCAATAGATGCAAAGAGTCCTAAGTTGCAGAGAAAGCTGCCTCATGGCAATAATAATATAGTAATAATTACATATATATATATATATATATATATATATATATATATATATATATCCTGCCCATCTTGGCGGCTTCCAAGAAAAGATTAGGTAAAGGTAAAGGTACCCCTGCCCATACGGGCCAGTCTTGACAGACTCTGGGGTTGTGCGCTCATCTTACTCTATAGGCCGGGAGCCAGCGTAGCCCACGGAATGCCGTTTACCTTCCCGCTGGTAAGCGGTCCCTATTTATCTACTTGCACCCGGGGGTGCTTTCGAACTGCTAGGTTGGCAGGCGCTGGGACCGAACAATGGGAGCGCACCCCCCCCCCCGCGGGGATTCGAACCGCCGACCATGCGATCAGCAAGTCCTAGGCGCTGAGGTTTTATCCACAGCGCCACCCGCGTCCCTAAGAAAAGATTAAAAATCCATTAAAAACTTCCCTAAACGGCTGCCTTCAGGTGTCTTCTAAAAGTCAGATGGTTGTTTTTTTCCCTTGACATCCAATGGAAGGGCATTCCTCAGGGCGGGCGCCACTACCGAGAAGGCCCTCTGTCTGGTTCCCCGCAACCCCACTTCTCGTAGGGAGGGAACTGCCAGAAGGCCCTTGGAGCTGGACCTCAGTGTCCGGGCAGAACGATGGGGGTGGAGATGCTCCTTCAGATATACTGGGCCGAGGCCATTTAGGGCTTTAAAGGTCAGCACCAACACTTTGGCTTGTGCTTGGAAACGTACTGGGAGCCAATGCAGGTCTCTCAGGACCGGTGTTATATGGTCTCCGCGGCCACTCCCAGTCACCAGTCTACCTGCCGCATTCTGGATCAGTTGTAGTGTCTGGGTCACCTTCAAAGGCAGCCCCATGTAGAGTGTATTGCAGTAGTCCAAGTGGGAGATAACCAGAGTCAGGTGACAGTATTGCTTACACTGACTGGCAGCTGTTCTCTGGGGTTTCAGGAAGTGGGGTCCGCTTCCACTGAGTGACAGCCCTTCCCCTATGAATTGGCTCCCATATTACACAGGAAGTTGCCCAGCAATAAGTCAGACCAATGCTCATCCTGCCTCAATACAGAATCATAGAATTGAAGAGTGGGAAGGAACCCCAGCCATCCAACCTCTGCTTAAAAACCTCCCAAGGAAGGAGAGTCCATCACCTTCCAAGGGAGCCTGTTCCACCGCTGAACAACTCTTACCTTCAAAAAGTTCTTCCTTATGTTTAGTCAGAATCACCTTTCTTGTAACTTTTAATCCATTGGTTTGGGTTCTAGCCTCTGGAGTAGGAGAAAAACAAGCTTGCAGTGTCTTCCATTTTGACAGCCCTTTAGATATTTGAATATGGCTACCATATCTCCTCTCAGTCTCCTCTTTTCCAGGCTAAACATACCCAGCTGTTTCAACCATTCCTCATAAGGCTTGGTTTCCAGACCCTTGATCATCTTGGTTGCCTTCCTCTGTAGACGTTCCAGCTTGTCAACATCCTTCTTAAATTTTGGTGCCCAGAACTGGACACGGTATTCTGGGTTGGGTTTCACCAAGGCAGAATAGAGTGGGACTCTGATCTACACATTGACAGTGACTCTCCAACATTTCAGGCAGGGGGCATTCCCAGCCACACCTGGAGATGCGGGGAAACAGCATCTGTGGTTCCCAGTATAGCATCTTTGGGGACCCTGTGGTGTTACTTGCAGACGGATTTTTTTTCTGGAAGCATGTAACACGGAAGCAAGTGCTAAAATTCAGCCAGCAGAGAACGAGACTCTTAATCTCAGGGTCATGGGTTGGAGTCACACATTGGGCAAAGGGATTCTTGCATTTCTGGGTGTTGGAGTAGACCTTGTGGTCCCTTCCAGCTCTACAATTCTATGATTCTGTTATGTATTGAAGTTCTCACCATGGCCAACAGGGGTACTGTGTATGTAGTTTTCACTCAGGTCCACGTCAGTTAATTTAGGCGGGAAACCCTGGGGTGTCGTTGTTACAATGTTGACAGCCGGCTGCCTATAAAAGCAGGCCGGCTGAGCTGTTCAGTTCAGTTTAGTTTCAGCCTACTATAAAGAACCACTTGGAGGAATCTCTGTGTCATCTGCTTTGTCAACCCACTACTTAATAGCTGCTCTGAGCCCGGTCTTGGCTGGGGAGAGCGGGGTATAAATACAAATTTATTATTATTATTATTATTATTATTATTATTATTATTATTATTATTAGATTCAATGGCTTTGTGCATGCAAAGTAGATTCCCTTGCCCTGAGCCTGCAGCCCTTTTCTCGGTCTGTGTCTACAAACATGACTCGTGAATAATGGCAGATCTGTTGCAGCCATTCTTGTGATCGCAGTGGCTGGAAGAAGTGCCACGGGGCCATGGAGATTACTCTAGGCCTTACTTGCGATAAGCTGGTTCGCATCTTCCCAGCTTTAAAGAAGCTTCTCTAAGCTTTCTGTTACAAGCCTGAACTTCAGTTGCACAAAATACAAAAGAACGTCCACGTCTCACAGACGTAAACACTCTGAAGACCATTTGCCTGTCTGGGCACCTATCAAACGCTGTAATCTGCTTCATCACGCCAGGTAGCAGTCATCTCAAAAAGACAGTTTGGTAAATAACTATCTCAAGGTTATAAGTGCAAACAGCATTCCTCTCTGACCATTGGTCATGCTGGCTAGAGGTGGGGTTGCCAAACAACATACAGAAGTCCCTGCTGCCGATTTAAAGGATTAAATCTGGATATATGTGATAGCCCTGTAATTGTCCTGAGTGTTGATTAGTTTTAACGCCTTAGGTGTTTAGTATATTCTTAATTTGCAATCTGCCCTATGACCATTGCATAAAGGGTGGTTTGGACACACCTCATGAAATAACTGGTTGTCTCTCTGATTCCAGGAGGAGGTTACTATAACAATCTTTGCTCAATTATGGCTGAATCTCTGGACGCTGTAGTCGTTTCAATCGAGTGAGTACGGCAAGCATGGGATGAGCTGGTACATCTTGGGTTTCTTTTTTTTAAAAAAAAAATATTAGGTAATTCAACAAAACGTATCTTAAAACATATCATCCTTAATTCCCTCCCCCCCCCATTTCCTCCCTCCCATAAAACAACCCCGCCCGCCCCCCAACTTCCCTCAGTTCAAATTTCTGGTTTCTCTATAAATGCTGTTCTCTGAATTGTATAAGTCCTTAATTGATCTAAGTGATTATTATCAGTAAAAAGTTTGTGAGTGTTTATTCAAAGCCTGCCAAGGAGTCCAATTCACTTTGTTGCATCTTTAGATACTTTGTAAAAGGTTCCCATTCCTCTTTAAAGTCACAGTTATCCTTGTCCCGTAGTTTATGTGTCAATTTTGCCAATTCTGCATAGTCCATCAGTTTCTCTTGCCATAATTCTTTAGTCGGGATTTCCTCAGTCTTCCATCCTTGTGCTATTAAGACTCTTGCTGCTGTCATCGCATACATGAAGATATTTTTCAACTTCTTTGGCAGGTCTTTTCCTGCCAAATCCCTAACAGAAATGCTTCAGGTTTTTTAACAAATGTTAGATTGGAACATTTTCTTCAATTCATTGTAGTACATCTTGGGTTTCAATGCAATGTGGATGGTTTGGAAAGGCTTTGTGGTTAAGACTAGCAAAACACAGTAGTTGCTCATGTTGATGATGTCAGCAGGTCGAGAGGAGCAGGTATTCTAGCTTCCTGGCAGGTGGGTTGCTGTTACTGCCCCCCAAAAAATATACCAGCAAAGCCAATCCAGCAATCCTGCCATTGAGTTTTGACCATGCCACCACCCACCCCAAGTAAACAACAGCGAAACACCTTTCAGGAAACTAGCACAGCCACACTGCCCTACCTGGGAAGCCACCTCCGCATTTAGGATAACATTGCAATTATACATGCATTCACGCTTATAGTTTTTAGTGAGGAATCTGATAAAGGAACTAGCCTTGCTGTCTGCCAATTTCCAAACACATTCCAAACATTGGCGATCACTCATGGCCCAGTCAGATGCTCTTCCAAACACAATATGTTGCCTCTGTGTTATTATGAATGGTTCTACTCAGAAGCTAAGTGCCACTGTGGGGAATACTGCCAGTTCAGGTTAAGTGTGTCTGGGATTGCAGCCCGAGTGAAGGACCACATTAATTCACCTGGATCGTCAGTGCTTTACAGGTATAAAAAGCATGTGGTAGAAAATGCAAGATGTCTGCAAATGGTCCTGTGTTTATTCCCCAGCATAGCATATCCAGAAAAGCAGACAATGAAATAAAGAAAATAATGTATTTGATTCACATTTTAAAATATATATGTACTGTATTTTTCCGTGTATAACATGCCCATGTGTATAAGATGACCCCTATTTTTGGGGACTCCAAATTAAGAAAATGGGGGGAGATTGCCCAGAGTTGTTGAGCTTTGTTGGGGGGGGGGGAAATTGCCAAAAATCACTCACCTGCCTTAGCAATACTGCCAATCGCATGCGCCGCCAAAGCCACCAATCGCACGCTCTATTGCCGCAGCGGCAGCCAATCAACAGCAGGCCTTTCCACAGCCTCCAGCCACCCACTAAATTGATGCAGCAGCAGCCAATCAACAGCAGACATGGCTGCAGCCGCCAATCAACCGCCCAATCATCACCGACAATCTCCAGCTCATTGCTGCAGACAATCGCCCGTCCCCCCTCTGCACTATCCATGTATAAGATGAGCCACAATTTTAAGCATTATTTTATAATACAAAAACATTGTCTTATACACAGAAAAATACGGTATGTATAAGTTGGCTAACGGTGTCTTTTAATGGTGCATCTATGTGCCTTCTGTATGGTAGGGATAAGATGTATATTTCTTTGTTACGGTGGTCGAAATGACCATGATGGTCGCAACAACAAATAAACTTTGGAAACGGACTCTGGGTAGCAGGGATGAGACAGTGAAGAGCAGCTGCCAAGTCAGAGCAGGCAAGACTGGTCCAGATTGTGATCAAATGACCTTACATCTTCCTAGGTGATAGGGATACAGATACCTCTTCCTTGTTGTGCTGTTGCAACAGTTTTCCCCCCTGCAGGGGCAATTTCCTCGCATTGTAGCTCAGCCTTCTGACCTGGTGCCCTCCAGCTGTTCCTGAATTCCCACCATCTCTGCCCTTCGACCATGCTGCCTGGGGCTGATGAGAGCTGCAGTCCCAAACATCTGGAAGGGTCCAAGTCAACAGAGGTTCTGCTGTAGCTTATAGATTCCAAAAAGATGTACACCGGGCCATTGATTGGATGCAGTGCCGGATTTACGTATAAGCTAAACAAGCTATAGCTTAGGGCCCCACTCTCTTGGGGGCCCATCAAAAAAATAAAGGGAAAAATGATGTACATTTCCAAAATATAAGATAAAAAAACAAATAAAATAAAGCCTACATACAGCAACAGTGTTTTGTGGTGTGTAGGCTCCTGTGATGTAAGTAATGGGCCCCGCCTGCTAGCCTGCTCCCTAAAATATTACTGGTTTGCTCATTTCTATATATAGGGTGCCTACATTCTGCATGGACTGGTTGCATGGCAACATGGGCAAATGGCTTTAGATACCTATTAGGTCCACAAATTACCATATAGCATATATTCAACACAAAAAAAAACAGCGACAATTTGTTGTTGACAAAGGACAGCTGGACATATAAAGGGCCCCATTACCTTCAGTGGCTTAGGGCCTCATCAAACCTAAACCCGGCCCTGATTGAATGTATTGTTCTACTAAAACCCATTTCCAAGGCATTAAAAGAGGCAGCCCCCGTTTAATTGGGCAAAACGTTGGAAAAGTGTAAGGCCTTACAGAAACTGCAAGTGACATGCAGCGTCTTTGAAGGAGGAGTTTCCTCTTCTCTCACACACAGGATGGGCTGCCTCTTCTGTGATGGCATCAGTTACAACATGCAAAGGAGGAAGGCCTTTTTTCCAAAACTGTTGCTAGGCAATTGTTTGAAGAACTGATGGCTGTTTACAACGCACTTGATCAATGGACTCGGCTCTAATAATTGGGTGACAATCCTAGTGCATACTTCAGGGAAGTTGTTTTTTTAAAAATAAAAAAGCCAGGGCAAATTGTTAGAAGTCCATAGGCAAGAAGCTATTACATTGCAGGGGAATAGGACAGCAATATCCTATCTTCGTGCATTATCTTCTCAAGTAAAGTCAACAAGCAAGGTGGGAAATGTCGATTGTGTACAACATTGGTAGGCAAACTAAGGCCCAGGGGCCGGATCCGGCCCAATCGCCTTCTAAATCTGGCCCGCTGACGGTCCAGGAGTCAGCGTGTTTTTACATGAGTAGAATGTGTCCTTTTATTTAAAATGCATCTCTGGGTTATTTATGGGGCCTGCCTGGTGTTTTTACTTGAGTAGAATGTGTGTTTTTATTTAAAATGCATCTCTGTTTTTTTTGTGTGTTTTTATTTAAAATGCAAGCTCCACCCCCAGTTGACATTCCTAAAACTATTCATGAATTGGAGGGCGATCTTCTGAAGTGGGGAATATCCTATACATGTGGATGTTCTGTTTGTGCTTTACAATCCTAGAAAAATCAGGTGTCTTAAACTTTGTGGGGGGGTCCTGCACACCTACAGGGTAACGAGGTGGAGCTAGTATGCTTATTCCCCTTGTGTGTTTACTTAATGTGGGTCAATAACTCCTAAAGAGGGCTTAAAAGAGATCCTCAGTTCTTTCCCAGTGTTCAGAATGCTATGGGAGGGGGAGCAGAACTGAGAATCAGAGGAAACTGTCATGTAAGCATTATAGCAGAACATAAAAGGTAAAGGTAAAGGTACCCCTGACTGTTAGGTCCAGTCACAGACGACTCTGGGGTTGCGCACTCATCTCGCTCTATAGGCCGAGGGAGCCGGCATACAGCTTCTGGATCATGTGGCCAGCTTGACTAAGCCACTTCTGGCGAACCAGAGAAGCACGGAAACGCCATTTACCTTCCCGCTGGAGCGGGACCTATTTATCTACTTGCACTTTGATGTGCCTTCGAACTGCTAGGTGGGCAGGAGCTGGGACCAAACAACAGGAGCGCACCCCGTTGCAGGGATTCGAACCGCCAACCTTCTGATCAGCAAGCCCTAGGCTTTAGAAGCAATTGCAGATGTTGAATTTTAAAGCCCTGGGATAATAGTAAACAGAACAGAGTGCTGAAGTACAAGTGTTTACTTAACTTTTTTTTTTTAAAGGCCCCTTTTCCCAGTTATTCTTCCTCCCCCCAAAAAACAACAACCCAGTAATTGATTATGCAAAAACGTACCGGTAAATATTCTAGTAATGGGGTCTCTCCCTCTCTTTTCTAATTTATTCTGTGATGCCATCACTCCCAGTGGAATACAGTGGCAAATAACAGCTGAACTATAATGATGTGTGATTCTCTCCTTGAAGAAACCCCACAAGGAGAACTAGTTGCCTGATTTGCTCCCTCAAGGATCTTTTGCACTCAGATGGTTCATTCATTATCTCCCCATATTTACTTTTGTTTTCAGACACAATATATAAATACACACATATTGCTAGTTATAAATATATGTCGGCAAATGGTTTGTTTTTGTTTGTTTTTTTGTTTACCCAAACTCTTGATTATTATTATTTTATTTAACAAGGTCTATAGACAGCTTAAAAAAAAAAAAAAATCCCTAAGCAGTTTGCATAAAACATACATAGCACATTCATATGAAAATACCAATAACTTTTTCAGAATGGAAAGTGTTCTGTTTATTTTTATCCAGCTCAGGGCACCAACTGCCCTCTAGTGGCCTTATGTGCAAATGACAAACTTTTTACATAAAGAGCCAACTTTTCTAAGAAAACAAATGACAGCTTTGAGCAAGCCGAAGCTATGTTACATCTGGAATTTTAAGCGTGGCCGCTGGGCTTTTGTTGCTGTCTGTAGCTGCCACAGAGTGATATTTGTCAGGGCTGTAGCATGCACCCTCCTCCCATGTTCCTGATGAAAAAATAACACACACATACCAGGTAACACACTCTGGTGTGTTTTGGTTCAAACAAACAGGAGAGCATTTATTGATATAGAAATATGAGTGAATTGGCTCTCATATTAGAGACATTAGGAGGCCGTTGCAACGTGCACAAGTGTTAGCGTCGGCCAGGCGGGTGAGTGCAATCCTCCGTAAAAAACAACTCTGGGCAATCTCCCCACATTTTCTTAATTTTTATTCCCCCCAAATATGGGGCATCTTATACATGGGGGCGTGTTATACACAGAAAAGTACGGCATTTTATGAGAACAGGATTCTGGACTGGCCGGTCCATGGGCCTGATCTTGCAGGGCTGTGTTCTTCTGTTCGTTTCGACCATGGCAGATTTTGAATACGGTCCGAAGGTAGGCTGAGGCCTTAGCCTTGCCCAATGTGAGCGCCGAGTCCAGAACGCTGCTCCCAACAGAAACTGCTTATTTCGTTGCAGGTACAGGCTCGTGCCAGACTTCCACTTCCCAGTGCAGTTCAACGACGTCCTCCAGGCTACGAAGCACTTTATGCTCCCGGAAGTCCTCGCTCGATATTCCGTGGATCCCAGCAGAGTTGCCATTTCGGGAGACAGCGCAGGAGGAAACTTGGCCGCTGCCGTATGCCAAGAGGTAACACAAGTGCTTTAGGGATCCTAAAGCGTGGAGAACATTCTGGGGACCATTACTCAGCGTAGAGCCACACTGCAGAATGTCCCAGTGCCAACCCCTGTTTTCTGCAGTTTCATAGCTGTCAGCTTACAGATTTGAAAATAAGGGACCAGCAGCCTCGAAAATAAGGGATCAGCAGCCCAAATAAGGGATTTTCCCAGCACAGGTATGTTCACCTTCTGAGCCCCTCCGAGCCAAAGGCAGAAAGCCCTGCCAGCAGCCAAACGAAGCCTCAAGTGGTGGTTCCCACAGCGCAGCAACCCGGCAAAGGGGATGCAGCAAGGAAAACCACTGTCACCTCTCTGCTGGGAAGCTGAGCAAAGGTGAGTCCCCAGGCAACGCGGCCGATTTGATCGGCACAAGGCATGCAAGCTCCACCCCCCAGTCGTTCTTATTGGGTGAGCAACGCAGCCAAGCAACACAATTGGAGCCTCCCTCCTCCCTGGCCGGCAGGGAGAGAGGGAGAGGAGCTGCTTCCTTTGAAACCCGGGAAATTTAAGGGACATCATCAATAAGGGACAGCAGCGGGACACGGCGCTGGGATAAGGGAGTTTCCCACCAAATAAGGGACGGTTGACAGCTATGTGCAGTTTGCAGCACCCAGTAACCGCAGACTACAGAAAACAGTGATTGGAAGCAGGACAAGCAAAGCATGGCTCTAGCATGGGTTATGGTCCCAGCATGATCTCCATACTTTAGGAAGGACATGGGCAGCCAACTGGCAGCCTCCAGTTGGACCAGAGCTCTCATCAGCCCAATGAATCCGAGGACACACTTTTAAACTTCAATGGATTTTGTATGGGGACTGATTTGTAAATCCGGGGTAAATTTGGTAACCTTTGCCTAGAGCACCATATTGACTATCCCTGATTTACAGTTCACAGTGAAATCTTCCACTGCCAACGCCCTTCTTCTTGCCAAAGCAGTAGCCAATTGCGCCCCTGTTTCCAGCAGGAAATCATTGTGTGAGAAGATGGGATACGATGCAAGTTTAAGCAGGCGTCAGTCATTGGTTTGGACTGTAAGCCAACTTCCAGGTTAATAGCTAATGGAATAATTAATGGGAAAGTGGGACATGAACATGTTTGAAGAGTAGAACTGAGTCTAAATTAAAGCCTTATTTATTAAATTTGTGTACCGACCTTCATCCGTTGATCTCAAGGTGGTTCATAACAGAAAACTACAATATGAAAAACATATTGCGATGGCCATTGGCTATAAACAATAAAACTTCTATGAAAAACACCTCGTGCCTAAAGGTATGTAATAAAGGCACCAGGCGAGTCTCCCTGGGGAGAGCATTCCACAAATGGGGAGCCACTGCAGAGATGGCCCGTTCTCATGTTGCCACCCTCCGGACTTCTTGAGGAGGAGGCACATGAAGGCCTCAGAGGATGATCTCAGGGTCTGGGTAGGTTCATATGGAGAGAGGGAGTCCTTGACATTAGTTCTTGAATGATAAAGCTGCTTAACTTCTGTGCTTCCTTTTGACACAAACAATCTGTAAACTGCAGGACCTCCAACTTCACCCATCTTGAGTGAGGTCAGTTAGTGAAGTTTCTTATACGCTGTTGCTGCTTTCTGTTGACAAGTGTGGGTGTAGGGCTTCTTCTCAAGCACTAAATCAGAAATGGGGGACCTGTAGCCCTCCGGATGTTGCTGAACTCCAACTCCCAGCATCCCTGGCCACTGGCCACTCTGGATGGGGGCTGATGGGAGTTGGAGTCCCACAACTGTATTTTAACCACTTGTTTGATTTTGTGTTTTTAATGTATTATATATTTGGTGTTAGCTGCCCTGAGCCCGGTGTTGGCTGGGGAGGATGGGGTATAAATAAAAATTTATTTTTATTATTATTATTATTATTATTATTATTATTATTATTACATTTGGAGGACAGGGCACTAAGTGTTCCATTAAATCATTGCAATGGGTGTGATGATGCCACAGCACAAATGTTACAAGCTTTCAAGTTCTCCAGAACTCATCAGGGAAAGAGGTTACCAAGGTTGTGGAAAGGCAATAAACAAGTAATTAACCCACACCTTAGGTAGGTTTCTACATGTGGATTGAGTAAGATGCCAAACTCTCCTCACAGGGGCTTTGATAACTGAAATAAGAGGAGGATACTTTGAGCGGAGATCCTGTGAATGTTTTGCCTTGTCTAAGGTGATACTGACTTCAGGGTAAACAAATGCTAGATTGGGTTGCATGACTGTCGAGTGCTAGAGACTTTCCAGATCACTTACAAGAAGCAGTTAAGTCTTATTTGTGCTCCATCTCAGCATACACACTCTTTTATGGGGGGCGGGGTAGCAATGTTTGTTTGCTGCAGTGAAAAACGCCCGTGTCTGAAAGATTAACACATTTTATTATTTCATAAGCTGTGGCACCTCACTCTTGTCAGACGCATGGACTTTGAGCTTCCATTATCATGTGTGTGTCTACAGTATATACTCATAGGAATAAGAGGAGGAGAGAATGTAAAGGTTGGAGGTAGGGATCTCAAGAGGATTTCAGTCCAGGTTGGATTTTGCCATGAACTGCTCCTCATTTGTTTCATCAAACCACCTCTGCACCAGGTAAAAGCACTTTTAAAAATGGTGCAGGAAGCAGCAATATGTCACTTCCTATGTACAGTGGTACCTGGGGTTACAGACACTTCAGGTTACAGACTCCTCTAACTCAGAAATAGTACCTCGGGTTAAGAACTTTGCTTCAGGGTGAGAACAGAAATTGCGCAGCGGCAGCAGCAGCGGGAGGCCCCATTAGCTAAAGTGGTACCTCAGGTTAAGAACAGTTTCAGGTTAAGAACGGACCTCCAGAACGAATTAAGTTCTTAACCCGAGGTACCACTGTAATTGGATACACAATGGGATGCTCTATCTGCGACAAAATGGCCGCCCTTTTGAAGCTGTTCCAAGCAGATTTACAGAATTTAAATGTGGGGTGGGGAGATAGTAACCCCTCTGTTCACCTTGTAAATACTCCACTCATGTTTTTTGGTGACTATTCTGATGTGCAGATTGGGGATGTCACCAGAATTATCTTCTAAAAACTGTGCAGGAACCAGATGGGAAATACTTTACTGCATCCATGTGTGGGACCGGGATGGACTGGGATTGCATCGTCTCATGGGAAGTAAATGGCAACAGAATGGGAAAAGTACAGTCTGGAAGAGTTCAGTTGGAGGATTGTCACAGAGTACAATTTATTCCACAAAAGCTTGCGCCACCAAAAAAAAAACAAAACAAAAAACCAGTCTTGATGGCTTAATGTTCTGTTCTCTGATGAGAGTGAAATTTACTTTTGAGGGCATCAAAGAAAATAAAGCAACCCATTTCTCATTGTGTTTACATATGTTACGTTGTGATAGTATTGCATACAACATCTGAATCGTGCCCTGTTTGTCTGCCTTGCTTCCGCAGATGACTCAAGCGGAAAATGTAACCACCAGATTTAAACTGCAGGCTCTAATTTATCCAGTCCTTCAGCCGTTCGATTTCAACACGCCCTCGTACCAGCAGAATGAAGTCACGCCTGTCCTTCCCCGTTTTGTCATGGTGAAGTTCTGGATAGATTACTTCAACGGAAATTACGACTTTGCCCATTCCATGGTGGTCAACAACCACACCGCCCTCGACGTGAGTGAGGCCAATGCCTTCAGAGAACACCTGGACTGGACTTTCCTCCTACCTTCGAGGTTCAGGAAGAACTACAAACCTGTCGCACACACGACGGGAAAGGCAGAAATAATCCGGGACATACCTGCCTTGCTAGATGTCCGTGCCGCTCCCTTGCTAGCTGAGAAGGAAGTGTTCCGCATCCAGCCAAAGACTTACATCCTGACTTGCGAGATAGATGTTCTGAGAGATGATGCACTCATGTATGCCAAACGGTTAGAGAAAGCAGGTGTGGCGGTGACTATCGACCATTTTGAAGACTGTTTTCACGGCTGCATGATCTTCACCGTTTGGCCTACCAATTTTTCTGCAGGATTCCAAACCAGGGACAGCTACATCAAGTGGCTTAGTCAAAACCTGTGAAGGAAAGTGTCCCCCTTCTTAAAAACTAAAAACTGTAACAGGTCCCCAAGTCAAGTGTACACCTTTGTATGCAATCTTGTGCCATCCGTTTTGAAGACTTCGTTGGAGAGTTTTCCATTGCAGCAGAGTCGTGTGCCACCAATAACTTGTATGATTTGCTTGGACTGTACACTGCTGGGGGGGGGTTGGGGGGGAGTCTTTGGGCAGTCTTGAACCCAGACCCTAAAGGCATTACAAGAGAGTCGGACCCAACCTGTAGCAGAATGTGGTGGTAGGTGAGGCTAACGCTTCAGATTGCAGGAGGAGGAATGCAAATTCTTCCATGTAGAAGCTCTCTTCAAGTGGAACATTGACACCGTAGTGTAGCAAATTCTACCCTGGCCCTCTTCCTATTGAGCTTGTTTTCTGCTTGCAAGGAAGGGTTTGTCTGTCAGCTGTAAGGAAGAGCTAAAAAACATGGTTTTTCCCATCTGCAAGTCTAAAATGGTATATAGTCCATTGCACCATTTATTTCTGCTGCCTATATAGGGTGTGTATCCAGCTAAACAGTTCTGCTAGCAAAAGCATTTTTGGCTGCTTGGCAGAATCTCCTGTCGCTCTTCTCCACCCTGTGTCCCCTAAATCTGTTCTGGAAAGTTGGTGGGGAAACCCCAGAACATATTTAGGGGGCATATTTAGTTAGAAGAGGGAGAGGCTATTCCAGCATGTAGCCTGAAGTGCTTTTACCAGTGGAAATGCTTCGTTGGGTTTCAGCCATAGAGACTAGGTCCAAGTTATGTTCAAATTGCTGGGTAACATCCTTACTTCCCAGCACCCTTAACAAACTACAGTGGCCAAGATTATCTGTGAGTGTTGAAGTGGTATAATAGTGCTTTTAAATGTATGGTGTGAACGTGGCCCAAATCAAAACAGGGCTGTTACTCTTAAGCACCACTGTCACTCTCAAAGACTAGGAGAAACAGCTTATCCATCAGACCTGATTTGTGACCCGGCAAGTGTAAAGCAGCCCACCCCACCCCCTTTATTGTTTCCTGCCAGCCTGCTTTTTTGCCATTTTAGAGGCTTGGCAAGCCACCAGAGGCCCATGCTTAGCTTAATGGGTTGCAAGTGTTTCAGGCCTGGTGTAAATAGAAGACAGCGAGGCTGGATCCCGTAGCTGCAATCTTATCCTACGACATTTAGATTGGTTGCATCCTGTGCTGGTTGGTGCAGGTAGCTTTTGGGACCAAAAGCTCCGTTTGGGATTTCGAGAGAGCGCCGTGGGCACCAGCTACAAAATGGCGACACAAAATGGCCGCCACATTTAAAAGCACAGGAAAAGAGAAAAGGAACATAGCTTGGGATGGATGATCATTACACATACACAGGCAATGGGGGAAATGGACCTACGCCAGCCGCTGCCATGTTTGCTCACAGAGACAAACTTTTTTGCACCTCTCCTGTCTTCAGAGACGATGGGAGCGTTGGTGTTCTGTGGAAATGTGGGCATGTTTAGAGGGTTAGAAGAGGCCGAGCCAGTACAAGCAGGAACTGAGGAGCAAGAGGGAAACTGTCTCTCGTGAATTGTGGATTTTGGAAGGGACATTATCCAAGACCTTTGGAGGGTACCATAGGTGATATGGGTGGGCAGACACAGTTGTGACCCCTGGTGTGGACAGCACTGGCACAGATAAGACTTCAGTACGAGACAGTTTCCTTTGATGATAGTCTTCAAGCCACTTTTTTGTGTGTCCTAATATCAATGCAAGAGGCTCCCTGGTAGGGCTAAGGAGCCTCTCCCAGTAAGCTCTACACTGGTTACGTACAGCTTCCTCCTTTCTGATCAGGTGTTGATCCTGGGGAGATAGGAGCCAACGAATAATGTATCTTGCTCTCCCTCTGTACCACGTCCTTCATCCTGTGTGCTGGTATTTAAAACGTTGATCGTGACTGGGGTGAACTCTTTCTTCATTTGCCTAATCTGCAGGACAAGCAGGCGCAGCTATTCAAGTTCCTCGCTAATGACAAGGGAGCATAAAATGGGCTCCCAAGACTATATTCAATGCATACCATCAAATGGGCTTTATTCCACAAAAACTTGTGCCACCGAAAAACAGTCTTTAAGGTGCCCCATGGCTTGCCCCTGCAAAAAGCCAGGCAACTTACAGTAATTGCAGCTAAGACTGCAGTACCTTATGCTCTGCGAGCAATACTTGTTTTCTTTAAAGAGGTGCCTGGCTATTGTCCATCTATATTCGATGTACTTTGATCCACTCCCCCCCCCCACAACCATTCAGAATTTGCCTACTACATGAATACTAGCCACTCATACCACATAGACTATTACTACCAACTTTGAAAGGAATTACTATGCCGGCTGCTTTCAAAACAAAACACCTGGGACCAATTTAGGTGCTGACCTCCTGTTGCTGGTTGGTCTTTTAAAAAGGTCACATCTGCAGACGATACCTGGAACACACCTGAAATTGTTTCCATACATTGAATGATCAATATTGAATGACACATATTTTGATCTTTTTTTTAATCAGACTATTTCTCAGAGCAGTCTTTGTTCCTGAGTCTCACATCTCTGGTCTACAGGAGAGAAGTTGGGGTGTTTTTCAGAAGGCAGTCAAACCCCTCCTGCAAAATAGTTGCTGCCTGGAGTTGCCCTAATGATTCAATCCTATACACACTTTCCTAAGAGTAAGTTCTGTTGAACTCAGTGGAGCTTGCTTCCCACTAGGGATAGTCAGGATTGGAATGTAAGGCATCTCCCGCTAAACTCTTGCAGCCAGTTTTAAATTTATCAACACATGAGTGCTTTTCACTCACTGAAGAGCACAGTACTCCGGCTTCTCTGGGTTGTACTTTTATGTCTGACCCAGTGGTTAATGGCAAAAGAAGCTTATTATTCAAAATGCAGCCTTATCTGCCTCAAAAATAGCTCAGGGAAACTGGTTATTTTTGGACTTTGGATGCAAGTGAAAAGGGAATAGCCTGGAATAAGTCATGCCAGCAGGTGGCAGACTTGAAAATAGCTCCCTGGGCTGCAATTTAATACAAAGTCTTCAGCTCTAGAAATAGATGACAGTTTTCCCTGGAAATACCGAGTTGCGCTCATTCTCAAAATACTTATTTTCCCACTACCACCAGCCGGGCAGCTGATCTAGAAATGCGACTGGTTGATTTTGAAATAGACATTCAAGAGTCAAAACAAAGGTGACACTAGAGATTCATCACCATATCTTCAGATTTTTGTCTTTTAAAGTGGCTGCATGCAAGGGGAGGGAGGTCTCCAATTTTGATCAGAACAGCCGTGTCCGGGTTAACCAGCCCCACACTGATTTCTTGATTGACATTTTCCTTCCCCCTCCCATCCCCAAAAAGATGCAAGTAACTTTATCGTGCCTGTATGTTAAAGCCCCAGGGCTAATACCAAAATCTGGGGCAAGGGCAACTTAGGATCAGGAAAACAGCACAGCCAGGAAATCTGCATCTACGAGGGTGAATGGTGCATTCAGATGTATATGTTGGTGCAGATAACATGCCAAAATGCATTACATATTAGGGGAATTCGCTTTGCCCAAGAAAGGCAAATTGCATACCAGAATATGTATTCATGAGAAATTTGCACTGAAATGCACTGAATTCTAACCAGGACTTTTTTTTAGAAAGATACAATCTGAAACGGAGAAAATCCAGAACTGGCAGGGCTGTGCGTGACCCTCCTGGTTCAATTCAGGGCCTGATTTGGCACTTTGGGGTTTTGCACAGTGTTTATTAGGGCACAGAAGCGCCCAATCTGCTTGCCTGCACCTCCTCCTCAAGGCTGCTCACCCCTTTTGACAGCCCCAGGTTGCGCTGGGAGGACCCAATCTGTCCTCAGGCTATTTCTCAACCCACTCCAGCTGAACCCTAGGTCAACCAAAATAGGCTGAATTTGGTTTGGGATCCGGTATTTTGGCCCTGGAAATTGAGATTTCACCACCCCTGGTCTTGAACCCACATAACTAAACTGCTGACTTCCCTCAGGTCCGGCAGATGACTCTCTCCCATTGCTAGTATTGATTTAAGACTCAGCTGCTGGAGAGGAGGCAGTTGAATGGGAAGCAACCCTATCCGTGGAATAGCGAATTTGTGGTGGTTAATTGTGATGTATATACACCAGGAAAGCACAGCCTGGTTTCTATGTTGTTATTTCTAACATGCGCCAAGTAACAGCAGCCATAACAACATTAGCCACAACAGCAATACATCATTCAAAAACCTAGTCAGAAAATCACAAAACTCAGCACTTATGTCTTTTCAGAAAGTTAGAGTATCCGACTTGGAATTGGGAAACCGGGCTTCAAATCTGCCGCTTGGTCCGGAAACTCACGGTGCTTCTTTGGGCCAGTCACTGCCTCTCAGCCATGGTTCCCCCCAAAGAATCATGGGCACAGTAGTATGCTAAGGGTCCTGGGAACTGTTAGGAGACCACTATTCCTCTCACAGAACTACAGTTCCCAGAGTTTTCTAGGAAGAAGGATTGGCTGCTAAACCAGTTTAAGTCTGTAGCGCAGAGCTGGCCCACTTATGAGGTGGGGTGAAGCACTCTCCACAGGCAGTGAAAGTGGAAGAGGCGATGTCCTACCCACGTCACCACTTGACAGCCCCAGGTTGTCCAGCACACCCCTGGGGTGGAGAAGATGAGCAGCAAGGGCTTGCAAAATGCCACCCTCTCGCCAAGTATGGCGTGTGGCATCTCCATGATGGCGCAAAGATGTATTCTTAATTGCTTGCATAAACGATGGAAAAGAAAAGTTCTCAGCAGGCATTTAAAAGTTGAAACAGAAGGCGTTTGCTTGAGTTGCAGAAGCTTTGGCAGACATGAAGCTAGGGTTGCCATATTTTAAAAAGTGACAATCCAGACACCAAAGTTGTTGAGCTCTTTTTAGTGATGGGAGCAAAGTTGTTGAGCTTTTTCCTTTTTTTGCAAAATCACCCCAAAAAAGAGTTTTGGAGCTTTTTGAAAAGAAATTTGCTCCTCCAAAATGGGTTGCCACACGTCCAGGTTTTCCCAGACACGGGGAATTCCCCCCTGAACGCAATTTGCATGGCCAAATCCTGGACATATGGCAGCCCCACATGGAGCTGAGCTTTATCTCTTAGCCCAGTGGTTCCCAATTAGCAAATTACTCAGGACCCCCTATTTTTCAAAAGCCAAGCCATGGAGCCCCTACTTTCAAAAATATTGGTAACACTATGGTAGTTACCTGTGCAAAGCAATTTTTGGAAGAAGATGTGGGGTAGGACCTAATAAGCCAAGGATTTTAGGTATACTAAATAAAAGACCATAAAATTTGTGATATTACCACACAAAAATGACAAAGATTTAGTTGGGGGAGGGGGAGAGAAATTTAATTCCTTGTGCAATTAACAAGATAAGTGAGTCCCCTAGCAGGGGGTGATGCTGCAGACCCCCTGGGCGCGTGCCGCGGACCCCCAGGGGTCTCCCGACCCCTAATTGGGAACCACTGCCTTAGCCAATTGCTCCAGATCAAAAGCATGGCTGCAGAGGCCAGCCGAAAAGTTGGTAACCTAACTATTTGTTGTTGTTTAGTCGTTTAGTCGTGTCCGACTCTTCGTGACCCCATGGACCAGAGCACGCCAGGCACTCCTGTCTTCCACTGCCTCCCGCAGTTTGGTCAAACTCATGCTGGTAGCTTTGAGAACACTGTCCAACCATCTCGTCCTCTGCCGTCCCCTTCTCCTTGTGCCCTCCATCTTTCCCAACATCAGGGTCTTTTCCAGGGAGTCTTCTCTTCTCATGAGGTGGCCAAAGTATTGGAGCCTCAGCTTCACGATCTGTCCTTCCAGTGAGCACTCAGGGCTGATTTCCTTCAGAATGGAAAGGTTTGATCTTCTTGCAGTCCATGGGGCTCTCAAGAGTCTCCTCCAGCACCATAATTCAAAAGCATCAATTCTTTGGCGATCAGCCTTCTTTATGGTCCAGCTCTCCTCATGGATCACTGCCTTGCCATGGCGAAGGGGCTTGAATAACTCAGAGAAGCTATGAGCTATGCCGTGCAGGGCCACCCAAGATGGACAGGTCATAGTGGATAGTTTTGACCAAACGTGATCCACCTGGAGCAGGAACCGGCAAGCCACTCCCTGCCAAGAAAACTCCATGGACAAAGACAACCTAACTATAGAGAGGGTGTTTAGGCATCTTGACCTGCTTGCAGAAATGGTTTGTACAATGCAAGCAAGGCCTTTTGAAACTTTGTGTTTACAAATGTCTGTAAACAATGACCCGCCACGACTGCCTGAGTCTTGAATAACAAGCTTTGTGGGAAACATTTGTCACATCTGCACTATGCACTTAAAGCGGAATCATACCACTTTAAGCAGTCTTCATGGCTTCCCTGCAAGAATCCTGGGAACTGCATTTGATTAAAGGTGCTGAGAGTTCTTTGGAGACTCCTATTTCCAGCACAGAGCTACAATTCTCAGGCCTCCACTTCACACAGTGCATAGTCAAACTAGGGAACTGACCCCCCCACCCCCCCAGAAGGCAATGATGGCCCCCAACTTGGGGCTTAAAAAAAAAAAAAGGTTTAGGCAATTTCATGGAGGAGAGAGTTACCAGACAACAGGCCATTACGTGTAACAGCCCGCCCCTCCCCCCAATTCTAAGGTGTCAAATCAATAGAATAAGTGTTCGAAATACCTGAGAAATGGGAGCAGCTGGAAGGTGTGGTCCATAACTTTTGCTAGCTTTTTTATTTTCCTTGGTGGAAGTTCTGTGGGCCTTCGACAGCTGTGCAACAAGCAAAACTTCAGCTGCCAAAGTTCTCGGCTGACCTAAATTCTGCTGTTTGAACAAAACTGCTGAGCAAACCCTGCATACGCTGACGACAGGTTTCGATAAGTAAACAATGATGCCTTTGCTCAACAGTCAAGCCGAGATGTTTTGCTGCCTGAAGGGTTTCTCAAACAATGTCCTCCAATAGGACCGTGACTTGGAATAGAAAAAAATAATTGCTGCACAGTTCAGACGCCAGTTCCTGCCTACCCCAGTCGTCTTGCTGCTGCCTGGAGCAAACCATAGATTTGCTTCATCTGGCTCAACCCTCTGTTCAAGTTCAGGGAATCCAGAGGCAGAGCATTGCCAACAGAGAGCTCTCCCACCCAGTGGTGACTGGTGGCACTGGTAGGGCAGAAAGCAGGGAGCCTGCCAGTAGGTGGCACCAGAGAGAACTAATTTGAGTTTTGTCCCCGTTCGTTCCACCAAGGCAACACAGAGTTAAGAAAGAAGGTGACAGACAGTGTCACCTGCTAGAGCAGTGTTTCCCAACCGGGGGCCATGTGGCCCCCTGGGGGGCCCAAGGATATTCACAGGGGGCCACAGGTGAAAAAATGGGGGGCCACAGCTCAAGGCTCAGGGGCCACAGAGGGAAGTGAGAAGTGAAGGGGGGGAGCAATTTTTAAAAATAAAAAAATCCTGATTTGCCAGCTATCCGCTTGGCCAGTACCAAGCGGGTAAGGTCACCAGGTGCCCCATCAACAGACCAGCCTCCACCTGAAGACCATATTTTAGGACCCACCCTATTCTGGTTGTAAATGGTTTGCATGTTTGCATTACTTATGGTGAAATATGATACATAGCCATAACATTTACTAAGGGGGAAAGGTCCCTCTAAGTTCAATGGGACTGTTTTCCAGACAGCTGTGTGTGTAGAATTGCCATTTAAGACATATTATTACGTTAGTCAAAGATTATAACAGGCTTAACAACTCTTCTAATAAGAATGGTAGCTTTTCCCTGCAGACATGCTATTTCCTTAAAGCACCCACCAAATCAGTGGTTGTTGTTTTTCTGGTGGCTCTCAAGGGTACACAGTACCGGCACCTTTTTCTGGAAGAAAAGTAATGCACAAAATTACATTTTTTTAAAAAATGCACAACAGCCGACATGTATTTTCTCCTTGGTCAAAGTGCATGGTGTCTACAGCTTGCAAGAAAAAGGAAAAGCAAGGTAAACATATCACTGCCAAATTACCAGCAGATAGCCTTCTGTGCTTTTGTGCCTTTAACATAAGGTGGGCAAAGGCAAAAGAGGTCGGGGCTATTGCACCTTTAACTGGTGTGTGGAAGAGCAGAGACTGCTGACATTTCCATTTCTGCACCATTATTAAAAGTTGCAGAGGTCTTGTTCTCTGTTTCTCACCTGCTGCAGCCCAAGTTGCAGAAATGAACAGGTGGAGCTTTTGAGGACATTGACCCAAAAACATGATTGCTGGCTAGTTTCCCCATATACAGAGGTCAGCTGAAGACTTGATAACCGACTATAAAAAGGGTGTTTACATGTCTGGATCTGGTTGCAGAAATGCTTTATGTAATGCAAGCAAGTTCTTTCAAAATGCCATGTTTACAAAGGGCTGTAAACAGTGCTCAGGCACGAAGGCTTCAGAAACTGTAATCAAGGAAGCGGAGCGTTTAAAAACAAGCTTCATTGTAAATATAGCTTCATGTTTGGACTAAACTTTCTTAACCCTGGCAGAATTGCTTAGATCAGGGGTGCACAGCCTCAGACTCAGAGACAGGCTTCCAGCCTCTCTATCTGGCCCCAGACTAGGAATTGGGGTCATTATCTCCCCCATCCTGCCCAGGCCAAATTGGGTAGGTGGAGCCACCCAGCTGTCAATCCCCTGGCATCACAATGACGTCAGGTCAGCCTTTTTTGCCGATACAGTTGGAAACCATAACATGTGGGAAAATGTGCAGCCCCACAAAGCACTTTTTGAAATACAGTGGTACCTCGGGTTAAGAATTTAATTTGTTCTGGAGGTCCGTTCTTAACCTGAAACTGTTCTTAACCTCAGGTACCACTTTAGCTAATGGGCCCTCCAGCTGCCGCCGCACAATTTCTGTTCTCATCCGGAAGCAAAGTTCCTATTTCTGGGTTAGTGGAGTCTATAACCTCAAGCGTCTGTAACCTCAAGCGTCTGTAACCCGAGGTACCACTGTACTTCACTTGGCTAATTGTCAGGTACCCTGAAGCCCAGCGCAAAGTGCTTCAGGGGACAGGGGCGTCTTGCCCATAGAGGCAAGTGGCGCGGGGTGCCAGGGTGCCAAGTTCTGGAGGGCACCAGGGAAGAGGTGGTGGCTGGACGTGGTGCCTCCTGGCATCAGCTCCCTGCCCTCGCCCGCCTCTCTGAAGCAGCGCCGTGCCCAGAGCCTCTGCCTCTTCCCCACCGGAGGAGCCACCCTCCAGCCGCTGCCCGCCTCCTCCAGCCCCACAAAGCTGCCAGCAGCACCATAAAAAGGTTGACAACTCTGGGAAATGGGGGTGGGGGTGCTGGAGGGATTTTTGCAGCACGGCACCGGATATACTTAAGATGGCCCTGTCAGGGGACCCCACAATCAGCCGACAGTGGGGTCTTGCAGAGTGCTAGGAAAAGGGGCTTTGCAAGTCCTGGCAATCAGCTGATTGTGGGGACTTGTGAAGGACTTTGCCCAAGGCTCCACTGCGGGTACCACTGATCAGCTGATTGACACCGTCTGCAAGCCCTTTTCAACTGAGCCAAGTCTTGCCCCACATACAGGAAGCCAGCTGTAGGTACATGTTTGGCTTGACCAAAATGGCCAGGAGGTCCAATTGGAGAGGCCTGACAAGCCTATTTAGGTCCCATACCTGACTTAGACTGCACCCCCTGCCTACCCCACAAGCCTCTCTAGTCTTGCTCTGATTCCTCTTGCCTAGCTTGTCCCTGTGATAATGTCTCATGCCAGTCTGGGTGGAGAGATCTGTACATGTAAATCCTTTACTCTGCCCACTTTTCCTTCGGTCCTGTCTGTCACTGCCCTGCAGGAGGTTCTCTAGGGGGGAACGTGGCTCTTACTGCTAACGATTTCCTACCTTCAGCCCAGACCTTTTGAGGTGTCCAGCTTTCAAGTTCCAAAGCACAGGGACACCTTGGACTTGGAACGGTAAGGTTGCGTTCTCTTTACGAGGTCAGATAAGGAAACTTGGCAAAGGCACTTTGTTTATAACTAGGCCTTTAGTTTTTGGCCGACCGGTCAAAGTTGTTTGCTTGCAGAAGTGCTTGGGAAACTCCCCCCATCAAGTTAGTGTTTATGTGCTTTCTGGTTCCACCTCTGAGGAACGGCGCACGGCACCAGTTTCTCTGAGAAAATAATACTCCCTTTCCTTCGAAGGCACCTTTTCTTTAAGCCCTCTTTTGTTTCTTTTGAGTCTTGCAGATCAAAACTTGCCTTGCACTGAAGCACATCATTTCCCATCAGTTGGATGTGTGCATATAGAACTAGGTCATCTGTTGATGTGACCTAATTTATTCAAGCTGTGAGTTCTTTGTGATCAGTTGCTGTTAACATCAGCACTTCACTGCGTGTTTATTTTGTAACTTGGGTGCCAGATTGTAAGGATACAAAGGGTGGTCTCCTGCTGCTTTTTCACTAGGTGGGTATGAGGACCAGTAATGGTGGTCTCCCTAATCCACAAACCACACTGCCCCAGTCTTTATCAACATGGCCTTCTCCAAATGTTGGACTCCATGACCATTGGCCATGCTGGATGGGGCTGGACCTGCCCTGTGGAACTCCTTGCCTGTAGAGGTTTGGCACGAGCCATCCCTGCTCCCTCAGCTGTCGGGTGGTTAGAAAGACAAGGCCAGAGTTGGGAGTTGAGTTACGTGAGCTAGAAGCTGGACGCAAGACAGCAGGCTGGGCAGCTGAGAGACAGAGCCATGCCTGATTTCTCCTTGAATCCAAGGCTGTGGCTATGGGAGAAGCAAGATCCTTTGGGGGTACTAATGCTGTGAACCCCTCCATCATAGGCTCAGGTTGTATATGCATGAAAATAAACCATATATCATAAAGACACCACAGTCCTCAATCCGAGGAAACACGAACCTTGGGTAAGCACCTGGAACCACTGGAATTTTGCACCTTTCAGAGATTGGCGTGTGTTATAGAAAAATTTAGGTCTTTTATATAGATATAGATATAGATATAGATATGTAATAAATGTTTATAAATGTAGCAAGCAAACACATATATAAATATATACACCACATGTCCAAAACCCACAGGAAAAGTCCTAAAGCCATTTTGACTCTTTCAGTCACCTCAAATATTTCTCTACAAGGTCAGAAGAAATGCAGAAACCTCCCCAGTGTCTCTGTCTGTCCTCACAAATCCTGCCACATTTAAGGTGTGAATAGGGTGATCCTGTGACCTGGCTCAAGAATTAAGTATTATCATTACAAAAGAATGTCCAGGCTCCCCAGGTAATCCAGTCAAGTGACCATTAACAGGTAACCTGGCAGGCAGGGTAAAAACAACACACTCAGATTTCTGTTGTAGGCTGCCTTTTCTGTGACGTAGGTATGATGTATTTGGCGGGTGGTCTTGGGCTGCACCCCTTCTGAGATGTATGTATGATGTTTCTGGGGGTAGTATTGGACTCCAGGGCAGGCAATTTAAAATGTCTATATAAGGGCGGGCACACCTTTGTTCTGGGTCCTCCTCTCTCCTGTGTGTGTGGGAGTACCCTGTTGCAACAGTTCAATAAAGATCAGGCTTACTAGCTGCTTTGCTTATCAATATTCTCTGGTTGGTCTCTGTTATTTTCTCCTACCAAGAGAGAACCTACAAAAGGACTCTATATGGGCTCTTGGGTACCACATAAGGGAAAAGGAGCAGTGTGGGTTTTTTTACTTATATCAGCATGCAACACCAAATATAAAAAGACCCTTTCTCTGCTTTTATATGTGAACAGGGCAAGCAAATTAATAAAATGCTTGTTGGCTATTTTCAGTTTAGCTCTTTTGCAAGCATACAGTACTCTCAGTTTTAAAAGTAAATTGCCATGCACAGCAAACAAAAGAGGGTGTTGGTTTTTCCACCAATTGTTTCCCTCTGCAGCAAAACAATTCCAGCAGACTTAGGTTTCAGGTTCCCATAATCCTTCCATTAGTTTCACTTTTGCCTTGGCTGCATCGTGAGAGGTTTGGATGCCAAACACAGCTAGGGAAATAGTTAACACCCTTTTTTCTGCCAGTTGCCTTTCAAACTTTAGCTTACAAAGGATTTGAATGATGCCAGTGCTGGTTACCTTTAGCCTGTTTGTTTTGTGTTTTCAAAAATTAAGGGCAGGCAAAAAAACCCCCCAACTTGCTGTGAAATTGTTAAGCGATGCTTTTCTGCCTAATTTGCCTAGACAAGTCCACACATTTGTGACCATTCACAGACTTTTCAGTGCAACTTGTTTACAGGGCTTTGAGCATAACCTACATTTTCAAGAACACAAAGGTGGCTGAGCCCTGAAGGACTTTTGGACTCACACAAACTCCCTTCCTGATTCCTTTCTACTTTCCCTGTTTCCAGGCAAACCATCATTTCCCATTTTTCCAGAACTCAAAGCTATCATTTGTGCCTGTCATGAAAACTCAGTTTGCAAACCATAGTTTGATCTGGATTTCCAACTGTGGTGAGTTTTTCTGGGGGGAGAGGGGAAAAGCTAACCACTATTTACTGGTTCAGATGAAACAGCAAACTATGGTTTGAATAGCTCAGTTGGTTAGAGCGTTGTGCTGATAACTCCAAGGTTGCAGGTTTGATCCCTGTATTGGACAACTGCATATTTCTGCATTGCAGCAAGTTGAGTTAGATGCTTATGAGGGTCCCTTCCAACTATATGATTCTATGATCAATGATATAAGTTTGCCTTAAACCAGAAAGGGGGAGCAGGGGGCAGGGTTTGGAATAAAAAGAAGAGGGTCTTCAGTCCTTCAAGGCGTGTTCACATGGCAGCAAAAAGTGGTTTGGCATCATAGCTGAACAGCCACTCCAACTCATTTAATACGCATTTGTATGCAGTTTTCCACTTTCTAGATCAGGAATTGCAGTCATAAATCAGTCATTTTTGCATATCTAAGTACTGATGCCATTTCCCCTGCACTGAGTGATTCCAGTGCAATCCACACACCTACTTTTCCAAGCACAATTCATAGTGTTGGTGTTGACCTTTAAAGCCCTAAATGGCCTCGGCCCAGTATACCTGAAGGAACGTCTCCACCCCCATCGTCCTGCCCGGACACTGAGGTCCAGCACTGAGGGCCTTCTGGCGGTTCCCTCACTGCGAGAAGCCAAGTTACAGGGAACCAGGCAGAGGGCCTTCTCGGTAGTGGCACCCACGCTGTGGCACACCCTCCCACCAGGTGTCAAAGAGAAAAACAACTATCAGACTTTTAGAAGACATCTGAAGGCAGCCCTGTTTAGGGAATCTTTTAATGTTTAACAGACTATTGTATTTTAATATTTTGTTGGAAGCTGCCCAGAGTGGCTGAGGAAACCCAGCCGATGAGCGGGGTATAAATTATTATTATTATTATTATTATTATTATTATTATTATTATTACTTTCTGAGGCAACTAGCCCTATCTTTCTTGAAGCACCAGTAGAGCTATGCTGGGTCGTAATGGTAGAAAGTTGAAATGTGGAGTTCAACTTGTTCAGCTCATGAGTAAGCATTGCCAACTTTGTGTGTGTGCAGACAGCAGTTTGTCACCTTTGAAAAGCAATGGTGGGCAATGCTCCGATGGAGGCTCTCTGCCTATAAGAAATGCCTTTTACCAGATACAGCTGGTACAACAGCTATAGCTGTTCCAGGACAAGGATAGTCTGGCCACGGTGATCCATGCATTGATAACCTCAACACATGACCTAGTGGTGCAGCAATAGAACTGCTGGCACATTGGCAAAGCTAAGCAAGGTCTAGTACGGTTTCAAACTGGATGGAGGGGCCATGTGTTGAGATTCCTGTCTTGCAGGGGGTTGGACGGGATGAACCTCAGGGTCCCTTCCCACTCTACAATTCTATGATTGCAATGTGCGCTGTGTGGAGCTAGCCTTGGCCCTGGTCCAGAGGCTTCAGCTGGGGCAAAACATTGTGGCTGGACTATTGATGGGGACAGATTATCACCAGCACACAACCCCATTGCTCAAAAGTCTGTGCTGGTTGTCTATACACTACCAGGCCAGGTTCAAGTTTAGTGTATTAATTTATAAGGCCCTTAATAATTTGGGTCCAGGATTTGTTGTTGTTTAGTCGTTTAGTCGTGTCCAACTCTTCGTGACCCCATGGACCAGAGCACGCCAGGCACTCCTGTCTTCCACTGCCTCCCGCAGTTTGGTCAAACTCATGCTGGTAGCTTCAAGAACACTGTCCAACCATCTCGTCCTCTGTCATCCCCTTCTCCTTGTGCCCTCCATCTTTCCCAACATCAGGGTCTTTTCCAGGGAGTCTTCTCTTCTCATGAGGTGACCAAAGTATTGGAGCCTCAGCTTCAGGATCTGTCCTTCCAGTGAGCACTCAGGGCTGATTTCCTTAAGAATGGAGAGGTTTGGTCTTCTTGCAGTCCATGGGACTCTCAAGAGCCTCCTCCAGCACCATAATTCAAAAGCATCAATTCTTCGGCGATCAGCCTTCTTTATGGTCCAGCTCTCTGAGAGCTGGGTCCAGGATACAGTCCCTTATATCCCTTCCTGATAACTAAGGTCATCAGAGGAGGCTGTGTGTAGTATTGTGAGTCCAATTATGTGGCACTCCTTTCCTGTTGAGGCTCCATCTCTACTGAAATTCCAGTGCCTACTGAAGCCTTTTAAAAAAAATATTGCAGCAGGCATTTTAGGTTTGATTGCATGGTTTTAACCTACTTTTATCTTTTGTACTGTATCTCTGCAAACCACTTAAGAGACTATCATACCTTGAAGTAGATCACAGCGCTTCTTTACATATTAAAAAGCAACAACCCAAAACTCTTAACCCCAGCTACTTTACAGATAAAAAAGCCAAACCTCTACCCCCAAGAAGGTGGATTTGCTGAACCAAGCAGAGACAGACAAAGACTGGCTTGAAGAACACATTCCTTTCTTAGTCAGATTGCTGGCTAATAGCCCAGGATCTTTGGTTGATATTTCAACTGTGAGAGCTAATGATTAGGAGATGGCCTCCTCAAGAATGAGGAAATCTCCCTGTTTCCAAATGAAATACTCACCTGAGCTTGGAGTAGCACTGACCCAAGACATTTTGCTGCTGAGGAACAGGGCAAGATGGTGTCCTTTCCTCAATTCTGTGTACTGAAGCCAACCGGACTTGCAGATGAATATTGCTTCAATGGTGGCAACAGGACAGCCTCCCCTAGGCTAGTTTAGGGGCAGCAGGGCAGGGTGTGTGGTGCCTCCAATGAACAGGCATGGTCAAGGGACTCTGGAAGAAGGGACACACATCTTCTCCCCTGAGGCCACCACCTCTCTTTGCATAATGGTAGGGCCAGGATTGACCCTATACCCATCCTTCAGAGGGGAGGGGTCAGTTGTGTAATGAGAAACAGCACTGGGCAGTTTTGAAAGCCCAGAGGCAGGGAGAGATGTCAGTCGGCGAAAGGTGACTATTACATCACTTTAAACAGTTGTGCTTCTCCCAGAGGATCCTGGGATGTGAAAGGTGATATAGAAAAAATAGGGGTGGTTGGCTTTTGCTGCCCAACTCCCCAAGGGACTGAATCCCCCATGATCGGTCAGAGATGAATGGATGGAGACAAGATGCAGTGAAAACAAGGCAGATCTTTATTTTTCTGTTGCAACAGAGTTCCCTCGCCTTCTTGCAAGGAGGCAAGAGAGACCCAGAACCAGGAAGAAACATCTCTTTTAAAGGTTTGCATTTTGGCGTGGAGAGGAAGCACATCCCCTCTATAACAAAGGACCCCATGGTGGTTAAATCCAGTCAAAGGCGACTATAGAGTGTGGTGCTCATTTCGCTTTTCAGGCCGAGAGAGCCGGCGTTTGTCCACAGACAGCTTTCCAGGTCATGTGGCCAACATGACTAAATGGCCATTGATGCACAGAGGATGAGTGCCAGAGTGCACGGAAACGCTGTTTACCTTCCCGCTGCAGCGGGATCTATTTATCTACTTGCGCTGGTGTGCTTTCGAACTGCTAGGTTGGCAGAAGCTGGGACAGAGCAACGGGAGCTCACCCCATCACATGTATTCGAATCGCCGACCTTCTGATCAGCGAGCCCAAGAAGCTCAGTGGTTTAGACCACAGCACCACCTGCGTCCCAGATGCTAGGAACTGTAGTTTGGTAAGGGTCCTGAGAGTTGCTAGGAGACGCCAATTCTCCTCACAGAGCTACAATTTCCAGAGTTCCCAGAGAGAAGGAATACCATAATTGAATGTTAAACCACTCTGTGAAGGGAACAGGAGTCTACTAACAACATATCAGCAGCAGAGGCTGAAGTTATGTTACGCAAACTCTGCACCCCCTCACAAATGACTTGTCTAAGGCCATGCAAGGAACCCACAGCCAGAAGGGCGGGGTATAAATAAATTATTATTATTATTATTATCTATGTCAAGGGTAGGATTTGAACCTGCTTCCCCTTTAGACCAACTCAAAAAGCATCCATGCTAACTCATGAGAGAAAGACACTTCGTATCTCATATTTTATGAGCATTGCCATTTTAAATATGCTGAAGACGCATGTCGCACTGTCTTGCCCTGATCTTTGACACCTGAGGGGGGGGTGGACCCACCCTATTATTGCACCTGTATTTTTGTTTAAAACTGTTTTTAATACTGATGTAACCTGTCCAGGGACCTAACTGTGAAAGGTGGGTAAGAAATAACAACAACATGCAGCAATGTTGAAGTTTCTTATGCATGCTTCTTGCTTCCGATATCAATAAAAATCTCTACAAAAAAGAGCCTCAGATTCTTTAAACAATCAGCCCCCTTTATAGGACCATTACCCTCCCAGGATACTCTGTTAACTGTGGTCAACCTTGAACAAAGGAACTTCAAAAGACAACTGGCCTAACTACAGACTGGGAAAATGATCACAGTTGCCTATTAGTGGTGATTCACGAACCTCAGGATGCCCACAACTCAGAACAACCACTTTATGTCTACAAAAGCTGACGCCATGATAAATTTATTAGTCTTTAAGGTGCCCCAAGACTCTTTGGACGTTTCCAGACTGCCACTGTTTTGGGGTGAGATTCAGTCACAAACGGGCAAATGCAGGTTGCACAGTTAAAGTTGATTTGGCACTCTTGCTCAAGAAACCTGCTCCCCGCAACCCCCCGCCCAAAAAATATCCCAGACTTTTTGTAATAAGGGAAGTGGGGAAATACCTTCAAAGCAGGTCGGGGAATAGCGGGATGGCGGCGCTCCACCTCCCCGCTGTCCCCCGAGCTAGTGGGGCTGGCGATGGGGGGAAGTGCGCTTCTCCCCACCGCCAACCTCCAAAGCTGGTCTCCGCCAGAGGTGGGAGAGCTTTGGGGTGCAGGCAGCTCTCCCACGGCTTGCGGACAGCTTCCTGAAGCCTGGAGAGCGAGAGGGGTCAGTGCACACTGACCCCTCTCGCTCTCCAGGCTTCAGCGAAAGCCTGCATTTGCCCCATAGGACGCACACACATTTCCCCTTCATTTTTGGAGGGGAAAAAGTGCGTCCTATAGGGCGAAAAATACGGTACATTGGAAAGTGTGGGTTAGCAATTGCTTGACCCACAAGCAAAGGATGAGGGGCATAGCTCAGTGGTAGAGCATCTGCTTTTCATGTGGAGGATCCTAAATTTAATTCCAGTATCTCCAGCTATCCCCAGTCTCTGCAGAGCTGCTGCCTACCAGTGTAAACAATACTGCCCTAGATGGACCAATGTTCTGACTCAGTATAAGGCAGCTTCCTACATTCCTAAATCAGAATGAAGTACAGTAAAAAGCCAGTAAAAAGCCGACTGGGTTCAACCTCCCCACAAACTTTGTGGAAACTGATCGGGATGAATGCTCAATAAACAGGTTGTCTGCAAGCAACCTCCATTACTTTATCTTTTGTTGGTAGCCTCTGGTTTACACAAAGAATTTGTTGAATGTAGCCTCTGTTTGCTTGGGCTCTAAGCTCGCAAGGAAGGAAACAAAGTTAAGATTAGAGTCATTCCAGTCTTTGGGGCTGTGGATATAAATAACTGACAATGCACAAGATAATAAGTGTTTCTGATTGCTCAGGACATGTCAACAAACCCATCCTCCACAATTTCAGCATTTGGTATGTTTCTAAACTTACACAAACGGGTTTTTTTTTGGTGAGGTAGGGCATTTCTCTTGCTTCCTAATAGTTGTAGCGTGGGGAATAAGGCGTTTACACCAGCTGCTTTCATTTCTTGGGCTTTAAAGCAGTGGCTTATTTTTTCCTTCTTCGAAAGAGGTAGTCGAGTTAGTCCGTTGCAGCAAAAACAAATGTGCCTGCCAACTTTAGGATAACAGTTCATGCATCAAGATGAAGGGGAGACTGGTTCATCCAAGCCTGAGCTATGATAAATCTGTTTGCCTCCTAGATGCCAGCGGAGTCTTTGATGTTCTTTTCTCCAAAGGTGCAAAGTGGACTCAGCAGGGAGCGGGGATGCACACCTCTTCAATTAAATGTCATAAAACATTGTCTACAGCTAATCTCAACCTCACACTTAAATGCAACATGAATGTTGATAAGTTTCCCTTAAACCACGGCTCAGAAGCGCAGATTGTTCAGTTCCATAAACTCTCTCCAGCGCAACGACAATGGAGCTAAAATGGTTCAGATGTAAACCTCTTAGTTCATCTTAGTACCATTATTATGGTAGTGAGAGCCAGTGTGGCATAGTGGTTAGAGTGTCAGACTAGGACCCGGGAAACCAGGGTTCAAATCCCCACTCGGCTGTGAAACTCACTACGTGACTTTGGTCTAGTCACTGCTTCTCAGCCTAACTCACAGGGCGGTTGTTGGGATTAAATGGGAAAGGGGGGAACCATATACTGTATACAGTGGAACCTCGTGTTACATACCGTCCTCCTTACGAACACTTCGGGTAATGCGCTCTGCTAACCCAGAACTAGATGCCGCTTGTTGCGAACTTTGCCCCGGGATGTGAGTGGAAGTCGTGTGCCGGTGGCGTGGCAGCAGTGGGAAGCGCCATTAGTGAAAGCGCACCTCATGTTAAGAATGGTTTTGGCTTAAGAACGGACCTTTGGAACGGATTAAGTTCGTAACGGGAGGTACCACTGTATCACCTTGAGGTCCCTGGAGAAAAAGGTGGGATAGAAACTAAACAAACAAATAAATTACTGGGGAAAGAAGAAGCCCAGGAAAGGGAGGGAGAGAGGGAGGGAGGGGAAGACAACACCAGAAACCTAATCCTGTCCCACTTGTGATAGTGGTTCCACAAGGGCCAGCATTGATGCCGAAAGCCAGCATCGCCTGAGCTCTGCGAGTGCGGCTTTCTCCCGACTGAAGTGCAGGGTGTTTGAGGACCGGGACATTCGCAGGGAAACCAAAATGCTTGTTTACAAAGCTACCAACCTTACTATATGCTTGTGAAACATGGACCACTTATAAACGCCATCTCCAACTCCTCAAAAGATTCCATCAACGGTGCCTCCGAAAAATTTTACTTGGGAAGACAGGCAAACTAATATCAGTGTAGTTACAGGTAGGTAGCCGTGTTGGTCTGCCGTAGTATAAACAAAATAAATTTTAAAAAATCCTTCCAGTAGCACCTTAGAGACCAATTAAGTTTGTTATTGGCATGAGCTTTCGTGTGCATGCACACTTCTTCAGATACACTGAAACAGAAGTCACCAGACCCTTATATATAGTGAGAGAGTGTGGAGGGGTATTCATCAGTATTTGCGTTTTTTGCTGTGGTGAGGGCACGGAGAATCCACCCATATTGTCCTTTTGTAGGTTCCATGTGCTGGGTATCTACCGTAATCCAAGAGGATATTTTGCTCTGTAAATGTAAGGTTGTTCCGTATAGTTCTGTTGATGGTTTCAGTTACCTTCTGCCAAAAATCTTTCAATACAGGACAATGAAAAAACAGATGTTTTAGAGAAGCATTAGCCCTATTGCATCTCCAACAGTTAGATACCTTAGATAGCCCTTTTTTAAACAAACGTAATGGGGTCCAGTATATTCTAAATATTATTTTTTGTTGTATAAGCCTCAGTTTAAGATCCAGAGAGACCCTTGTTATAGCAGTTAATGGGTTTGAATCTCAATCTAAGGCAGGGATGGGGAACCTACGGCCTTCCAGCTGCTGCTGAACTACCGTATAGCATTAGAGAATCATCAATGTAGAGCTGGAAGGGACCCCAGGGTCATCTAGTCCAACCCTCTGCAATGCAGGAATCTCAGCTAAAGCATCCATGACAGACGGCCACCCAACCTCTGCATAGAAGCCTCCAAAGAAGGTTGGACCATTGACTGTGGTGGATGGAGCTGACGGGAGCTGAAGGCCATAGGATTCCCCACTCCAATCTGAGGCTATACTTCTCAGATAGATCCCCAATATAAGGCTGCTTTTGTTTGATGCCACCCTTAAAAAGGTCTCAAATGGTGGTGTCAACTGGTCATAAATAAAGTACCGTATTTTTTGCACCATAACACTCACTTTTTTCCTCCTAGAAAGTAAGGGGAAATGTCTGTGTGTGTTATGGAGCGAATGCCTGCGGGTGGCGGGGGGGATCTGCTGCAGTCGTGAGCAGAGGATCCATGGTTCCCCTTCCTTCCCTCCTCCGTGGTTACAAAGCATGGATCCACATGGATCTTCAGGATTTTGCATTGGGCTACTCCAAACTCACTGTCAGATCACATGTCTGTGGCCACAGCATGAACCACAAAAATCATATATCCACTATTTCGTTTAGAATATTTTTTTTCTTGTTTTCCTCCTCTAAAAACTACGTGCGTGTTATGGTCTGGTGCATGTTATAGAGCGAAAAATACGGTACTGGGGCCTGCTCCTCTGCCTTTGAAAGAAGCTTGCTACACAGAAAGAAGTGGGTGAAAGAAAGTTTTTATATCAAGGAGCTGCTTCACATAACCACATACTCCTTGCTGCACTGTTTAATGCCCATTCATGCTGCAGGGGCCAATTTAAAAGTTATCCATCCCAGTTCAAAGGGAGGTCACGGAAGCTCTCTCCCCATTTTGTTCCATTCTCCCCACCTCTCTCCTCGCCCTCCATACTTCCCTTTTATTTTGCAAACGAGTATAGTCTCCTTAAAATGGCAACTTGAGGATAAAACCTAGACATCTTTCAGCTCTAACTGCCTCGGGAAGCTCTGGGGGAGGGAATTAGCAGCACAAGGAGGGAAATATTGTCAACGCATAATGATATTTTGTTTTGTACATCTGCCACCGTTATTCCGCTAACTGGCGTTTTCTAATTTAATTCTGGGAGCCAAAGGCTGGAGATAATTGCCCTTCCTTCCAGTGCTTCTTCTGTCTGTAATATAAATCAAAGAAAGTGCATGCTCTAAATTGGGGTCCTGAACCAAGAGATCATTGAGAAGACGTTTCATTTGCTAAGGGCCTTGCCAAAATAAATGGTGTGCAGCTGGACAGAAAGGTAACCCTGGATATTGATGAGAACAAGGGTAATGAAGTCAAATGTGCCACAGACAGACTGTTGGGGGCATCCATCTCTCCCTCTTACCCCCGCCACAAGCTCAGCATATACTAGAAATATGAAATCACTTGAAAATGCTTCAGAATCATAAAAACCACATGCCCGCAAGATTAAAGGTTCTTGTCACTGATACTGTGAAGTCCACGTTCATAAAATCTTCCTCCACTGGTGGGGGCGGGGGGAGTAGCTGTTTAGAAGGCTATACAAGCCAACAGCCCAAGATCTGGCTGGTTATTCCAAATAAACACAGGACTTTTCTCCTGTCCTTCCTCTTGGCATTTTCCCAGAAGAAGAAAATTCTCTGTCTGTGTACACATCCCTGTTCCCACCGCTCGGAAACACGCTGGCGTTTGAAGCCGTGAGCACATGACGTTAGCCACAATCCATATCTCTCCTGTGGTTTCTTGAGAAATGTTGCCATTCGATGCATTTTTCCCAGAAACCAACTTCCATCTAATTTGAAAACATAGGTCACATACACCTCACAGTGAAGCTGAGGTGTGCATATTTGAAATCACTGTTGTGCTTGTGCAAGTGACAGCTTCGTGAAGAGTTTCTTAGATTTCCACATGTGCCTCCAGCATGCTGGGGGACCATTGGAACAGCCAAAGGAAAAAGGCCTGGAAGATCTGGAAATAGTAGCTGAGCAGGTGCCCCAGAAATGATGTTCCAATAGGAAGGGGCAGCAAAGGAGACCAGACAGACATTTCTAGGGTCAAAAAGAGTAATGGAGAGAAGGTGACTGACATTTGGGGATGGTTTGTGTGCCTTAAACAGCTGCATGACAAGCAGAAATCCAGGAGGTGACACTCTCCATATTGCAGTGTCAAATCACCACCTAGAATCAAAGAATTGTAGAGTTGGAAGGGACCCTAAGAGTCATCTAGTCCAACCCCAGTGCAGGTATCTCAGATAAAGCATCCAAGACAGATGGCCATCCAACCTCTGCTTAGAAACCTCCAATGAAGCAGAGTCCTTCTTCTTTTTCTTCTTTGGCGATCACTCGTAGCCGAGTAAGATTGTCTTCCATGAACACAATTTTAACAGTGGGTCCGTAAGTGATTGTGGAGGCCAATTCTGGATCCACACATCCTTCCACAGTGGGGATATAGGTTTCCGGGCAGGAGTTGATCATGGTGTGGATTTGCCAAGTGTGCCTTCCTCTTAGCACGTTTCTCCCTTGCGTCCTGAGTTCGAGTATCTTTAAAGCCCATGACACCTTTGGTAAAGACCAGGGGTCAGCAAACTTTTTCAGCAGGGGGCCAGTCCACTGTCCCTCAGACCTTGTGGGGGGCCGGACTATATTTTGAAGGGGAAAAAATGAATGAATTCCTATGCCCCACAAATAACCCAGAGATGCATTTTAAATAAAAGCATACATTCTACTCATGTAAAAACACACTGATTCCCAGACTGTCCGCGGGCCGGATTTAGAAGGCGATTGGGCCGGATCCGGCCCCCGGGCCTTAGTTTGCCTACCCATGGTAAAGGCTGTTCTTCAACCTCCTGAGGGAGTTTGTTCTACTGTCAATCAGCTCTTGCTCACCAGCTTAAATTATGTTCAGGAAACCGCTGTAGCAGGTCAACTGGTCAGTCTAGCCCAAAATTTATTACTCCGCTGGGAGTTACCGTAATCTCCAGGGTCTCAAGCAGAGGGGCTTTCCCATCCTTTAATGGAATATGCTGGCGACTGAATCTGTGGGTGAAGCAGATGTCCTACCTCTCAGCTACGCTTCCTATGGGAGAGGGTCATAGCTGTGTGTGGTACATCTGCTTTGAATGCAGGAGGTTTCAGGCTTAATCTTCAGGCAGGGATGTGATTATTACCCTGTCTGAAACCCTGGAAAGCCACTGCCAGTCAGTGTCAAAAATACTACTGGACCAGACAGACCCATGATCTGACTCAGAACGAGTGTCAGTTCAAGTCACCGCTTCTTCCTTATCAACATTCAGCACTAAGTGTTGCTGCCTAAGTAGCCAAAAGGCTGCTTTCATCACCCAAATGGAAGAAGGAAGTCTTTTTTTTTTTTAATAATTTTTATTAACAAACCAATCAAATCACATTAATTCCAAATTACAGAGCCAAATTTTAAATTTTTGTTGGGGGTACCCATATTTTGAGCTCCGAAAGGGATCCGATCATCTTATTGCTGCTGCTTTGATGTTCACAGTTCTGTCCAAATAATCTTCACAATTCTATCCAATCCTCTCTTTGTTGTTTTCCTCATCTCTTCTTGTTGTTTTCGTATATTTTTCCCTTCTCTTTGTGACCTCTGATGGAAGAAGGAAGTCTTAGCAGGCTTGAGGATGCAATGTTTCTGCAATGTTTGCAGAAATAATTAAAAAAATAAACTTCAGAAAGAATACATAAGGGAAGAGAACCCACGATGGTTGCAGGAGCATGGAATAATGATTCACCTTAGAAGGAATGGGAAACTAAGAAGAATGGGAAATGGAATGGAAGACCGGAGTGCCTGGCGTGCTCTGGTCCATGGGGTCACGAAGAGTCGGACATGACTAAACGACAACAACAACAACAACAAATCAACATAGGATATGGCTGGCTGATTAGAAAACTGCAACATTTTATTCCCATACCTGCTTGTTTAGCTTAAATTTCCCCATATTGGACTAGTTCCTGGTTATGGGGACATTTCCCCATATTGGACTAGTTCCTGGTTATGGGGAAGTGTGCAAGCACATTCTGGGAAATACACATAAAAGTCTCCTTCAGACCTTGCCCCCCAAGGTGAAAGGTGGGGCCAGCTGCAATTCTTCCTGCATGCTTGATAATGCCTGAAGAGAGCTTCTGTTGTTATAAAAAGAGCTAAACTGCTGCCAGAGGCTGGGCAAGCAAGTTCTTGAAAGATCAACAGTGGAGCTGAAACAGATCAAAACAAACACCTATCCAAATATATACCAATTATAGGGAAATGATGTTATTGCTTCACCAAGTTGTCATTCCAGAGAGGGTTAGTTTTATTGGCCTGTACAAACTTCAGATACTCCTCAACTGCCTTTTTGAGATAACTGCTACCAGCTGCAGTAAAACAATCTCAGTCTTCGATAGCAATCATTACAGGTTAAAGGCCTTCAGCATATCTGAACCCATTAAGTTAACTCAGTTTCCTTGATCAGAAGTTGCAAACGTACCATATTTTTCAGTGTATAAGACGAGGTTATTTTATTTTAAAATTATGCTAAAAATTTGGGGTCATCTTATACCCGGATAGTGGAGAGGTGGGATGGGCGATTGGTGGCTGCCGCGAGCAGGAGATTGTCAGTGGCGTTTTTGTGGGTGATTGGTGGGTGCGGCAAGGTCCACTGGCTATTGGCTGCTACGGCAATTGGGTGTGTGTGATTGGTGCTTGCTTTCATTGAGCATGCAGACAATTGGTTGCTTTGTCGATGTGCGTGCGATTGGCTGTGCCAGTCCTGCAGGTGAGCGATTTTCAGCAACCCCCCTGAAAAAGCTCAAGATGTCTGGGCAATTCCCCCCCCCCCAAAAAAAAGCTCTGCAACTGTGTGCAATCCCCTCACAAAAATGCTCAACAACCCTGGGCAATCTCCCCCCATTTTCTCAATTTGGAATCCCCCAAAAGTCTTATACATGGGAGCGTGTTATACAGTGGTACCTCTAGTTACAAAATTAATTCATTCCGGAGGTCCGTTCTTAACCTGAAACTGTTCTTAACTAGAGGCGTGCTTTCGCTAATGGGGCCTCTTGCTGCTGCTGTGCCGCCGGCACACGATTTCCGTTCTCATCCTGGGGCAAAGTTCTCAACTCGAGGTAACTCTTCCAGGTTAGCGGAGTTTGTAACCTGAAGCGTTTGTAACCTGAGGTGGTACCTCAGGTTACATACGCTTCAGGTTACATACGCTTCAGGTTACACACTCTGCTAACCCAGAAATAGTGCTTCAGGTTAAGAACTTTGCTTCAGGATAAGAACAGAAATTGTGCTCTGGTGGTGCAGCAGCAGCAGGAGGCCCCATTAGCTAAAGTGGTGCTTCAGGTTAAGAACAGTTTCAGGTTAAGTACAGACCTCCGGAACGAATTAAGTACTTAACCCGAAGTACCACTGTACACGGAAAAATACGGTAAGTTCACACTTGTCACCTGTGACCATTAGCCCTGCTGGCTGGGGCTGATGGGAGTTCAGCATCTGGAAGGCTACAGGTTTCCTGCTCCTTCCTGCCTTAGAGAGCAAACTAGTCAAGAAGCTAGACAAGAACTTTATTGTTTCCATCAAGAACTGAAGAGTAACAACACTATCCACGCAACACTCACTGCAGGTTTCTTAGAAAGGAACAAGAAGAACCTGCAGGATCAGGCCAATGGCCCATGTAGTCCAGCATCCTGTTCCCACAGTGACCAACCAGATGCCTGCGGGAAACCTGCAAGCAGGACTTGAGCACAACCACACTCTCCCATTCTGTGGTTTCCAGCAACTGATGTTCAGTTGCATTCGCCGCATGCATCGCTGTTTCCATTTCGCTGCAGTTCAGCTTCTGCCAAAAACGACGTAATTCAACTTAAAGTCTGCTGTGGTGGAATTAGGTAAATTGCATTACATTATTCCACCCTGTTCATTTAATTGCAAAGGGTGTGTAATGCCAATGGTGGCGGGAGGACACACACAATCGATAGCATATCATTTGTAGGCTAAAGGCAACGGTAGCAAACACCAATTGTATTTGCTGGATTGATATCAGTTCCAGACAGGGGACAAATTAGTGAACACCAGCAAGTTCCATTTTCCTCAGAATTCTCTGACATCTCTACCTGCAAGAGAATGTTATAGCCAAACATGTTGTTCACGCTTTCCCCCACCCCACCGCTCTTTACATCTGATCCCAAGGACCATAATTATTTTATGAGAGGTCTGGAAAATAAGGTGCAATGGTCTTGACCTAGTTCACAATGTTTGGTTTTGAAGTAGTAAAATTTGCCTACACCAAGAAGCTGCAAAAGCTGATTGCTTGCTACGCTGGGGAAAATGCATGCAGGGTTATCTCTGACACAGTAACTACCGTATGTCACAAAAAAATATGATTTTCAGGCTTAAAGAACCTTGTTTTCGGTTTAACATTAAATCTGCAGCAGGAGATTTAGCAACCACCGAATGTCATGTTCTTTCTGTGCATCCAGACCTCAAATCCATTGCCACAGCTCCCAGAAGTCTTTGGGCGGAAGCCATGATGACTGCTTGAAGTGATAACAGGTAACATCTTGGCCATTTCACCCTGCAAAATGCTTCCCAGCAACAGGAAGGAGCTTGGGAAAATCTTCTGGGTGGAAGAACTGGAGTGTTAGAAATGTACAACTGCCCTTATTTTCACCTGCGAAGTGCTGGAGAGTGTAATGTTTGCATGTCTATTCAAAGCCATGCCCATTCGACTCTGGCGGTGAACACGGCTGGCTCACCCAACTCTTGAGGTCCATGGAGGGCTCCAGGTCACAAAGCAAGTTGTTGTTTTTGCTCTGCCCCCCACAAAACACCGATAATTCAGCAGTTGTGTTTGTCATGTCAGATTGCACTCCCACAAGACAGCTTGCTGAATAGGGAAATCCTGTCTGGAACAAGATGAGGACGGGAGGGCTCTGTTTGAGTTATCACATCCCAAAGCTTTGTTTGCGGATGCAGAAAGCTTATCACAAAGTTTAAAGTTTTAAAAAAGCACACAAGAGGGAAACAGCAAAAGAAATGAAAATAAATACAGTGCAACTTCAGCAACAGAAATGTTGGCATCTGTTTCCAAACACGCCTCCAGATTATTGCTCAAATATTATGCTAGTTATAGATAAACTGGGCATATCTAGACGGGGAGTGCTATGTTAGTTCAAATTTGTTGATTAAATGTCTCATTCTACAAATGCACCTATTTATTAATTTCAGTCACATCCACGCCGTATATTGAAAGCACATTAAAAATGTAAGGGATCATGGGCATAGCCAGGATTTGGGGGGGGGGCAGGCCTTTTGTTTGGGGGGGCGCAGAACCTCAGCTAGCTACGTATTTTTATTTTTATTTTATTTTTTTAGGGGGAGGCCCCTGCCCCCCCCGCCCCCCCATTTCGTTCCCCTTGCTCTCTACTTTTTAACTGAAAAGAACTTCTAACTGCTTTCAAGGACTATCAAGTTTAGAGGACTCTCAGTGAATCTTGCCTTATAAGTTTGGGATTCAGGTCTCATCTTGGAAGTACAACAAGGGAAATAGCTACGCAAATTACCACGATGATTAGCACAACAGATCACCCTCTGATGAATCACGTATCAGCATATACAGTGGTACCTCAGGTTACATATGCTTCAGGTTACATACGCTCCAGGTTACAGACTCCGCTAACCCAGAAATAGTGCTTCAGGTTAAGAACTTTGCTTCAGGATGAGAACAGAAATCGGGCTCCAGTAGCGCGGTAGCAGCAGGAGGCCCCATTAGCTAAAGTGGTGCTTCAGATTAAGAACAGTTGCAGGTTAAGTAAGGACCTCCGGAACGAATTAAGTACTTAACCTGAGGTACCACTGTACCAGTATTTAGCTGCTGAAGTATTGCCCAGCCCTAGCACTAAATCTCGGCTGCTGCTTCCCGCCTTATTACTACTACTACTACTCCTCATAACTACTTATTACTACTGCTACTACCTCCTGGCAAATAGAAGGGGAAGAAATGGAGGCAGTGAGAGATTTTACTTTCTTGGGCTCCATGATCACTGCAGATGGTGACAGCAGTCACGAAATTAAAAGACTCCTGCTTCTTGGGAGAAATGCAATGACAAACCTATTCCTCACAACTACTAACAGCTGTGACAGGAGAGGAACTGCAGCTAGAACAACTACAAAGCAGGCATAAATTTTGCCCTTCACTGCTGCTGTCTGAGCAAGAGAGGAGAGTCACCTTTCCCACCGATTTACAACAGCTGAGCTTCACAGCGGACTTCTGGGTGGTGCGGGGAGGTTTTTGACGTGACTTACGGGTTAGCAATGTCTGTGCTAGGAAGGGTTAGTGTTTGAGCTTTTATTTTTCTCTGCAGGTTAGTGGGAGTATAATTCTATTTGATTTGTGTCCCTGTGTTGCCAATGTTGTTATCAATGCCTTTGCTTGTTTATGTTTAACCCGCTTCTGTTTTATAATGTGTTTATGTATATGTTCCTCAGTCTAAGTCCCTTGGGAGACCTTGTAGGTGACCAGCGACTAATAAGATTAATAAATAAATACTCTGTGTGTGTGCACACATATTGTGCAACATCTCCGCCATCCCCAGTTATCTCAAAGGTCCACACGCAAGTCGCAGCAAGGAACTTAATCTCTGCTTTCCTTATCAGGCATGATGCCTGCAAGGTCTGTTTCTTTTAGATGGCAAGACCTCTCATCTGGGATAAGCCTATCAGCAGATCTCGTGCCGTCAAGGCACCAATACCTTCTTGTTTGCCACAAAGGGCATTTTCCTTCTTAGAGAATAAGGACCTGCAGCTTTGCACGTTACACAAATCCCTCTTGTCTCACGCGCTTCCCCAGCAAAGCAGGCCTGGTCCAACCTTTTGAGGTCCTAGGAGCTGCCTTGTCAAAATGTTTCTGTACATCAGAGATGCTGCACGGTCAGGATTTCACAGCAAAGAAGAGATAGTCTCCTCTAACATAGTATGCAATGCATCAACTGAAGCACTGGTCTTCCAGTGAGCTGTGGCCTGATGATCCAAGGTGGGTTGTCACAGGACCATGGGCACCATTCAAATACAGGAGTTTCCTGCCGCCAATCAGAAGCCGCGATTTGGTTTATGAACGTTTTGGAAGTCGAACAGACTTCTGGAACAGATTCCGTTCGACTTCCAAGGTACAACTGTATAGGGTGAAAAAGCAAGAGATTTCCCTCACATTGCTACAGTTCTCAGGTTGGTTTTACAATCACTTTTTATTTTTGGGGGGTCCCAGGGAACTCTGAGAATTGTGGCTCTGTGAGGGGAATAGTAACTCTCAGCACCCTTAATGAACTACTATTCCCAATATGCGTGACTCTTAAAGTGGTATGATACTACTTTAAATAGTCCAGATATGGCCCTGTAGTTTGATAGCAGTTCTAATCACCTTGTGTGCTTTTTGTGTGAACTGAGGAAGCTGGAAGTGCTGAAACATTTTTTTTTTAAAATCCTTTAGAAATGGTGTGGGAATCCTCTTTCCTAGGAAAATAATTGACCAATGGGGAAAGCCTATTGGGTGAGTTGAGCCAGAGCCAAAACTGAGCCTGTTTGTTGTACTGTATGATTTTATAATTCTCATTCTTTCTCCACGTCCCCATTTCTGCAGATTGCATGAAATTAGGTCGAGGGCACATGTGGTATGCATACCATAGCAATGGCCTACATTCTAATGTTCAGAATTAGGCCATTCTAAAGTTCAGAATTAGGCCATTCATTGCTGTGGCATGCATACCTCTCTGCTCAGCTTAGCAGAGGTTCTTGAGGCAAGTAGCAAAAGCGCCTTGGGATTTTTTAAGGTTAAGAGGCGTGAAGTAAAATTATTCCACCAAGATACACAAATGAATCACTCGGTTAGGCCCAGGTGACTTGCAAAAGCATGTCCAAGATATGTAAATGAGCAGCGGAGACAGGGGACTTTGAAAGACATTGTATATACAGTACTGTATTGAGAATTGGGAGTAGGGAGGGAAATGAAAGAAAGGCCTCAGGAAGAGAGCTCTGACCTCAGGCCTAGATTCTAAAACAACTCCATATATACCTTGGGTTGAAGAGCAGGGCAGCTGGATTAAGTTCAGAGGTTAAGATGTACACAGTGTTTGCAACTGCCTGAAATAGTGCACTGCATACGAATAACGGAAAGTTCTACTTTGCATGTTGTTCTTTAGTCGTTTAGTCTTGTCCGACTCTTCGTGACCCCATGGACCAGAGCATGCCAGGCACTCCTGTCTTCCACTGCCTCCCGCAGTTTGGTCAGACTCATGCTGGTAGCTTCAAGAACACTGTCCAACCATCTCGTCCTCTGTCGTCCCCTTCTCCTTGTGCCCTCCATCTTTCCCAACATCAGGGTCTTTTCCAGGGAGTCTTCTCTTCTCATGAGGTGGCCAAGGTCTTGGAGCCTCAGCTTCACAATCTGTCCTTCCAGTGAGCACTCAGGGCTGATTTCCTTCAGAATGGAGAGGTTTGAGCTTCTTGCAGTCCATGGGACTCTCAAGAGTCTCCTCCAGCACCATAATTCAAAAGCATCAGTTCTTCGGTGATCAGCCTTCTTTATGGTCCAGTTTTCACTTCCATACATGACTACTGGGAAAACCATAGCTTTTACTATACGGACCTTTGTTGGCAAGGTGATGTCTCTGCTTTTTAAGATGCTGTCTAGGTTTGTCATTGCTTTTCTCCCAAGAAGCAGGCGTCTTTTAATTTCATGGCTGCTGTCACCATCTGCAGTGATCATGGAGCCCAAGAAAGTAAAATCTCTCACTGCTTCCATTTCTTCCCCTTCTATTTGCCAGGAGGTGATGGGACCAGTGGCCATGATCTACTTCACGTTTTCATTTATTTATTGAACAAAATTTGACACACGGCTGGGTTGCACAGAAAACCTGCGGCAGCTCTGCTCTTCCCTCTTTTGGGATGATATAAGAAAAAAAAATGCTCCTTTTCCCTTATGGGGTACCCAAGAGCCCATATACAGTGGTACCTCGGGTTACATACACTTCAGGTTACATACGCTTCAGGTTACAAACTCTGATAAGGACTTAAGAACTTTGATTCAGGATGAGAACAGAAATCGTGCTCCAGCGGTGCAGCAGCAAAAGGCCCCATTAGCTAAAGTGGTGCTTCAGGTTAAGAACAGACCTCCGGAATGAATTAAGTACTTAACCCGAGGTACCACTCTAGAGTCCTTTTGTAGGTTCTCTATCGGTAGGAGAAAATAACAGAGACCAACCAGAGAATACAGTGGTACCTCAGGGTTAAGTACTTAATTCGTTCCGGAGGTCTTATAACAGGGAAGTTAGTTCCCAACTTGGCTGAAGGTGGTTACATGGGGTTGCCATATATTGAAGAGCAAAAAAAGAGGGCAGCCCGAGCTGCTGCCAGCCTGAGCTGGGAAAAAGAGGTGTGCCTCTTTCTCTGGCTCGGGCTGACAGAGGCCACGGTGAGCAGAGCAGGCAGAGCCCCTTCCCCCCCCCCAAACCTGGACATTTCCTTTAAAAGGTAAAAAATCTGCCTAGATGGGCATGTTGGCTCCCCAGCAGAGGATATGTCTAGGTTTTCCCAAACGTACGACAACCCCGTTGTTGTGTTCAGGGCCAGATTTAGGTTTGATGAGGCCCCAAGCTACTGAAGGTAATGGGGTTCTTTATATGTCCAGCTGCCCTTTGTCAACAACAAATTGTCAACAACAAGCCGCTATTTTTTGTGTTGAATATATGCTATATGGTAATTTATGGACCAAATAGGTCCATACACAACACAAAATACTTCTGCTGTATGTAGATTTTATTGTATTTGTTTTTTATCTTATATTTTGGAAATGTACATCCAGTTTTTTCCCCTTTAAATTTTTTAGGGGCCCCCAAGAGAGTGGGGCCCTAAGCTATAGCTTGTTTAGCTTATACGTAAATCTGGTACTGGTTGTGTTGCATCTGTGCCTGCTAATGAACCTGGCTGGCTGCCCAGCTGGCAAGAGAGGAAGTGAGTAATGGGAATGCCAGACAGGCAGAAAGACTCACTCAGCCAATCCACAATGGGGAGGGGGATCCCCTTAGCTGGCACCACCAAGCCATTTCCATTGGTTTCAGTTTGCCATTGTGGATGTTTTAGGCTTCTAGGAGCCATTGAGCATGCAAGTGGCAACATGCACCAGCCACTGAGAGCCAAGTGAGAAGACTCTTCTGCGTGGCTCACATGCTCTCCTTTCATTGGCTCTCGGGAGGCTGACATGGGGTCTTGGGGCGGGGCAGGAGGAAAGGTGAGCCATTGACGACTCCCTACAATCTGGGAGGACTATACCATCCACATAGCTCAGGGCAGGATGCTGCTTGTTGCCCCACTAACCTGCCACACATTTTGTCCTCCCCTCTGCCAAATCTGGCACTGTATTTAAGGTGTAAATAGTACTTTCCTTGAATAACCAAAGTACTTTACACCCATTTGAACTGGAGTCCATTCCAAAGCTTTGGTAAAAGTAGGTCAGTGTGATTTTCTTCGCAACTACAGTGGTACCTTGGGTTACATACGCTTCAGGTTACGTACGCTTCAGGTTACAGACTCCACTAACCCAGAAATAGTACCTCGGGTTAAGAACTTGCTTCAGGATTAGAACAGAAATCGTGCTCCGGCAGCGCGGCGGCAGCGGGAGGCCCCATTAGCTAAAGTGGTGTCTCAGGTTAAGAACAGTTTCAGGTTAAGCACGGACCTCCGGAACAAATTAAGTACTTAACCCGAGGTACTACTGCAGTACTTTTTGGAAAATAGAGCACTCCCTGTTTCAGGATGCCAGCCATTCTATTTCTTCCTCCAGAGCCATTCTATTTCTACCTCCAGAGTACAGTGATACCTCGGCTTCAGGTTGAGTGCTTTTGGGTTGCGCTCCGCAGCGACCCAGAAGTAACGGAACGTGTTACTTCCGGGTTTTGCCGCTTGCACATGCACAGATGGTCAAAATGACATCGTGCGCGGAAGCGGCAAAACATGACACGCACACGCACAGACACACTGTCGCGTCTTACATTCTATTTGGGATGCGAACTGGGCTCCGGAATGGATGCCGTTCGCATCTTGAGGTACCACTGTACTGGGCATGCTCAGTTCTCATTGGGCTGTTTTGGGTCACCTCCCCCATTCTGAGGTTCTTGGGCCCCCTCTTGAGATTCTTCATGCTTCTATAAACCTGGGGGGTCCCCTGACTTTTCTGAAACCTCCATCCTGAGCTGTTTGGGCTGGATCTGCAAGCATGAAAAGGCTGTCGCCTTGTCAGGAGACAGCAGACTCAGAATGAGAATGGAGCTGATTGCAGTTGTGAGGTTTTATTTAAGTACTTCCTGATAGTCCACTCACTTAATCAGCATTCTCAGCTAACTGAAAAAGCAGAAGGAAACCTGTTGTTTGACCAGCCATACAACTACAACATGAGAGTCCCTCCAGTAATAGATAGAAATTAGGTACACACTATAAAACCCCTGAAACATCTTTCACGAGCGAGAACAGCAACAGAGGCTTTCAAATCAGATTTTTTTGAATGGTGCAATCCAGGGATTGCAATCCAGGGATTGGGCTACCTGAAAAACCTGACAGAAGAGTCACATTTTCTTCAAAGGATCCCGCCCTCCAAACCATCTGCACAGATCTTACAAACAGATTTATGCAAGGGTGAGTATAGAGGTTTGAATAACAGTGTTGCAGGCCACCCCAATCTCAGAGAGGTGCAAAGTTCCCGTCGCTTTCCTAGGGTTTGTGTTTCCTCATAATGAGTGACAGTGGAGACTGTGGTGTCTTTATGATATATGGTTTATTTACACATATATACAACCTGAGCCTACGATGGAGGGTTTCACAGCCTTAATACCCCAAGGCATAGCTCTGTCTCACAGCTGCCCAGTCTGCTTCTTGCTTCTAGCGCTCTCTCACACAACTCTGGTCTTTGTCTTCTTAATTACCAGCTGGTTGAAGGAGGGAGGCTGACGTTCTTGTCCTCTGGCACAGGGCCACTTCCTTTGTTACCTTAATGGCCCATACTTAGACGTCCATTAACAAGCAACTTTTCCAGCTATTACAGCAGTTTGAATCCTTGCTTAGATTTGCACCCCTGCTGGATCCAGGAACTGGAAGGGTCTCAGGCATACGGCCTACCCCCACCCCCCAAAAAACCACGTCAAAACAATATGAATGTGTCAGGGGTTCAGGGACAGAGGCACAGGGTAGGCAGGAGATGGAGAGCGATGGGGATGAATCCCAGGACAGCGAGGAAGAGGATGACAATGACTCAAGAGATTCCATGAGTCTTTCCAGCGGATCAGAGGATTCCCAGAAGGGGGCGCCGGTGGTCAAGGCCAGGGGAGCCCCAGGGGGGACGTGTCAGGAGCAGGGGGCCAGCGGGGATCCCAAAGTGGCAGCTGGGCGTCAGGACCAGCCTCCCGCCAGCGTGCAGCGAAGGGGGTGGAGGTTCCAGTGTATCCGGGGAAGCAGCTCCGGCAGCAGAGAAGGGAGGGAGGGCGGAGCACGCCACCCCCCCGGATGGGGTGGGGAGCAGTGACGGGAGTAGTGTAACTGTCAAAGGGACAGTTAGAGGTTGGGCGCGCGCGCCTCGTTCAAGTGTAGCGGCGCGCGGACGTGCAGGGAGTCCGGAGGCGGGGCCCGGTCCCAAAGCCCGCAGGAGGGGGAAGAGCAATCTGGGGATTCCGCGTCAGGGGAATCCAGGAGGGGCGAAACCCCAGCGGGCAGGAAGACCCTGCGGAAAAGGAAAGAGAGGAAAAGGTGGAGCAGCGCAAGCCTCTTAAACTGGTGCAGGGGAGGGACTGACTCAGAGAGGACTTCAACGGTCTAAGCGTAACAGACGTGGGGTTGCGCGCCTCGGATGTGAAGCAAACAATGAACTCCAATAAATACCTTTGTATATAAGAAGAACTTGGCGTTGGTCTTTTGTGAGCTGAGACCTGAGGCAGCCCTGACAGAATGTAATGACAATGTTACACTAACCTGCCCTAAAGTAACTGTGGTTTATGTTGTACCAGGCAAAGGAATACAAGCAGGAACAGCGCCTCAAATGCAAATAATTATCTGGAACCTGGAATTTTTTTGGTGAGGCATACATTGGGGATTAGGCAAACCCAGGGAGGATTATGGGTATTAATGGCTACAAGTCAATGCATGTATATTAACTCCAGAAGCATTATGCCTCTGAATACAGTGGTACCTCGGGTTACATATGCTTCAGGTTACATACACTTCAGGTTACAGACTCCATTAACCCAGAAATAGTGCTTCAGGTTAAGAACTTTGCTTCAGGATGAGAACAGAAATTGTGCTCCGGTGGCGCGGCGGCAGCAGGAGGCCCCATTAGCTAAAGTGGTGCTTCAGGTTAAGAACAGTTTCAGGTTAAGAACGGACCTCCGGAACGAATTAAGTACTTAACCTGAGGTACCACTGTACTAGGTGCTGAGGAGAACAGCAAAGCTGGGAAACTGCCCTCACATCCTTGTGGGCTTCCCATATCCATTTGGTTGGCCACTCTGAGAACCAAGGTGCTATGATACCACTTTAAACAATCATGGCTTCCCCCCAAAGAACACTGGGAGCTGTAGTTTGTTAAGGATGCTGAGAGCTGCTAGGAGACCCCTATTTCCCACGCAGAGGGAAATTTCCAGAGTGGTTTTCCCTTTTTAAAGGGGACTCTGGAAATTATAGCTCTGGGCACCTCTCAGCACATTTTGTTAAACTACAGCTCCCAGAATTCCACGGGGAAGCTGTGAGTGTTTAAAGTGAGAATGGGTGTTTGGTCTGAACCAATTGGCCTCTTCTGATACCCTCAAGCCATCTGTGATTGGATTTCCTGTGTCACGTGGGTTACTTATGGTGTGGCTGCTTTTAAGCTTCCTCTCTTGAACTCTTTTAGCTCAGTTGATTAAAGTGCAGTGGCTGGTAACACCAAGGTTGTAGGTTCGATCCCCGTACGGGACAACTGCGTACTCCTCAGGGTCCCTTCCAACTCCAGAATTCTGTTATTCTAAGAAAAGACGTTACTCTTCAGGGTTGCCTACCTCCTAACACTTTTGGACCTGACACACCGCCTTGGAGCTTTCTGGAAGCTGCCTTACACCAAGTCTGTCCATTAGGTCCATCTAACGCAGTATTGTCTACACTGACTGGCAGCTGCTCTCCAGCGGTTTAAGGCAAGGGGCATCCCAGTCCTACTTGGAGATACCAGAAATTGAACCTGAAATTTTCAGCCTTCAAAACAGATGCCATATCACTAAGCTGCAGCTTTCCCCCAAGAAAACAAAGTTTGCACAATGGTTTTCTTTCTTTCATCTTGTTTACCTAGGTTCCTCAATACTGTTTGCTGGAAAGGTTAGGATAAGCAACAGAGAAGTTGAAATAGCAGAGATAGCTGCAGGATTAAAGCAGATTCACGTGTGTGGGTGTGTGTATACACACACACACACACACACACACACACACACAAACACACCCTGTTCAAAATGCCAGAGGGGTTTGGATTTTGTTTTACTTTGAAATATTAAATCTGGAGTGATCATCTTTGCAAAGCCATGTTTTAAAGTAATAGGTGAAGACAAATGTCAGTAAATGGGGCTAGCTCAAAGGCACATGTGTTCTTATTAAGCTGTTTTGGTGTTTGTAGGTTTTTTCCTGGTGAGAACAGAGTCCAAGGACTTGATGGGCTTCTTATTGTAGCTAGCAACGGGGAAAGGTAGCTCTTTCTTTCAATAAAGGTTGCCAGTGTCAGACCCTGGGAGAGCTCCTGGGAGAGCAGGTGCTGTATACAAATGTCACAGCCGCGCTGGCAAGAGGGGGGCTTTCCCACACAACTCTATTTTTACCAGTTCTCAGAAATAGACCGTGCTTCCTCTTCTGCAGAATGAGTGGACAGCGAAGGCTCTTAATCTAGTATATGAGGAAGTACAAGAAGATACCTTCAGCGTAGTAAGGAGGACAAGGAAGCAGTGTTTCAGCTCTGTTTGCAAACAATGTTAAAGCCACACCATTGGACCATTTCAGCTGAGAAATTATATGTTTTATGAGTCTGCAGTGTGAAACCACCAACCAATCAATTCAGTGCTGTCACCTGAAGGGGAACCCTTTTTCCTAATGTCCGAATCATCTTACTAATGCCAGGATGCCTTTGTTTTCACCAACATCTGTTTTTTTGTTTTTGTTTTTGTGAATGAATGACCACAAAAGAGTTACATAAGAATCGCCTGTTTGTTCTTCTCTTGCCCTAAAAAGGTTGAAAAGTCTTGGGGCACCTTAAAGGACTCCTTGTGGGGGGAGGGCAACCAACAATAGCTGTGGTTGGTGCATAAGAAACGACCAAACTCTAAAGCCCACAGACTGGGTATTGTAATTGTTATGTATTGAAGTTCTCACCCTGGCCACCAGGAGTATTGTGTATGTAGTTTTCACTCAGGTCCACATCAGTTATTTTAGGTGGGAAACCCTGGGTTGTTGTTGCTACAATGTTGACAGCTGGCTGCCTATAAAAGCAGGCCGGCTGAGCTGTTGGCTGTTCAGTTCTGTTCCAGCTTACAAATAAAGAGCTGCTTTGGAAGAATTGCTGTGCCGTCTGCTATGTCTACCCGCTATTCAACAATAGTCCCCAACTATTCAACAATAGTCCCCAACTATTCAACAATAGACCCCAACAATTCAAATAATAATAATAATTAATACAAACCCAAATGTCCTCCAGAGTGGGAAACTTTCATATTGCATAAGCTTTTGTGAAAGGGCACTGAAGCTCATGACCAAACGAAATATTATTGCAGGTGTTTTGATTTTACGAGGTGCACAACAGCTACCTCTCTATTGCCACCCAATATCATGGGTGTTGGGGTCTTATTTCAGGGTGTTGGGGTGGAGACTTCAGTTCCAAAGAGCATGAAATGTTATCATAGAATTATAGAACCGTAGAGTTGCAAGGGACCCTGAGGATCATCTAGTCCAACCCCCTGCAATGTAGGAATATGCAGCTGCCCCATACAGGGATTGAATCCGCAGCCTTGGCGTTATCAGCACCACACTCTAATCAAGTTGTGCAGGTTGTTCAAAGGAGGGGTGCTGGTGATAGTGGAAAAGGCCCTGGGTTTCTGTTCTGACTCAACATCTTCGTTTCACTTTTGTTTCCAGTTATCTTGGGCACGCAGAAAGTTTCATTTTTCTAGAAATAGGCTGGGGTTTTATAAAGTGGTTGGATTAAAAAAAAAAACCACATGGAGATGCAAAAGATTTGGATTAGCATAAAAGCTGCAGGAGGAAATGATTAAGAATAGGACCCACAAAGGAAGGAAGTCCAGGAGATTCTTTGGACTCTTGTTTCTGTGTTGTGTGTTGGATATGTGATTGTAAAACTTTGATCTGAAAACCAAATAAACAGAGAGAGAGAGAGAGAGAGTTTTCAGATATAAGTTTTACAATATATATACCATTATCCTCTGCAGAATTAGAAAGTGATGCGGGAACATTATAACAAGAACATTCTTCTGCATGGGCAGAGCCAGGATTTGGGGGGGGGGGCAGGCCTTTTGTGGGGGTGGGGCAGAACCTCAGTTAGCTATGTGTTTTTATTGATTTTTATTGATCAGTGGACAGCTGCCCCTCATGCTTTGAGCTGTCCAATAGCCACTTTATTGCTGGATGCTGTAGAAAACCGCTGGCTGTTGGGAGACAGGACAAACTAGTCCAGGCCAGGGATGGATTTCGGCAGCTGGGATTTTGGGGCATGTGCTGTGGCCTCAGCAGGGTGCGGTGCTCACGTCGGCAATGGGTGGACGGACCTGGGAACCACCTGTCTGATCCAGCAGGGCTCTTCTTACTCAGAGGGTTACTGTGAGGATAAAATGGGATCATAACCCCTGCTCCTCCCTCCTTGAAGGAAGCAGGGGCAGACCTACTATGAAACGAATGCCTCCTGCCAGCCTAGCAGCTCAAAAGCACCCCGGTGCAAGTCGATAAATACCTTCAGCAGGAAGGTAAACGGAGTTTCCGTGTGCTTTGGCTTCCGTCACGGTGTTCTGTTGTGGCAGAAGCAGTTTAGTCATGCTGGTCATATGACAAACGCTGGATCCCTCAGCCTGAAAGCAAGATGAGCACCGCAAACCCATAGTCACCTTTGACTGGACTTCGCTGTCCAGGGGTCCTTTACCCAAACTAATGAAGCATAAGTTTCAGGGTTCCTAATCCCAGAGGTCACTGCAGATGGTGACAGCAGTCATGAAATTAAAACACGCCTGCTTCTTGGGAGAAAAGCGATGACAAACTTAGACAGCATCTTAAAAAGCAGAGACATCACCTTGCCAACAAAGGTCCGTATAGTTTTCCCAGGTGATGTATGGAAGTGAGAGCTGGACCATAAAGAAGGCTGATCGCCGAAGAATTGATGCTTTTGAATTATGGTGCTGGAGGAGACTCTTCAGAGTCCCATGGACTGCAAGAAGATCAAACCTATCCATTCTGAAGGAAATCAGCCCTGAGTGCTCACTGGAAGGACAGATCCTGAAGCTGAGGCTCCAATACTGTGGCCACCTCATGAGAAGAGAAGATTCCCTGGAAAAGACCCTGGGAAACACTGAGGGCACAAGGAGAAGGGGACGACAGAGGACAAGATGGTTGGACAGTGTTCTTGAAGCTACCAGCATGAGTTTGAGGGAGGCAGAGGAAGACAGGAGTGCCTGGCGTGCTCTGGTCCAGGGGGTCACGAAGAGTCGGACACGACTAAATGACTAAACAACAACAACAATCCCAGAGGGGCACCAGAAGCGACTTTAGTTCACATTGCTTAAAAGCTTTGCTTTAATAAGTACATGATACATGTATATAACATTTCCCTAATTTTCATCCCCCCACTCATAACTTGAAATCTATAAGGCACAGGAAATGTTTATTCACACCAGTGACTTTGACATGTGAGATAACCCACTACAGTACAGCAATTTTAAATCTGAGGTGTGGTAGCTAATTTCTTTCTTTCTTTTTAATGTGGTGATCTGTCGTGGAGCAACCCCACTGAAGAAGATAACAGTGGTTGCACCCAGATCTCGTTGCTGGTTGTGAAGGGGCCCCCAAATCAGCTCAAGCTTCAGGCGTTCCCAAAATATAGTTCTGCCACTGCAAGGAAGGATGTGACTGTAGACTGCAGTCCTCTACACCGGGGGGGGGGGGGCAGGGTTCACCCCAAGGGCCACATTCCCTTCTGGACAATATTTTGAGGGCCACACACCAGTGGTGTGCTGACAGGGCCAGAGGCAAAAGTGTGTGAAACAACAAGTTTACCTTTGCACACTAGGCTAGTTTATGTACACATGCACTAGGCTAGTTTATGCACACATGCTCTCTGACCATCAAGAAGCATTATCAGGGTTCAAGGATACGCTCCCGCAATGGCAAAAGCACTTGGGGGGTGAAAATCAGAGCCAGTGGCTGCGGGAGTGTCCCAAGGGCCAGATGGAGGGGTCTGGAGGGCCACATTCAGTCTCCAGGACTGAGGTTCCTCTGCAAACTTATCAAGGAGCAAGTCCCTTTGGACACAACAGGACCTACTTCTGAGTAGAAGGCCTGCTCTGAGAACAAATAAATAATATATGATAGTATTTTGAATTTACTATGTTCTGTGTTGAGTATTTGGTGTGTACTGAACATCCTTGCTTCCAAGTTTTCTCTATTATTATTATTATTACTACTACTACTACTTTGAGATGGCAAACCTACACAATCACAAGGGCCACAGATGCTGGATCAGAATAGGCAAAATACCAAGTAGCCTTTTCTGAGCTCCACCTTTGCAAAACCTGCGTTCCTGTCTTCTTACTGACTTTGGTCCAGAATAACTTCAAGCTGAAAGTAAATGAGCAAAACAAGCATATATTTTTTTATTTTTTAAACAGCTTTTGCGTGAGTCATGTTCATTGTACATGAGTAGTGTTCAGTTATCAATTTAAATTTTAAAGCTAAATTTTGATCTAGGAGTTTCACAAGGCTTGCACCAGTGTAGAAGGTGACTTCACATTTACTTTTCCTCTTGCTCCAGGGAACTCTCTCCTTGGGGGATGTCCTTAGGGGTGCTGCAAGATGATAACGGTAGAACAGCTTTTGCATCTTGCTTATTCATTATGAGTGACTGGGGGGGTGTGTGAGGTGAAATTAAGAGCTTAGCGTGGGTGGGCAAAAGAGGGGAACAGAACTCCACCCCCCACAATCTGTGCCATTCCACACACCAAAAAAACCCTGTGTTATTTCAGCTATCTGCTTGTTTTCCTGAATTGAAGGTACTTCCAGTCTTGAAGCTCTACTGGGAGGAAGCTGAAAATCTCTGTTAAGCCAGCCTGAAAGCAACACCTAAGATTACATCTCTTGTGTCACACCAGTATACCAACACCTTATCTCCCGAACTCCCAGAGGACAGGATCACACTTCAAAACGACCTTGACAGATTAGAGAACTGGGCAAAAACAAACAAGATGAATTTTAACAGGGAGAAATGTAAAGTATTGCACTTGGGCAAAAAAAATGAGAGGCACAAATACAAGATGGGTGACACCTGGCTTGAGAGCAGTACATGTGAAAAGGATCTAGGAGTCTTTGTTGACCACAAACGTGACATGAGCCAACAGTGTGACGCGGCAGCTACAAAGCCAATGCAATTCTGGGCCTGCATCAATAGGAGTATAGCATCTAGATCAAGGGAAGTAATAGTGCCACTGTATTCTGCTCTGGTCAGACCTCACCTGGAGTACTGTGTCCAGTTCTGGGCACCACAGTTCAAGAAGGACACTGACAAACTGGAACGTGTCCAGAGGAGGGCAACCAAAATGGTCAAAGGCCTGGAAACGATGCCTTATGAGGAACGGCTAAGGGAGCTGGGCATGTTTAGCCTGGAGAAGAGGAGGTTAAGGGGTGATATGATAGCCATGTTCAAATATATAAAAGGATGTCACATAGAGGAGGGAGAAAGGTTGTTTTCTGCTGCTCCAGAGAAGCAGACACGGAACAATGGATCCAAACTACAAGAAAGAAGATTCCACCTAAACATTAGGAAGAACTTCCTGACAGTAAGAGCTGTTTGACAGTGGAATTTGCTGCCAAGGAGTGTGGTGGAGTCTCCTTCTTTGGAGGTCTTTAAACAGAGGCTTGACAACCATATGTCAGGAGTGCTCTGATGGTGTTTCCTGCTTGGCAGGGGGTTGGACTCGATGGCCCTTGTGATCTCTTCCTACTCTATGATTCTATGATTCTAACTCATTGCCTGCTTCCCCCGCTGCTAACTGCTCACCAACAGAGTTACATTAAACAGTGTGTTCCTATACATGTTTTACTTAGAAGCAAGTCCTGGTGAGATCCATGGACCTATTCCCAGGTAGCTGTCCATAGTAGGGGCAGGGGAACCTTGTGTTGAGGGCCGCATTCACTTGGAGTTAATCTATTGGGAGTTGCATGCTGATGTGTGTGTGGACAGGAACAGATCCCCTTTTTCTAAGCTGAAGGAATCATTTCATTTCACTTTTAATTTGTATACGGTGGACGCTTGGGTTGCGAACGTGATCCGTGCGGGATGCACGTTCACAACCCGCAACGGTGTGTCTGTGCACACGCGGGTTGCGATTCTGCGCATGCGCAATGCGCGATTTAGCACTTCTGTGCATGCGCAACCTCCGAAACCCAGAAGTAACCCATTCCGGTACTTCCGGGTTTCGGCGCGTCCGTAACCTGGAAAAACGCAACCTGGAGCGTCTGTAACCCGAGGTATGACTGTACCGCCGTTCTATATTACTATACACAAGGCGTTTTACAAGCTGAAGAAACAAACAAAATAGACAGCAGAGATCACATACCTAATAACCATCTGCTCCAATACAAAAAAAGTCAGAATAAAAACATAACTTTAAAATAAACAACATATCAAATACATCAGGCAGAACTTTCTGGCAGTGAGAGATGTTCAACAGTGGAACAGTCTCCCTCAGGAGGCTGCGGACTCTCCTTCGTTGGAGGTTTTTAAGCAGAGGTTGGATGGACATCTATCATGTATGATCTAGTTAAGATTCCTGCATTACAGGGGGTTGGACTAGATAACCCTTGGGGTCCTCTTAAACTATTCAAGTCTAGGATTCTAGGGTTCTAATAAAGCAATATTCAACAATCTATTAGAACAAAATAGTAAATAGTAAAATTTAATATTACCAGCAAATAATAATTAAACAGTTTACACTTAACAATCACAATAAAGAATTGCTAAACTATAATCAATAGAAATAAAGGCAAGTCACAATGCACAAAATACTGCAAAACCATGTAAAAGGATCAAATTGAGAAACAAAGAGTGGTGGAATTGCAATGTAACAACAAAAAATTTGGGAAATGATATATAGCAAAATGGGGAAAAAATGTTTAAAATAACCTTTGTTAAAATCCAGAAGCCTTTTTATTAGGAATTATAGGTACCGTGATTCCAAAAGACCGGAGGAAACTGTTCATGTCTGCTACAACGGCCGCTCGGATGTTACTAGCTCAGAGATGGAAGGAAGAGAAAGCCCCAACCAGAGAAGAATGGCAAATCAAGTTGATGGACTATGCTGATATGGCAAAATTAAATGGAAAGCTCAGGAATCACGAAGACAATAAATTTAAAAAAGAATGGGGAATGTTTATAATGTATATATACAAAATAATTGTAAACAGGTCAAAACATTAGCAGGATTTTAAATACACTTGTAATGTAACAGAATGTATAGATAACTTAGGAAGATGAAAAATTGGGCATATATTGATATGCAGTTGAAAATATAATCAAAAGAACCCATGGAACGGATGGGGGAAAGTCAGGAGATTCAGAGCAATATCGATATTTGGATTTTGTACTTTTTTTATGTATGTTTATTTTCTTTTTTCTTTCTTTCTCTCTTTTTGAAAATCATATAAAAAGATTATAAAAAAGCAAAACAAAGACACACAACTTACAAAAAAAATTTTTTAGAAAACATACTGCTGAACTCCTTGAATCATGCTGTCTTCCAGCCAGCTGCAAACTGCCAATTTTTGCAATCGAAACATCTGCTACTTTGGCCACAAAGCACTAAGCACCTCAGAGACCCCTACATTGTTGGAGGACTTAAAGCATGGGTAAGCAAACTAAGGCCCGGGCGCCGGATCCGGCCCAATCACCTTCTAAATCCAGCCCGTGGACGGTCCAGGAATCAGCATATTTTAACATGAGTAGAATGTGTCCTTTTATTTAAAATGCACCTCTGGGTTATTTTTGGGGCATAGGAATTCGTTCATTATTTTTTTTCCAAAATATAGTCCGGCCCCCGACAAGGTCTGAGGGACAGTGGACCGGCCCCCTACTGAAAAAGTTTGCTGACCCCTGAAAGGTTTCCAAACTACACCCTAAGCCAGTGATGTGTCTTTACCTAACCTTTACGGACAGCTCTAAATCAGGTCCAGAGGGACTCAGAGCCTTAGTATCCACTTCACATCTGGCAATGGGGAAAAAAATATTGGCCACAGATCTTCGATTGCATTGGATACAACAAAAAACATTTTCAGAGTTTATTGGACCCCACACCTTCTTTTTAGGAAAACTTTAACTAGCATTGACAAATGTTGATGTCACAGGAGTTGGTTCTGTGCTAGAGTCACAGTCTTTTGGTCAGAAGTCATCTGCTGGATAAATATTGTTTCTGATACCTGTTTGAGATTTACAGATGTTAATGTTCTACTGGATTATGTACCAATCCTCTGGAAATTGGCAGAGGGACCATTTAACTGGCTTCCAAGGGCACTTATGGTGGCCAAACTTCTAACACTTCAATCCTAGAAAGAGAAATCTACCCCATCTGATGGTACAATGGACATTGGGATTCAAGATGGCCTCAACAGATAGGAGAATTTAGGAATAACCAACTGCACAAAGGTGAGAAGGGGGACACCTGGTTTGCCAGTAGTACATGTGGAAAGGATCTAGGGGTCTTGGTAGACCACCAGCTAAACATGAGTCAACAGTGTGACACAGCAGCAAAAATTTAAAAAAGGTAATCCTATTCTAGGTTGCATCAACATTCTATTCTCCCTTGATCAGACCCCACCTGGAATACTGTGTCCAGTTCTGGGCACCACAATTTAAGAAGGATATTGACAAGCTGGAATGTGTGCAGAGGAGGGCAACCAAGATTATCAAGGGTCTGGAAACCAAGCTTTATGAGGAATGTTGAAGGAGCTTGGTATATTTAGCCTGGAAAAAATTAGGCCAAGAGGATATATGGTAAAGGTAAAGGTAAAGGGACCCCTGACCGTTAGGTCCAGTCGCAAATGACTCTGGGGTTGCGGCGCTCATCTCGCTTTATTGGCCGAGGGAGCCGGCGTACAGCTTCCGGGTCATGTGGCCAGCATGACGAAGCCGCTTCTGGCGAACCAGAGCAGCGCATGGAAATGCCCTTTACCTTCCCGCCAGAGCGGTACCTATTTATCTACTTGCACTTTGACGTGCTTTCGAACTGCTAGGTGGGCAGGAGCAGGGACTGAGCAACAGGAGCTCACCCCATTGCGGGGATTCGAACCGCTGACCTTCTGATCGGTAAGCCCTAGACTCTGTGGTTTAACCCACAGCGCAACCTGCGTCCTAGGACATATGATAGCCATCTTCAAATATATAAAAGGCTGTCACATGGAAGAAGGAGCAAGCTTGATTCCTCCTGCACTGCAGGGTAGGACTCGAACCAGTCAATTCAAGTTACAAGAAAGGAATTTCCAACTAAACACCAAGAAAGCTTTCTGACAGTAACAGCTGTTCGGCAGCGGAATGGACTCCCTCAGGAGGTAGTGGACTCTCCATCCTTGGAGGTCTTTAAGCAGAGGTGAGTGGCCATCTGTCCTGGATGATCTTGTTAATATTCCAGCATTGCAGGGGGTTGGACTAGATGTCCCTTATAGAGCCCCTTCCAACTCTATAATTCTACTTCTGATTAACATTTTTAGGATCATACTTTATAGTTCCTTAGCCTAGGGATGGGGAACTTTTTCCAGCCTCAGCACCACATTGCCTTGGGGCCAGAAGCAATAGTTGTTGGAACGAGGATGGCCAGTTTTATGTGCACAACCCTATGTTATCTTCCGTCCAGACATGCAAGAGATATTATCAGAGTTCAATAGCACATCCCAGACAGACAAAACCACTCAGGAGTCAATGCAGAGCCAATGAAGGATGTGACCATTGTGTGGTCTGGGAAAAGTTCCTAGGGTCAGGGTCTGATGTTTCTTCTCCATAGGACAGCCCTATAGCGACCCATTCCTACTTGAAAACAAACTCCAAGTATTTGTGGAATTATTCCCTTTAAAACCACACCGCAAACCCACATTAAAGCACCATTTTCAAGGTTTCGTCTGCGTGCGCATACAAGTCTGCCTTTTGCAAACGGCTGTATTAAGTCTGTTGGAGCAAAATCATAAAAGATATGTTTAATGGCATGAGCTTCCTTGAGCTAGAGTCTGCTTAGTCAGATGCAGGAATCCATAAAAACGAAAATGTTTGTTATGGGAAAGTGGAGGTGTCAAGGGAGTAGGGGAGAGGAAATGTTTTGAAAGTTCAGATATTCAGGAACCAGAGAGATGAGTTAGAATAGATAAACCGAAGTATCCATTTTCAAACGCTTCTCTATTTCTTCTTTAAAACGTACCTGGGGTTCATTTTTTTAAAGCTATTTTTTAATTAAAGCTTTAGAAAACAAAGAAAAAACAATATACAGAAATCAACATCAAATATCAAGCATTTTTCTTAACATAAAGATGAAAATAAGACTCCAATTCTCCATCTATCAGCATTTAAAAACTTAGGCAAAACTCTTCCTCCATAATAAGATCCAACTCTTCTTTCCACAAACCAACCTTCTTTCAATCTTCAAACCCAGCTATCACAAACTCCTTTTCCTTTTGTGTGTGCAAAAAGTCCATAAGGGCTTTGCAATCATTAATAAATGTCAATCATTGATTTAGAGAAAATTAAATTAAACACACATCTGGGGTTCCTCAGTTAGGAGAACTGTAATGGGTGGGACCAGGTTGCCCATAGACCTTACTATGGGATGGGTATCCCCAGGGAGAAGTTTGGTGTGATCTGCATGCTCCCTGGGCACCAGGGAGACCAGGCAATGCAGTGACAGACTCCAGATTTGGGGGACACCTACAGATACAGAGTCCCCTTCCTGGACCCCCAACCTTTGCTTGCCCTCTCCCCACCCGCAAGCCAAACCCTGCCAAGAAAGAGAACCTCAACACCGTACACTCAAAACAGCAAGAATCCTGGAAACTGTAGTTTTGTTACATCTCAGCCAAGTCATATAAGAGGAGGATGTCAGGTGTCAGACAGGGGAGTCTTCCTCAGAAGAGGACCAGAAGGCTCTCTCCTGGGTCAGGGCTGCATCTGGGGGTTAGGAGCTGGGATCCTGAGACAAAGGATGAGCCCATGAGGAAGGCTACACCTTAAACATCAGGTGGGAACCTGGCCCATTACTGGTGACTACTGGTGAAGGTGCCTCAGGAGGAAAGGTCCTCACAGGAGTAAGACGCTCCTTTCAAGGAGACCTCTGGAGAGAATGATAGGAGTTGGCAGGAGCTGAAGGTGAGCTGCGGGGTCCAGCAGCTCCAGCTCAAAACCCCCAGAGCTGGGCTGGGAGAACTGTTGGAACCTGACTTCAGACTTTGTCTCTTGGCTGTCCCTTTGTTGGGGATCTCTGTTTATTTGCTCAGATTCTGGCCTTGGAAACTGCTCTGCTGCAGATATGCAGTTCCCTGCTTACTCAGCAGCCTAGTGAAAACAGGGTAAGTTTACCTCTCACAGAACTACAATTCTCAGCACCCTTAAAGTATAATGCCCTGGATTCTTTGGGGGATCATGTGCTTTAAATGTATGGTGTGTGTTGGTGCATGTAGATAGATGTGTGTTGGTGCATGTAGATGGATGCCAAGATTCAAAATTGGGGCAAGTACTCTTTGGTGAGAGAACCCCCAGAAGAGTTTTAAAGTCATAAAATATGCAGCAAAGTAAACCCTGGAACTCTAGACTATCAGACTTTTAAAATATGCCCTTCCAAGTGTGTTCCAGAATTTCCCTCTTCCCCCAAGATCACACCTTTAGTAAGTTTAAAATATTTACTTACAAACTCTCCAAAGGTCAGATTCATGTGCTTTTCCATACAAGAGTGAGATAAGTTGCACAGACTGTAAAACTTAGTTACAAAGTGGTGAAAATTCCTAGATTTTTTATATAGGAACTCAAAGAGTGGCTGGTTATAGCCATGTGGCTGAGCTGGACTAACCAATTCAAACTTCCCCAAACAATGAGTTTCTCGGGTAGACTTGATTACCTCTTTCCTTCCAAGGTAAGGGAAGCAGCGTAGCTAACCTGGCAGGACAGCTTACTCTATGGTATTAACCCTTCATGCATTGATTAGACAAGCGTGTTGCTGATACAGTGGTTCCTCGGGTTAAGTACTTAATTCGTTCTGGAGGTCTGTTCTTAACCTGAAACTGTTCTTAACCTGAAGCACCACTTTAGCTAATGGGGCCTCCTGCTGCTGCCGCACCACCGGAGCATGATTTCTGTTCTCATCCTGAAGCAAAGTTCTTAACCTGAGGTACTATTTCTGGGTTAGCGGAGTCTGTAACCTGAAACGTATGTAACTTGAAGCGTATGTAACCCGAGGTACCACTGTATTGTGATACTGGTTATCCCACAGTTGTGTGCAGCCCATTGCTCCTGACAGCAGGAGTTTAAGAAATAATGTGGAAACAGCAAGCAAGCAGATTTCAACAGTGGTTTATTTATTCACAATTGCATTTATACCCCCACCTGTCTGAGGCCCAAGGAGGTGACATAACATGGTTTCCCCACCCACTGTTTTCCAGTTTTACAATCAGGACAACCCTGCGAAGTAGGTTAGACTCTGAGAGGTACAGTGAACTACATGACTGAGTGGGGATTTGAAGGGTCCTAGTCCAACGCTCTAACCACTACATTACACTGGTCGCGGCCAGCAGACCACATTGGGGGGGGGGTGACACCTCTTGCCGTGGGAACTCCCTGTCCCTGACCATGTTCCACACTGGCTAGACACCCCAAGGTGCCACAGACGCCCCATCTCTGTTTGGACCCCTTCTGTTTATACTTGTCTCTGGCTTTGGAACTTTCTTTATGTATGCAACAACAGCAGCAAGAATACTCATCGCAAAGTATTGGAAGACACAAGAACTTCCCACGCTGGAGGAATGGCAGATGAAACTGATGGACTATATGGAACTGGCGGAAATGACTGGCAGAATCCGTGACCAGGGAGAAGAGTTGGTGGAGGAAGATTGGAAGAAATTCAAAGATTATCTTCAGAAACATTGCAAAATTAAAGAATGTTAGAGTGATGTTGGATCGAAAATAAGTGGTTTCCAGCTGTACAGGTTAAAGTTATTGATAGACTAAGATTAAAGATTAGGATTAAAGATGTTTAAGGAAATGGAAATTTGGTACTTAAGAGATAAAATTTTAATGTTATATTACATTAAGATTAAAGATTAGGATTAAAGAAGTTTAAGTGTTATATATTACATTAAGATTAAAGATTGGGATTAAAAAAGTGGAAAAGAAATTGCTGGACAAACAATTTGGACTGGAATACAAAAGAGGGAGGTATGAGGAAGTCCAGAAAATAAGTAAATTCAAAAACGGAAATGGAAAAGTGATATTGTTTTTAATTGTTCTGTTTCTTTTTAGTTTCTTTTGTATTTTGTTTTCTGTGTTTTCCTTTTTTTTTTGGGATTATGTATTGTGTATCTTTGTACTTCTACTTTTATGTTTTTCTGTTTAACTTTCTATTGAAACCTTAATAAAAATCATTAAAAATATATATATATATACTTGTCTCTGGCTTTGCACCCTTGAACCCAGCACCACGCTGACGGGGCACCCTTTGTACGCCGAAAGCACGCTTTTGCAAAGGGGTTGCAAAGATTTGCAAAGCACAAAAGAGCGCAGCAGCTCGTTCCGGAGCGTTAGAAATAAACCCGCCTAGCTGCCTGCAAGCTTTCTGTTCCTCCCTTCCTCTTCTCTCGTTTCTTTCAAAAGTCCTTAAAACCTCCTATGGCCAGGGAGGCGGCAGGGACAGCAGGAGGAGTAGGAGGAGACATAAAAGAGATTCAACTGCGGGAAGTGGCTCCACCTTCATTTAAAGAGAGGAGTAGGAGAGGCTGTGGAGCACAGCCGCCGTCCTGTCTGCCTCTGCCCCCAGCCCGCCCCACCGAGACAGACACGCAAGCGGATGCTCGGGGCGCCGCGCGCTCCCCTTTGTCTCCAGCGAGCACCATGCTGGCTTCCAGCGGCCCCAGCACCGGCCAGACCTGCGGCCTGGTGCTCATCTTCTCGCTGCTCCTGCAGTCCATATGCGTGGCTATTACCTTCCTTTATTTCTCCAACGAGCTGCAACAGGTCAGTGGAGAATTCGCGCGTGGGGGGGGGGATCCGTGTTGGGGTTTTTTTTTTCCTCGGCCGCAGGCAGGCGGATCCTTGCAGCTTCCTCGCAGTGCATGCCTATGTGTATATTTAGATAGATTGCAGAGGTTTCCCCGGGAGTAAATCCCGTTGAGTTCACTGGGGCATAGCTCCCAGGGAGTGCATGCTTTAAAAAATAAATGCATGGTTTTTTCCTTCTCCATTTTGCAGCGTTGCCTTTATACTCCCACGCGAGTTGCAACACGTTGGGCTTGTTTCTCCGGATTAAGGGCCGGATCGCTCCCGCGCCCCAACTTGCCTGCCTTTCTTACCCTCCCTTAGTTCTTTGTTCGTAAAGCAAAAGGAAAGTTCTGCCATTAGGCGGAGAGGCGTGGTTAATTCGAGGGATCCCAACGATCCCCACCGGGCTTACTTTGAAGTAAAACTCTTAGGAAGGGAGAGGATAATAAAAACGGGAAAATGCTTCAATTGCGCGTTTGTTTTGACTTCTTCAAACTCATTTAACCGTTTGTTTTCTTTGCCGGACAAAGAAACCGGGGGAAGTTTAGCATTCAACGGGTTCTATTTACTTGAAAACAAAAGTTTGGCAGGAGTTAAGCCTATTTGCCTTAAAGTAAGTGCCACTGATCTCGGTGGGGCTTACTTGCAAGTAAAAGTGCATGGGGCGGAGTGCTCGTTTTGCAGCCCTGAGCGCGCGCGCTTATTTCCGAGGAAACGGAAATTGCACGTCTGCAACCCGATGCAACTTAACTCTCAAGGTAATCCTGCATTGAGGCTATAATGCTTCCGGCAGGATCGGGATCCCAGTGCTTTGCGAGTAAGTTCCTCGCGAGCAAGTTGCATTGGTCGCAACGGGACTTGCTTCCGAGGAAACGGGGCAAAAGATTTGAATGCGAGGTACATTACAAGAACTCTTCGCCCTCCAAATTAAAAAGTATGTGTGGCGCTCCAGCTGGGACTCCTTCCAACTCCACCCAGCTTGGCCAATGGCCAGGGATTTGGGCAACATCTGGAGCGGGAGTGGGTGGGGAACCTGTGGCCTTCCAGATGTTGTTTGACTCCAACCCCCAGCAGTCCTCCTCTATATTGGCCCATGGTCAAAGGATGATGGGAATTGTAGTCCTGCGAATTATGGATAGCTTAAACCTTCCCCACTCCTGGCAGTAGGTCTTCGGCATAATCAATAACGCTGCATCCCCATCATGCTATCATTCTGTGTCAGTAGTTTATTGTTCTTTTCATTGTGTGGGTTGTGCACATTCCGGACATGCAGTTCTCTCCCGTGACCCTGGCCGTCGGCCACTTTGGAGCTGCAGGAAAAGTTTTTGCAGTTCGATTCTGCCTGTTGTGAAAACTGACAAAATGGCAAAGGGAGAAAAAAAACACCACTGCTCACTTTTGGGGAAGGGGGTCCGACAGCTGGAGTCTTTGTTCTTTCCAGAATGGATGACCCCCAGATGGCCAAGTGAAAAAGATAAAAGAGGGGCTCTTCTACTTAAACCACCAATGGCGAACCAGATGTTTTGGCACTCCAGCCTCCATCATCCCTCACCATTGGTTATGCTGGCTGTAGCTGAAGCCCTACCCCTGTGGCACGGCACAAATGTTCCTTCCTCCCCAGGTTCTTCCTGCTGTTGAAAATGTGCTTTCAAACACTGCAAGGGGCAAATGGTTTGTTGTGTAAGAGACTTAAATGGCTCCATAACCCTCTCTTAAAACAGAAAAGGTTCGTCCCCGCCCCCTTGGAAGCTCTTTCCCAAACCTAGAGTGCTTTTGTTTTCAAATAGTGGCTAAACTCAACTGGCGTTCCAAGCTGTGACCAACAAGTCCCCCTGTTTTTGTTTTGCTTCCTTCTGTTAAAAAAAGAAAGAAAGAAATGGTCATAAAAATTTTGAGCTGGCATAAACAAAAGGCGTCTTGGAAAAGAGAAGTCTTTGATTGCTTAATTCCTCTCCGTATCTCGGTTTATCTTTCCAAAGGAGATAAAGGGTTGTGTTTGCAGGATAACCTCTGCATTTGGATCGGGAAATTACAAGTTGTTTTGATGAGCGTTTTTTTCTGAGATACTCCATGGGATGGCAGCCTGCTTTGTGCATTCCTTATCAAACAGCCCAGGTTGTAACAGTACCTATAACCAGCTTTGGTGGCAAGATCCGTGGAAGTTTGCCTCCTCCCCTTTCCTTAAGGAAACAAAAACGCCCATAACAAAGAGAGGGTTTTCGATCTGGGTGCGGGACACAACAGTGGTATTTCTCTTTGTTTTTTCTTCGAAAGTAATTTTCCAACAAACAGACAAACACAAATAACAGCAAACATTAGGCAAGAAATAACCGACGATCTTCCCAGATTGATAGCACATTCCAAAAATAAGGCTGCACGGTTTCTTACATTCTGAACTGGAGAAGATTTTGCATATGTGTGTGTGTGTCATTTTTGTTACATAAAAAACAATGCAATAAAAATCTCTTTTAGTGGTTGTAATAAAAAGAAATAAAATTGCCAAGCATCTCTCATTTGTAATACGCCCGAGTACTACAAGCTTGTGTTCCAGTTGTAGCAACATGCCACCAAGTTACTGTACCTTTCCATCACGGAGATACAGTGAAAGAACCTCTATCTTTTCATGCAAATCCAGCCCAGCCATCAGGACTCCTGAGCAAAGGTGGATTCTGGTAATACTCACAGAAACTTAAGAGTAATCTTGATGTGTGCAGTTGTGTACAGTCCAGAAGAGTTATTTAGGAATGAATAAATAAATATCTGGATTACCTGCATTGGCATGGGCAGGAGACTATAGAAGAACTTTGATTTCCACACCTTTGCTCTTCATACACAAGAGTTCTCATATTGGTAAAGAAGAAGGTAGAACAACCTCTTGTGACCCCAAAGAGGGGGGATTCACACGTCCACTTGCATTTTTCTGTTCTCTCCACTTCCGTGAACCGAAGTGCCCTTCTCATTAGGAAGAGTCATTCAGATACATCTTTACTGAATGAATAGCTGGGTGGACTCTTGCAGAGATGATTGTGGGGCGGGGAGAAGCCTGTTTTCCTTCAGCACCTGATAAACTACAACTCCCATCATCCCTGATCAATTACCCTGCTGTCTAGGGAGGGTGGAAGCCTTTGGGAATTTCAACCTGGCCTACCTGACAGGGTGGTTGTGAAGACAAACCAGGGTTTGTCAGCCCTATGCGACTAGGATGAAGTCCCAGGTTAATAATGTGATAAATGCGCTCTCTGTGACTAGCGTTGGTGCAGAACTTCATTACGATTTCTTGTTTGGACACACAAGTGTTTTGGTCACATGGGCAACCCACGAGCTATTCCTGCAGGGTTTTCAGAGGAGTGGTGCGCCTTATTGCTTTATCTTTACTGTACTTGCACTTTTTATATACTGGGGCTGCATTTCCCACGCTTTCCTTCCTCTGAACGAAGATGATCATGGTCAGTGAAATTGTAGGTCTCAGAATTACCCTGTGCTCGTCTTTCTCGAGAGGGCAAACATCTTTCTGCCATAGACTTAAGAAAGTTAGATTGACACACACTGCTCAACAAGGTGACTTGGATTGTTCCTGTCTGTGCTTTGCTAGGGGGAGCAGAACTGCATGCAAGTCAGAGGACTATCCTCTTGGCATGCAACCAATTTGAGCTGGGAAGGGAATCTCCAGCCACAATCCTGTTACATTGGGCTTCAGATGCAAACTGGGATGTATTTGGTGGTGGTGCAAACAAACCCCTGGCAGAAAGAGGCAACTGGGTCATAAACTTGCAGAGTAGCTTTGTATAAGCTTTGTATAATAACCATGTGGCTTGGATTACTAATGGGTTTTCTGAATGTGTGTCTTTGTAGGGAAATACAGCCTTGTGGGAAAAGGGTGCAAATTATTGCATCTCTGAGGCTCTGCAGAAGGGATTATTTCCATGGCCCAAATTTACATTTCCAGCTGCTTTTCTGCTTGGGTGGTGGGACTCCCAAAGGTGGGAAAGAAAGTGCAACTCTGTAATGTCACCTGTGTTTCCTTAAGCAAGCAACAATCACAACAGAAAACTGGACCTAACAATTGACTGCACTGAAGGGTTGTTGTCATACTTCTGTGTTTGAATCCCTGCTTTGCAATACAGTCATACCTCGGGTTCCAAACGTGATCCGTGTGGGAGGCACGTTCACAACCCGCAGCGCCGTGTCTGCGCACACGCGTGACGCAATTTGGCCATATGTGCATGATGTCATTTTGCGTTTCTGCGCACGTGCGAGCACCAAAACCCGGAAGTAACCCATTCCGGTACTTCCGGGTTCAGCGCGGTCCACAACCCGAAAATGCACAACCCCCGCAGCGTTTGCAACCTGAGGTATGACTATAGGCTCAAAAATACTGGATTGCATTGCAGGACTGCTGTGTAAGCTCTCTCAGGCTCATGTTCACTTCTAACATAACAATGGACTACAGTGCATGGGTCTTAAAAGCAATATACACTCTTGAGCCTGAACCCCACTCCATCCTGCAATGTGGACAGAATAGCAGCAGAAACTTTCTATTTTCACTGGAAGATGGGTTCAAAACATAACAAAACCACAAAACTTTTTTTAAATTACTTTTTCACGTGAAATAAGATCTGAATTGGAAAAAAGTCTTTGGTTCTACTTTCTTTCTTGAGGGGTGGGGACACATGGCTATGCAATCACAAATACAATCCTGGATTTTCCCATGGTATTGTTTGGGCAGCTGTCACTTATGCTACAAAGGAGGGAGAATGTATTTAAAGGAACCAGGAAGTCTTCCAAACAATAGAGTTATTAGCCTAGAGAGAATTGTTTTTTGTTTGTTTTTAAGTCTTGTCTGTTGACATCCTTTGGGAAAGGTGGGGAAGACTCCTACTCCAGGAAAGTGCATAAGAACAAACAGCTCAGAGTAAAAAAGCAGGCAGTTAAAAAGAAATCACCCAGAGTTCTCCTTCAACCTCACTTTAGCTCACTTGAGCAAAGAGGACAGATTTGTCAAGCTGAAGTCACACACTCATTGCTTCAAGGAGGTCTTTGGGTTGCATGCCTTAGTAGCATGAAACCTTGCATCTCAAGGTTCTCAAGATGCCAGGTTTCACTGTAAAACTCTCCGTAAAATATAAATTTACGGAGAGTTTTACAGTAAAACCTGGCATCTTGAGAACTTGTAGTGTTCCTTCTGTATGTTCAAAAACGCAACCCTTTAGTTAAGTCTACGGCAGGGGTCAGCAACATTTTTCAGCAGGGAGCTGGTCTACCATGTGGTGGGCCAGACTATATTTTTTGGGGGGAAATGAACGAATTCCCACAAATAACCCAGAGATGCATTTTAAATAAAAGAACACATTCTACTCATGTAAAAACACGCTGATTCCCGGACCATCTGCAGGCTGGATTGAGAAGGGGATTGGGCCTTAGGTTGCCTACCCCTGGTCTACAGTGTTTGTCCAGAAGAGCTTTCAAAACATGTGGTGCAGTTTCAGGGTGGAACTGGCAGAAAAGTGTGCTCTTAGTTGTGTGGCTCAGTGGTTCCCAATTAACTAAGTACTGCAGACCCCCTACATGGACCGCCTACCATTGAAAATTTAGCTAACTCTATGGTAGTTTCTGTTATGTGAATGCTGCCATGGTGGGCGGCGGACCACCAATTGGGAACCACTGGTATAGCTCATTAAACTGGTGGTGCAGACTCCCTGCAGGTCTCTGCTAAACCTTGATTACACAATCTATTACCCCTGTGGTCTTTTATACAGCTTCTTGCCAGGGCTCTTAACACAAGCCTACAGACGGGCTTTTCTCTTACACCAGGGTTAGCCAATGCGGTGCCCTCCAGCTGTGCTGCTATACTACAACTCGCATCTCATTGACTATTAGCCATGAGACCAGGGTGGATAAAAATGAATGATTTTTTAAAAAAATAAAAAAATCAGATTTTTTAAAAATTTAAATTGGATTTTTAAAAAAAATTAAATTGGATTTTTAAAATAAAATGTTTTTGGAGGAAAAATATTTCTAAAGATAGTTTTCTATTTAAGTTACATTATAGTTCAAAGGCTACTCATCAGGAAATAAAGATTTAAGTTTTTCATGTGTGCTAAAACTCAATCTAAGGTGTGTTTTTTAAAAAAAATTAGTTTAACCACATCAGTTAACAAACATGGATACATATGCTATATTGTTACTGTTTTTGTTAAATAAATTGTTTAAATTGTTATTAAGGAAATGATTATTTTTCTCTTTCCAATAAAGTACAGCAGAAAAGTTGTCAAAATATAAACAGTTAACTTCTTAAACCTCACATTAATTTCATAATTATCTGTCCATGTATTTCTAATAGTATAAGCAAATCAGTGATTTTTGATATAACTGTAAAAACTACTCTGAAAATTTATTATTCCAAAAATGAAACCTTCATCTAGTTGTAAATACCAGCAAGAATGAGTCTTTCTGTTAAAAAAAATAATTTAAATCAATTCTTACTGACTAGTGATTTAAATCAAATCCAGCCTGCACAAGACTGATAGGAGTTGTACTCCCAACATCTAGAATCTTGGGCTTTCCGGATCTTCCTGAACTACAGTTCCCATCAGCCCCAGCAAGCATAGCCAAGGATGATGGGAGTTGTAGTTTGACACCATCTGGAGATTCTCCACAGCTGTACTAAGGGGGTGGTGGTAAGGGAGGAAGTGGTGGAATTTGGTTTGTGCTTGGAGGGGCAATACTAACAGCATAGAGCCAATTCCTTGTGCTTGAGTGCAACACACACAACTGGTCCAAAAGTCTTGTACTGTTGTCGCTTTTCTAGGTCACTGCCCATTAATTTTTCAAAGCGACTTCCTTGTGCACCTATTTACCTAGACGTCTTGCTAGTATTGTCTGTTTTTAGCAGAAGCTAAATCTGAATACCGTATTTTTCGCTCTATAACACGCACCCAACCATAACACGCACGTAGTTTTTAGAGGAGGAAAACAAGAAAAAAAAAATCTAAACGAAACGTGGATGTATGATTTTTGTGGTTCATGCTATGGCCACAGACATGTGATCTGATGGTGAGTTTGGGGTAGCCCAGTGCAAAAATCCTGAGGATCCATGTGGATCCATGCTTTGTAACCACGTTTTTGCACCACTGCAGCCCCAGGCAACAGTGGGTGCGTGATTTTTTTGGTGCAAGCTGTAGCCATGGACATGCTATGTGATCTGATGGTGAATTTGGGGTGACCCGTGTAAGCGGCTCCTCTCCTCTCCCGCTTTGCTCCTTTAAAGCAAGCAGGCTCTCTGTCCCTCTCTCCTCCCCACTCAGTGCCTCTTCTCCCGCTTTGCTGTTTCAAAGCGAGCCACGGAGGAGGGAAGGAAGGGGAACCATGGATCCTCTGCTCACGACTGCAGCAGATCCCCCCGCCATCCATAGGCATTCGCTCCATAACATGCACAGACATTTCCCCTTACTTTCTAGGAGGAAAAAAGTGAGTGTTATGGTGCAAAAAATACGGTACATAATTGTTCTGGAAACCGGAATGCCCAGGTGTTTTCTCTTGCTGCCTTCTCTGTAAATTTTCCTGCAGTTTATAGTGCAATCCTGTAATCTTGCTGTTTCACAAGAAAACAAACTCATTGTGCCGGATTGTGCAAGTAGTGGGAGGAGGAAGTCCAGGATTGGCTCCTGAACACCCATGCATTTATCATTTTCTGATGCAGCTTGGCTGGTCAACACACCGCTTATTCTCTTGCCAGCGCCCCATAACCCTGGGTCCAGTTTTATCTCCCAATTCCAATTTTGTTCAAAATCCGGATCTTGGAATTTAGAATGCATTCTGCAGATGAGGCAACAAGTTCTAATGCAACCCAAGCCCTAGGCATGATTACTCTGAAATAAATCCCACAAAATTCAGTGGATATTACTCACAAACTAAGTGAGCATAAAACTAATTTTAGTCTGATTTGGGTTGCACTAGTGCACAACCTGCTTTTTCTTTGTTAGTTTTAAATTCGCTGTATTTATGGAAAGGGGGGAATTAACGTTTCATAAAATTCCCGCCCTCTTCTGCTTTTGGAGCAAACACCTTGGGTGAACTAAGTGATGAATAAGAGGACTTGATAGCCTTGAATAGAAGAAATGAAACTGTTAGTGATAGACCAAGCTGCATTTGACTTTAACTTGCGATTTCTGCTTCCCCTGACCTCATTCCCTTTGTTCCCTCTTCCTTCCTCTTGCTTGTTTTCCTTTTCTATCAAGTTTTCAATTTTTTGCGGGGGGAGGGTTATTGCATTGGTCATAAATAACTTAACTAGACCATGGGAAAAAAATTTGGATAGTTTGTTAAAAAAGAAGTTCAAAACCATTCAGGCAGAAGATCTGTTGTGGTTTTCCTGGCTAGATGCTTTTTCCTGGAGTCATCTGAATCTGCCGACTCGGCCACCCGCACAACACTAACCTTAAATAAAGCCTTGGTTGTTGTTGAGAATGAAACTCTCCCATGCAGAGTGTTCTGGCTAATTGCAAGAGTCATCCTTGTGGGCTGAAAACCGCTCTGAAAGCGAAAATTCTGAGACACGGCATAGCTACAGAATGTTGGACTTTCAACATTGTGTTGCGGGAGTTTCGGGGGAAAGAGAATTGCTAGGCAGGAGAACGGGGGAAATTTTTCTTCAATCTGAAGACTGCATGATGTCATTGGCCACTTCTCAAGTGGTGGCTGGGCAAAGGGGAAGCGGGTGAAATAATGGAAGTTTCTCTGACTTGGCTGGTCACACTGCAGCTACAGAGGAGTTCAGAGGTTTCTACACACCCACAAACCTCTTTCTCCATCTAGGCAAGCAAAGAGGCATCTCCAGAGTTCCAGGGCACATTCTAGCTATGCAAAAGGAGGCTGTGGAGCAGCACTGGGGAGAAGAGGGGCCTGGAAGAGTCCTGAGGGCCACACAGAGAGCAGTGTTCAAAATTCCCCAGGCGCATTTTGCGACCAAGTGAAGGTGTCATGGCACCAGGTTTGGCGACTGACATCTTCACAAAAGATGCTGTGCACCGGCCAGCCGGCTGATCCATGGAAATTTATTGTCTCTGGGTTGTTTTATTCAATGTTTTAATGTGTTGTAAGCCGCTTGTGAGTTTTTTTCCTTTAAAATATAAAGCGGCAGAGAAATGAAATTAACAACAACGAATTTCACCAATTAGCTTATATATATATCCGAGTTTCTATAAGACTGGCGCTAGGCTTCACGGTTGATTATGGAGGATCTCACAGTGGAAGCCAATCAAAGTAGACTACTGTTCAGCCTAGTCTATTGAAACACTTCCCCCTGCCTTCCCGCAACTCATTGAATTTGGCTGCTTTCTGTTGTTGATCAAGTGCCACATCATCTCTGGGGCCACATCTTCTGAAGTTGGGGGGTTCTAAGAGCCTTGTTCAAAGGGGGTTTCCTGCAGGATGTGGAACCAGGAAGGGGAACAAAGAAAATCGCTCTTGACCACCAGTAGCAGCTTCCTCCTTGCAGGGCTCTCAGTGATGGCATTACATGGAAAGGAAAAACTGGCCTAACATATGAAAATGCTTTCCACAACTTGTTTGCTGTGCAGAAGGGTGAAAATGCAGCTGTGTGAATCTGCTGAATGGATTGGTTCTTCTTTTGGGTCCCATCTCCAAGAGGAAAATCGTGGATGAGTAACCCAAGTTGGGTCCTTCTGGAGAACACGAAAACTCTGCGCGCCGCTTTTGGAACATTTTGGCTGGCTGTAGAGGCATTTCCCCCGAATGTAGATTTTGAGATTTCAAGTCTCGCTCCCAAAAGGGTTGCGGAGAAAACAAATGAGCACTTTATTTTTTGGATGCTGCAAGAAAATGAAAAAGGGGAACCCCGCCACAATTGACTTTATTGTGTGTGTGTGAGTAGATCACATTCCTTGAACGAAATCACAATCTCGTCGTATTTGATACCAGTCTTCGGATTTGGAAGCCGCAGAAGCAAATGACCCATGCAAGTTTTTGTAGCTGATGGCTTGGAGGATTTGGAATGCGGAGATATCTTTATTACCTGGACCAAAGGAAGAATGCGAGGCATGCTGTTCTCATTGGAGACGTCCTGTTTTCTCTGCTTTTCCTCCTTCTCCCCCTCCAGGTTCCTATGGCTTTTACCTTAAGCTGAGGAATGCAGAGATGCCCCAGGGGTAAAATGGTTTTGATGGGTCAAGAGGGGCGAGTTGGCCTGTGCTGATTTTTCACATCCCTGTATTTTTCCTTGCTCGACATTCGTGCAACTTTCTGGCTCATAGTTTGTGAGAAACTAGCCACCGGCAGAAAATGACGCTGAAAATTCCCCCACCCAGTCTGCCCTGGGGTGAAGCCAAGTCATAACAAATTGGGTTAGAAGGGAAATGGGCTTGGCTGCTATTACTGGCTTGGTTCCATTACAGAGAAAGAAGCTTGGATAGAGCTTCAACTAGTTGACAGTGGGGTTTTTTGTTTGTTTGTTTGGCCACTCTGTGGTTTTTAAGGTACCTCCAAAGACCTGAAGCTATGCTACAAAGCTACACAGAGAAGTCTTAACCTATAACAAGCCTAAAATAACAAGTACAAAAGTGTCCATATAAATTGTAGAGTTAGAAGAAGACCAAACAAAGATATAGAAATGCATTGAGTCTAACACCTTGAACAAAAGCAGATTAGACCTTTACATAACCAGTGTGCCTTTACTTATTTCCATGATCCTGAGCTCTGAGCCACACAGATATAGAGATGCTAGTTCAGCTGCAGTAGTTTCGCTAGCAAAGGCATGCAAACCTGGTCTGATTCATCTGCGATTTCAATGTAAAGCAGAATGCAGTTGATCGTCCACTGTATGCATGAATTGCATCAACGTCATGTATTGGTGGAAGCCTTCATACCAGTGGCTACCAAAACGAGCCATGATGTGCTGTGTGGCCAGCATCTTATAGCTAGGACAGGGAACCTGTTATATTCCCAGTGTTATTGAAGACTGCATACTCTGAATCTTTCCTGTCTTACCACAGCTGATGGGAGTTGTAGTACAACAACAACGTATAGAAGGCCACAGGCTCCCCACTCCTGGTTTATAACCTGAAGAAGGCTACGTTTCTCTTCTCCCTGTGAACTGACAGGTCCTCAAGAGGTTCCGAATCATGCCAAAGGAAGAAGAACCCACCTCCAGCGGCTGGCACACCTCCTACATTGATTGCTTGGGTAGGTTAACTTCTAGGGGATAGTTTGGCCTTGCGTTTGATGAATAGGGAGGGAGGGAGCAGATGCAACTGGAAGAAGGGATTGCTAAATGCTCCACCTTGTTTCCCTTTTAGATGGTGGCCACCGAATGAAAGACACAACGGCAGGTGGAATGAAGAGCGAGCTGCCGCCAGGAAGACCTCAACTTTCTTCCAACGCTGGAAAAGCCCTCCATCATCCAGTCTTCCAAAGGTCCAATATTAAAGTCCATAGTACTGCTTAATACCGTTTTCAGGGTGGGTGGAAGGTTTTTATTTTGTATTGTTTGGTGGTTCTCCCCTCCTTGCTCTGCCCCGAATAATAAAATGTTCATTGTATTTATTTTTAATGTGTCTGCTTTTGGTTTTCTTTGAGTTCCAAAATTTCCTGTGTTTTACAAACATGCTTTCATTTCATTTGGGATTCCCAGGGGCATTCAGTTAGTCACGAGTACGCATAATCGGGTGGATCTTCAGCCTGATCCAGTTACAGGCCCCCTCTTTGTTTCTTCACAGTGGGGTGCGCCTGTGGTGATTTGAATCTAGGTTTCACTCCAGTTCTTCACACCACCTGAGGTCTGGCAAGAGCAACGGGGATTTTGCAGATTTGAGAATCTTCCTTTCAGTGCTGAACTTTTGCACAGATCATTTTTACATCTTTTCCCCTAGTCCAGCGGTTCCCAAACTGTGCTCCACGAAGTCATTGGGAAGAAAAATAAATATGTGCCTTTGGTAGAAGGGCGACAAAAGCATGACTGATTTCTCTCCTGAAAAGTGCTCCATGACTCAAAGCCGCTGCCCTAGTCAATAGTTCCTGAAATCCACCTAATAGGATTCCTTCAGAGCCTCATGCTGGCTTAAGTTTACAGAGGCAACTTGGGGAGACAATTCTCTATCCATTAGCCTCTTCCATGAGACTTTACGGCTGTTTTAGTCTCCATCCAAAGTTTTGTACGCACTTTCCCTTCCAACCCCAGTTGCTCCACTCACAGTCCTCCAATCCGCCTCTTCTTAGCTCCCTTAATGCTTCCAATCCTGTGGTCACATTCCTCCTAAACCTTCTCTCTCTTTGCCGCCGCCTCTGCTTGGCTCTCCTCCTCCATCGCACCCCATCGCCTGGGACCTAGTCTGCCTCTTCAGACTGCAGCCAAGCCAGGAAACCTGTGGCACAGCTGTGTTTACATCCAGATGTGTTGTATCCGGTGAGGTGCAGCAGGCAGGGCTGTCCTTGGCTGCCTCTCAGCACAAGGATGCAAAGCTCTGAGGTGCCAGCAACCTGTTTACAAGTCCTCCACACCTATGAAATTATCGATTGGGGAAAAAGAGGGGTGGGGAATCCTGTTCCTGAGGCTTTCTAATGAGCCATGCGGTAGAATCGAGCATGGATTCCTATGGGGAACACAGTGGGGGATCCAGTCTTTTAAAAATCCAATGACTTGCATATATTATTGAGCAAATTTGCACAATTCATTCCACACTGTTGCTGTGCATTATTTATTCTGGTTTTGCTCATCAGATGTGGGTACATTTGCCCTCCATGGTGAGGATGGGGAAGAATCTTACTTGATTCAAACTGCAGTAGGTGCTCAGCAGTGCAATCTTCCACATGTCTACTCAGGAGTAAGCGTCATTGAGTTCGTTGAATTGATTGTCCTAAGAAGATTCCGTACACATCATAACTGAATATATGAACAGTCAGGACTGATGGTCGGTTCTACTACTGTACTGAACTGTTTTCTGTCTCTTTATTTTGAGCAATTCAAGAGTTAGGGCTGACTCACACTTTGCCTTTGCACCACACTTTCTGGGCACGGGGTTCACGCTTTAAAGCTCTGTGTCAGAGTCTCCCCGCTTTTATGCAGACCTGAAGGAGTGTCTCCACCTGCATCGTTCAGCCCAGACACTGAGATCCAGCTCCGAAGGCCTTCTGGCGGTTCCCTCATTGCAAGAAGTGAGGTTACAGGGAACCAGGCAGAGGGTCTTCTCAGTAGTGGCACCCACCCTCTTCGGATACCAAGGAGATGAACAACTACACAACTTTTAGAAGACATCTGAAGGCAGCCCCGTATAGCGGAAGTTTTAAATATTTGATATTTTATTATTTGTTTTTTAAAAAAAATGTGTTGGAAGCTGCTCAGAGGGCGGGGTATAAATATTATTATTATTTATTTTATTTTGCCACACCACTATCCCAAAGGAAACCAGCTCTTTAAAGCTGAATCTGGACAAATGGCAATTCGGTTTCCACACAGAATAGTTTTCAGTGAGAGTGGGGGTTTTTTTAGGGAAAGCGCTCTGACACAGAGTTTTAAAGCATGGACCTGTACACAAAAGAGTATCTGGATGAGGCCTTAGTGGAGGATGAAGAGTAACAGATGTTTGCAAAGAGGCCCAGGGAGGAGAGAATATTATATTATTGGGGTGGGGGAAGGAAGGGGAAGGGAGCTGAAGGGGGCCAAAACATGTTTAAAACACCCTGCGTGTGCACTCTGCAGTGGTGGTGTGCTTCTTCCAAATAAAGCTCTCCCCCTCACAGTACTTCCGTCGACACAGACCTAGTCGTTTTTCTGGATTGTTGAGGATCACGACTTACGGCTTTGGGCATAAAAACGTCTGCCAAACTGGCTAAGTGGCCAACGACGCATTGTAGGGTTCCGGAAGATTTGTGCCCCAGTCTAGCAAGAAAAACTGATGTACTGAAACGGTCCGCCAGGAGCTGAAGCAGATGTGGAAAAAGATGCTTGCCAGGTCCCAGTGAAGTAGCTAGAAAGGGTCTTTCAGTGCCTTTCCATGGAGAAACTGACTGGTTGCGTTCAACAGCTCATCTGCAACTAAGATTGAGGGTCCCTAGCATTCAGCTTGCCAACAATTTGATGTGACTTTGTGACTTATTTTCTTGGGACTTTTCTTTGTATTTTACGAGAAACTTTTGGTGTAATTGTAAAATGCTATTTTCATTGCTACGTGAATCAGTACACTTAGGTGCAAGAGACTCCATTTATTTTTCTTCTGCTAAATCTTGGGTATATCCTGCTCCCCCCCCCCCCCAAACAAACACAGAAATGTTTTTCAGCTCCACAAATGCTTTAGTAAACTGCCAGAAATCTCAAGAGGTGACACATACTGGTTTGTTTTTAAAATGGAATTGGCGCAGTTCCAACCCCACCCCCCCATATTTTATAAACAACCAATAAAAAGTGGTCCATTAAATGCATTCATGGAGCACGATGTGGTCTGTGCTGTGCCTACTCAGAAGTAAGCCTTCCGTGAGCTTGCTAACTTAATATCCCATACACAATTATGTGGGGGAAATCCCCATCGAACTCAATGGCGTTTGCATTTGAGCAGACCAATCTAGGATCGCACTGTGAAATCAAATGTTACCCGGGAGCCATATTTCAAGGAAGAGAGTTCCACAGAATTGTCACAGTGATGATGAACTTTCTGATGATTCTGCCGAAATCCCCTCCCTGTAATATAGGGAGAGATGTTTGCACGCAGCGTCAATCGCTGGCATTTGCAGTTGAGAGAAACAGGAGATGGGAAGACCCTCAAAATGCTGGAGAGCTGCAGCCAGTCAGAGTCGACGGTACTAATCTGGATGGACAAATAGAGTGATCTAGTGTAAACCAGCTCCCTGGGATAAAAAGATAAAGGGACCCCTGACCATTAGGTCCAGTCGTGACCGACTCTGGGGTTGCGGCGCTCATCTCGCTTTACTGGCCGAGGGAGCCAGCGTACAGCTTCCGGGTCATGTGGCCAGCATGACTAAGCCGCTTCTGGCGAACCAGAGCAGCGCACGGAAACGCCGTTTACCTTCCCACCAGAGTGGTACCTATTTATCTACTTGCTTTGATGTGCTTTCAAACTGCTAGGTGGGCAGGAGCAGGGACCAAGCAACGGGAGCTCACCCCATTGCGGGGATTCGAACTGCCGACCTTCAATCAAGTCTTAGGCTCTGTGGTTTAACCCACAGCACCAACCGCGTCCCTTGCTCCCTGGGATACATCTGCTTTAAAAATAAGACCAACCATTTAGGTCTTTTATAAACTTTTTTTTTTTTTTTGCAATGCAGCGTTAAGAACAGAAAGGGCTTTGCTACTTACCTACAGAAGAAATTTCTGATGTTCACTTAACTGAAATTTTGTGCATCTCCCGATCTCTCTGGAGTTTTGCCCAATTGTCTTACACTTCCTTTTTTTCTTCTTTTTCCAAACACAGCTTCGAGATACTTACTCGAAGAACGGCTATGCTTGCCTTACCAGAGAAAACTTTTCCCTGGAAGACTTGGACGATTCCAGTTACAATGAAGAGGGCGACCCCTGCTGGCAAGTCAAGTTGCAGCTCTTACGATTAATAAAAAAGGTACGCCTGTAATACCTGTATCAAGTGAAATCAGAAAAAGAACTTTGCTACAAGAATCTTGGCCCCCTTCAGGGCTTGCAGTTTTTGTAGATCGAGTACCTTAAACATCTGGAGGGTGTTGTTGTTGCTTAGTTGTTTAGTCATGTCCGACTCTTTGTAACCCCATGGACCAGAGCACGCCAGTCACTCCTGTCTTCCACTGCCTCCCACAGTTTGGTCAAACTCTGAACTCTGGATCTAAAGCACTCTTCCCCCAACCAGCTGCCCTCTAAATTGTCCGGCCTACAAGTCCCACAGATGATAGCAACTGTAGTTCACAACCTTTGGGGGGGCACCAGGTTGGGGAAGCACAAATGGAACAAATAGTGTTTGGCAGGGTTGCCAACTGACCAGGAAAGGAACAGTTTGCCCTGTGTTCCTACGCCTTCAACAACAGCTTGATGATACACAGGAATCAGCAGGGCGAATCTTTTTCATAGCAAGGAAATAAATACTATTACTTGCTATGTTTGCGGGCCGTAAGTAATTATTAGAGGCCAAAGAGCAGGGGCTGAGATAATAAATAGTAATAGTAATAAATGCAACAAAAACTTGGAAACACTGTGTGTGATATACAGGTAAATTTCCCATGCTGCCACAATGGGCTATGTCTGTGGGGCATACTTTCTGTGGCAAAACTGGTTTTGCCTCCACTTAATGTATGAAATGGCTCTACCATTCCTATCCTATACCTGTATATGTCTACTCTGAAGCCCACACCATTGAGTTGAGATTTACTCCCAAGTAAGTGCATATAGGATTGCAGCCTTGAGCATGATGCCACAGACTGCATGCAAAGCAAGAGCAGATCCACAAGCGTCTCTCTTATGTCTAAGGCAGCGGTTCTCAACCTGTGGGTTCCCAGATGTTGATGGACTACAACTCCCATCATCCCTGAGTTTTGGCCTTGCTAGCTAGGGGTGATGGGAGTTGTAGTTCAATAACATCTGGGGACCCACAGGTTGAGAAAGGCTGCTGTAGAAAGAGAACTTTATAGACAGGTTCACAAAGGCATCGAAAAGACGCACAGTTGAAAGGTCATGATGACAGCACAGTTAACATCACTTGCAATGTTATTTGTTGCATTTGTATGTTGTGCAGAGTTTTTCTCATAGCTTTGCATTCGTATCTTGGAACCTTTTGATGAAGGACAGTTAAGAAATAATTTTCAGCAGATAATAATAATAATAATAATAATAATATAATTTTATTTATATCCCGCCCTCCCCAGCCGAAGCTGGGCTGAGAGCGGCTAACAACAGTAAAATAATACAGCATTCTAAAATCAATTCATCCTAAAATCAATTCAAAATCCAATTAATGGCAACCATTGGGCTAGAGTTCTGTGAGGATTACCAAAGGAGGGGGTCCGGCTGTGCCCTGGCCAAAGGCCTGGTGGAACAGCTCTGTCTTGCAGGCCCTGTGGAAAGATGTCAAATCCCGCAGGGCCCTAGTCTCTTGTGACAGAGAGTTCCACCAGATTGGGGCCACAGCCAAAAAAGCCCTGGCTCTGGTTGAGGCCAGCCTAACCTCCCTGTGTGCATTTCTTAAATGAACAATGCCCACCGTGTCCAGCATTATTGACAAGAATCCTAGTTCCCCAAAAGGTACGTAGCAGTCTTCCTTAAGCTAGTGTACCTTAAAGGGGGGGGGGGGGGCTCACTGATGACTCACAATCTGCTATCCATCCTTGCTGTGCTGGAGTCATTGCTAGGCAGCTTACAGAATGGAATTCTGCTACTCTTAATTTACCAGGGAGGGAAAAAGCTAACCGATTGTATTTGCTCTTGCAGATGATAGCCAGGAACCAAGCAGAAGTGGCAGCCTCCTCGGTCCAAGGTATTGATGCAGGCAACACATTTACTCACCGTATTGGGCTGGATACGGGGGTGGATAGGAGAAGTAAATATGCTGGTGTTGCAAATGCCCAATGACTAAATCCACTGGAAACTTGAATGTGTAGATTGTGGTGCAAGACAAGTCGTGTGTATGTGGGGGGAAAGTGCATCAGTAGAAAAGGCAAAGAATGTCGTTGGGGAAGCGCCATAGCTCTGTACTTTGAATGCAGGAGGTGTGTTGCAGGTTTAGTCCTGTAGTTCCTAGTACTATTGTTAAACATTTTCGTCTTCTTGTTGTAAACCACCACCAACAAATTATTTATACCCCGCCTATCTGGCTGGGCTTCCTCAGCCACTCTGGGCAGCCCCAACAGAATATTAAAAAACATGATAAAACATCAGACATTAAAAACCTCCCTAAACAGGGCTGCCTTCAGATGTCTTCTAAAAGTCTGGTAGTTGTTTTTCTCTTTGACATCTGGTGGGAGGGCGTTCCACAGGGCGGGTGCCACAACCGAGAAGGCCCTCTGCCTGGTTCCCTGTAACTTGGCTTCTCACAGTGAGGGAACCACCAGAAGGCCCTCAGCTCTGGACCTCAGTGTTTGGGCTGAATGATGGGGGTGGAGACGCTTCTTCAGGTATACAAAAGTACATGCCGCTTTGTTCAAGTTGTACAGCCTTTTCTACAGATCGGTTCCATTTGTTATGAGACATTAGTGTTGAATACAGTTATGAGGTCAGGAAGAAGTTTGCGGGGGGAGAGAGGAGGGGTGGCAAAATTTATAATTTTTGCAGTGTACTTGTGGGGTTTTGTGTCAGCGTCAACTAGATGGGTTCACTTTCTATTCGCTTGTTAGGTTTCCTCAGTAGCGAGAGAGGTTGGGGGCCTAGGGTGGTATACACAGAGTTGTATCCAAGTCAAGAGGAGACCCACTGACAATGACAGACGTGACTAATTTAGGTCCATCCATTTCAGTGGGTCTGCGCTTAGTTGGATACAACCTATAATGTTGGAGGGGGCCTGCACCGTCTAATCCAGTTGCCAGTTCTAATGCAAGGAAGCCAGGACTAAGACACCCCCCAACAGATAATAATAATAATACAGTGGTGCCTCGCAAGACGAAATTAATCCGTTCCGCGAGAGTCTTCGTCTAGCGGTTTTTTCGTCTTGCGAAGCAAGCCCATTGACGGATTAGCGCTATTAGCGCTATTAGCGGTTTAGCGGCTATTAAAGGCTTAAAGGCTTAGGGGATTAGCTGCTAAAAGGCTATTAAAGGCTATTAAAGGCTTAGCAGATTAGATAAAGGGGGGGAAAAGCGAAAAAAAATCTCAAGACTCGCAAGGTATTTTCGTCTTGCGAAGCAAGCCCATAGGGGAATTCGTCCTGCGAAGCAACTTCAAAACGGAAAACCCTTTCGTCTAGCGGTTTTTCCGTCTTGCGAGGCATTCGTCTTGCGGGGCACCACTGTAATGATCGTGATGATGCCGGGCTCAGAGCGGCTAACAACGGTAAAATAACACAGTTTTCAGAGTCAAATTAATGGTAACCATTGGGCTAGAGTTCTATGAGGATTACAGAAGGAGAGAGGGGGTCAGACTGTGCCTTGGCCAAAGGCCTGGTGGAACAGCTCTTTCTTGCAGGCCCTGTGGAAAGATGTCAAGTCCCGCAGGGCCCTGGTCTCTTGTGACAGAGCGTTCCACCAGATTGGGGCCACAGCCAAAAAAGCCCTGGCTCTGGTTGAGGCCAGCCTAACCTCCCTGTGGCCCGGGATCTCCAAGCTGTTTTTATTTGAAGACTGTAAGGTCCTCTGTGGGACATGAAAGGAGAGGCGGTCCCTTAGGTATGAGGGTCCTAGGCCGTATAGGGCTTTAAAGGTTAAAACCAGCACCTTAAACCTGATCCTGTACTCTACCAGGAGGCAGTGCAACTGGTATAGCACCGGTTGAATGTGGAGATGGCTGTCCACCTTTCTGCCTGAAAAGCCCAACTGGTCCATTGTGAGAATGCATTCGCCATTCAGCAGCAGGGATGCTCAGCTGAAAAATCTACTACCTTTCTATAACTTAAGCCTATTAGATCTAGTCCCGCCCTCTGGGGTAGAAAAGACCCAGGTCTTTGACTCCTCCAGTGCAACAGCCTTTAAGGTATTTGAAGAGAGCTGTCATGTCCTCTTGACTGACATGTTCTCCAGGCCATTTACGACCAGTTCATTCATTCTTTTGCTCCTACCTGGGCTTGTTTTCCATTTGGATGACAATGTTTCATTGCCTTCCTCGGACCCCGTTCCAGTTTCCCTCCATCAGGCCATAGCCGATGGGAAAGACCTGCTAAAGCTCTTGGAGAACTGCGGCCAGTCCAGAGTAGCCAGCACTGGGCTAAATGAACAAAAAGTCTGGAGTACCAATGCACCTGACATGTGAAACCGTGCCTCAGGTGGAACCACGCGAGTCATCTGTCTAGCCCAGGGGTTGTCAACCTGGTCCCTACCACCCACTAGTGGGTGTTTTTCAGGATTCTAGGTGGGTGGTAGGGGGTTCTACAGCACAAGTTGAATCCTCCTTCCATCGAGCACTGGTGGGCGGTAAGGAAATTTTACCATCAAGAAAGATTCATTACTGGGCGGTAGGTATAAAGAGGTTGACTACCCCTGATCTAGCCCAAGCACCATCCGGCTTTGACTGTTAGCTGTTGTCCAAGATCTGAGGCATAAATCTTTCCCCATCAGCTGCTTTTGTCCAGAGGGTTGGGTCCAAAAGTGGCCAGCTCTCCATGGGCTACCTGGGTGGGGCTGGCCACCTGCCGCTCCCCTGACACCACACGACACCAGGCATGCCATACGACACCAGGTGTTTCAGCTGCAGGCTGCAAAGGGAGAATGAGGACCACTACTCCATATGCAAATCCTGTCTCGCCTGCAGCAGTGCTGTGGTTGCGATAGTAATTCAAGATTAAAATCCTGACCTTTCTTCCTCTTCCATCCAAGGTGATGCTTCTACTGTAGATTCTACTGTGAGTCAGAGTGTCGTCCCCAGAACAGCAGCTCACTTGACTGGAAGCAGAATTGGGAAAAGTGTTTGGGCCACACAGAGTAAGTCGCTATGTTATTCCGGCAAGAGTATGTTTATATTTTTACGTCAATCAGCTTATGCACCTGCTAAATTAGGTAATAAAAGAAAAGCGTTTGGATGTTGCTTTTAATGTGCGATTCTGCTGCTGTGTTAAATATTGGATGGCTATTGTTTTAAATGGTATTTTTTTATTTTGCTTAATCGTATTTCTATATTATTATCACTGCTATTATTATTAATTAAGCCTGATGGTTACGCAAGAGGTCTCCAAGTGACTTGCACCGTAGCTTAAACATAACTATAAATGCATTACAATGTGACACATTTACACAGAAACACATGCAATTCATAAAAGCACTCAAAAGCAAAACATAAGCCACTCTGGAGTGTTCTCTGAGCAGAACAGATAACATCTATCTGGTGTGGGGAGAAACTTTGGCTCTCCAGATGTTCAGCAGCTGCAGCTCCCTTCATCCGCTGTCATTGGCTATTGCTTGCCGGGGCAGATGGGACTGTCGTTCAGCAACAGAGATTCCCCACACCACTCCTATATGTTCTTAAGGTTGAACTCAGAATTTTCTGATTGGTTGATCGCTTTATAGTTAAAATGGGCATCATCCACGCACAAGAAAAGGGGCATTGTTAGCAAGCTTGGAGAAACTCCCCGGGATTTACAGGAGCAGATATTCAGAAAGAAAACGTAAGTGGTGGGAAAGCCTTAGGGAGAAAAAAACAGCACAATGCGAAGCATGTTCAGTGGCTACAGAGTGCCATGTGTCTTGGTGGGGGGTGAAATGGAATATCCTGTGAAAGGGCTGGCTGGAACCTAGAACAGGAGCTCACTGTACATCGCAACACATAGCTGCAGGTCCCACTTGTATATTGCAGCAGCAACAGCAATAAACAACAACATACACCATCAAAATGAAAGGTGAGCTGTATGTCTTTAGGAGCATTAGGGTGAGCAAAGAGACTGGGTTGAAATAAAAAGCTGTCAAGAACTTCCAAAAGTACACATTTGCAATTAATTCATCATCGCTATCATTATTACCGTTAGCTGTTTATTTTGTACTTGAAAGGTTTGGGATTTACTCTGGATTATTATTATTTTTTACACACCTAAAATACACGTTTGCCTTCTTTTTCAACCCGCTGCAGATTCTTCGAGCAGAAGCCGTTTTGGAGTCAAAATCAGCACGTGGCAGACAGCCAGCTGGCCTCATTCTTTCCTCCACAACGTAGGCTTGTTGGACGGGGAGCTGATTATACTGCAAGCGGGCTACTACTACATTTACTCCCAAACGTATTTCCGGTTCCGTGAAGAGGAGGGTGTCGAGCGCCGTTCCGACCCTGACTCGGACAGCGTCAGGAATCCCAGGCAGATGGTTCAGTACATTTCCAAGCGCGTTGATACTTACCCAGACCCGATTCTGCTGCTGAAAAGCGCAAGAACTAGCTGCTGGGCGAAAAGGGCAGAATACGGACTTTACTCGATCTACCAAGGGGGAGTGTTCCAGCTAAAGAGGAACGATCGGATTTTTGTCTCTATCAGTGATATGACGCTCGTGGACATGGATAAAGAAGCAAGTTTCTTTGGAGCCTTCCTGGTCTCTTAAAAAAGAAAGAGGGAGACAGACTGAATTAGAAAAGCCTTAAAAGAAACAGACCTGGCTTTGAACTGCACAAAGACAACACTCAATTTTCTGCATGCAGAAATGGAGCCCATGTGCAATCCTATTGACAGATGAACTGCCAGCGAGAGCTTGGAAGTTGCCAAGAAACAAAACAAACCTCGTCTGTCAATGTCTGTAAAGAAAGACCGGGTGCTAATGGCTGCCATGCCATGGATATGGAACTTGTAAGAAACCGTATCCAATTTCACTTTGGAAGAGGATAGGGCTGTACTAGTCCTGTCCCCTGAGAACAATATAGCCTGCAGAAGCACTACATACAGTTAATTGCGCCTGCATGCTGGGAAACCACATGGAGCAAGGCGTGAGGTTCTTCCTGCACCACCAGATGATGGTTGTCTCTCTTGTGTAACAGATTGCGTTTGGTGGAGTGAGAAGGTGGTCTTTGGCAATGGGAACTTTCAGGATAAACGGTTGGTTGCCTCTGGCCAGGTTATTTCCACTGCAAACCTTTCACAAGCAGGAGGAGCAGAGATTGAGAACTGTCACATGGAAGAGCCCTCCCAGGACTGGACCACTTCATACTGGAGGGGGGGAGAGATAACGCTGGGAGGCTAAACTACTTGACATGTGAACATTGCACATGAATGTTTGGGAGGTGAGGCATTAAAATATGGGGTCTGCTTTACGCTGTCTGAAGAGGAACAGTCCCAGAAGGGCTACACCATGTGACATATTCCATATTTGCTGTTCACCTCTTACCAGTCATCTTATTGGTAAAGTCTATAATAGAGCAGAATTTATGCACGGTGGGCAATCATAATCTGATTATACATAAGATTGGGGCAATGACCCACATCGCAGGCTGCAAACTGTTGCCCACTCGTTGAATATTTCTCTTTAAAACCAGGCCACTCTGCCTTGGTACCCTGATTTTTTTTGTTTTTAAACCTTAAGCCCACCTTAATTTTTTTTTTTTTTAAAGTAATTACATGAATAAATAACATACTTACAAAAACAACATAGAAGTGTTCACATGCACAGACCCTCTCAACCCAGTCAAGCCTGAACACTGGAGATAAGGTTGCCTTTAACAGCATTTGAGCTGTGCAGAAATCAGTTCTAATGTAGATGAGCATTATAACTGGATGGGGTTGATGCTAATTGCACAAAAACAGGGCCTAGTAAAAAAGAAGTTGGTAACTCTGAACTGGAAGGTGTCTCCAGTATGTGATGCTGCTCCACAGAAGTGAGTAATCTTGTGTTTTTTCACAGTGGCGGGGGGAGAGAGACATTTTTTAAGACTTGTGGTTTAGCTTGCTTATGAACCAGGGATCCACGTTTAAACCAAACACTTGGAACAGTTTCATAGTAAGTCAACTTCAAACCATGGCTTATGAAGCCTACTCACTGGGACTAGGCAGAGTTTGGTTTGAACCATGGTTTCCTGGTTTCCACATAGCGATATGCCAGGAAATAGGGATCAGCACACGGCCTTCTTTGTGTTGTTGCACTCCAATCTGGGAGTTGGACTCGCAGCAACACATTCTGGACTGCACATTCTCTGTGCCTGCATTAAGCCAAAATTCTTTTAAAAGAGAAACTCCTGGCCATTCAGGAGCAGAAAGGAGCAAGGCTTTGCTAAGTCGTCTTGAGGATTGTCTGCGTAGCACTAAACTGCAGCAGGGGGAACTTGAGGTCCTCTGGAGGCTGTCAGACCCCAACTCCCATCATCGCAGACCACTGACAGGGCTGATGGGAGGTGTGAGTCTGATCTTATCCACAAGGCCACAGTTTCCCCATCAGGGCACTAAACTGTGGTTTAGCGTTACATGCACGGCAAGCCCCAGCATCTCTGTAAAAAGGTGGCAACCATCTGTGGCATTTACCATTCTCAGGGAGATACTGTTGAAAAACAACATATAACAACAAGGACTTTATTTGCGTAGCCAACAGGTCATAGCATCAAAGGACAAACACCGACAAAAATACATTACAAATATAGTTATCGTATAATCTATTAAAACCCTAGGTAGAAGATGGATTATCATTCATCAATGACCCTATGTCCCATGGGCGGCGGCCTTTTCTCTGGTAGATTGTTCCAGGTCGGTTAAGTAAATAGACCAGCCAAATTGAAAGATTATAAATATAATTTTGCATATATAAATATAATTTTGTATAAATATATATTTTGGCATCTCAAAGCGCCAAAATACTGTCTCGCTTTTACTTTACGAAGGGGGGCAGACATATCCCAGCAGCTCTGGAGGTCTTTCAAGCAAAACCCTTGGCGCAATTACTCTACGGGAACCCAAATCTGGACGGGAAATCGTTGCCGCACACTTGAAATGGTCCAGTCTAAATTCTTAAGACAGATTCTAGCCGTTCCACCATGCGCACCAAATGCGGCCCTATGGCTGGAGACTGGCCTCCTCTCCGTCGAAACCCGAACCTGGTTAAGAACATTCAACTATTGGCTTCACCTAAATTTAAACCCATCCGGACTACTACCTCTAGTAGCACGAGATGCTCATAGAAGTCGGTGGTCCAAACTAGTACATCAAAAACTACTTACATGTGGCCTCCAAGCACAGCATCTCCTGAAAATGGGTCTCCCCAAGGCAAAAACCATTATCGACCAGCACATGAAGGATATTGAGCAGCAGAATAATCTGGCTTATATTAAGAAATTTAGTGCTTGGTACGCTTATCTGCCCCCCTCCCACTTTGATTTTCGGGCACCTTATTTGTCTACCTTAACCATTCCAAAACTCAGGCGGGCCTTTACATTGGCCAGACTAAATATGTTACCCTCGGCTGTTCTTGAAGGTAGATATCAAAAAATTTCATTCGAGAACCGGCTCTGCCCTTGTGGAGCTGGCTACGTAGAGACTGTGTCACACGTTCTCCTGTCTTGTTCCCAACATATATTTTGAGCCAGAGGGTGCTTTTGAGTGTGATACAAATACAGGAGTGATGGTATTAAAGATGCCTTCATTTTATCTCTTTCTTTTACTGGCAATTGGACCTTGAAACGGCCAGAGGAACAGCCTCCTGGCTCCTCCTATCGGCACACACCTGTTCAGCTTTGGTGTTCCATCCTACGTATTGGTTTCACAGACGCAGGGAAGTAGATGCCACAGACTTTTGCCGCAAGCTCACCTCTTGCCACACTTGACCGTCTTAGGCTGCAGGGGAATGTCGAGTTGGCAAGGAGTTACTGCAGGGTCTGTATTGTGTTAAAACCTGCCGTGTTTTTTCCTGAAGGTCTCTCGTACTCATTTGACTGGGCTACAGTGACCTTGCCATGCATCCCAGAAAAACACAGCTGTTTGCTTTCACAATTACTGCTCCGTGTTCTCAGAGAGAACTCCAGGATCACGAGGAGTGGGGCCGGGGGGTGGGTGGGTAGTATAACTATATAGTCCGAAAGCTTTCCTCAGTTACTAAACACAAAATAGAATGCTCGATGAGTGTTTACTCCTAAGTAAGGTTGCACAGTGGTGGAGCCATATGTGAGCCTCTCTATCCCTCAGTCATATATGAGTAAAAGTAGCAAATTTTGTGCCTTGTGTCGGGGGCGTGTGGGTGTTAAGACCGCATCCAGCCTCCATATTGAAAGTGCATGTGTGGGGCCATTGGCTCACACAGTCTCTCCTCCCCCTAGCACATTCAGGTGTTATCTGAAGGGGCTGTGTGCGTGTCCTAATGTGCGCACGTTGAACTCCATGCAAGGGGCAATCCTGATTGAGCCAGATTCTGCCCTCAGCCTGGAGGAACTTGAGGCCGGCACCTGTGTGCAAATGTACGTGAGCTCCTTCTCAAGGCAGTGGAGTGTGCAGGTGGCTGCTGGAGCGTGGCCACTGTGTGCAACAGGGTGGAGCTAAGCCTGCATGCCCCTCCCAAGTATAATTTTGTATTGTAATGTTTCTTTTCATTTAGAATTTTGTATGAAACTTAAATTCATTGTGCAGTTTTCTAAGATGATTGTCAAATTTTGTACATAATTTTTTATAAAAAAATTTTTTTCTACAAATGAGTGTGCCTTTTCATCATCATGCATCTAGGCCTATTATTTATCATTATAATTATAACTAATCTTTTTACCCTTACAGATACTCAAGGCAGCCTACACATAGAAATAAGAACTGCTAAAAACATAGGAAAAACCATCATTAAACATTTTATATCTGTTTAAAAGCTGCCGGGGCAGGGGAGTCCTTTAAAGAAAACCAAAACCTATGGTTGCCCTAGGAAAAAAAGGGACACATTTTGCACTTTTAAGAAAGAAAGAAGCAAGCGAAGCATTTCACGACATGGAAGTAGTAGACTCCAAGTCGCCTTGTAATGGCCGCAAATCAGATTTTGCTGTTAGACAGCTGCAGGAACAGGTTCAAAAAGCAGCAGGATGTCTCTTGGAGAATTGCTAAAACAAGACCAATGAGGTGACTGAAAAGGCTGTTGGGAAGAGCTCCCCTTCGAATGTCCATCTGTCAGGCTTCAGGGAACCCGATCCCCCTCCCTCATGGCAGGCTGCCAGTAATGGAAATACAGTCGTACCTTGGTTTTCGGAACGGAATCCGTTCCAGAAGTCTGTTCAACTTTCAAAGCATGGCTCCTGCAGCCATTCGGAAGCCCAGTCGGACGTTCAGCTTCCAAAAATAGTTTGCAAACCACAACACTCACTTCCGGGTTTGCGGTGTTCAGGAGCCAAAATGTTTGAGAACTAAGCTGTTCGAAAACCAAGGTATGACTGTACTACAAGAAGCTCTTACCAAGGTATTCAATATTCTCTAGGGCAATGGCATTGCTCCGAGTAATCTCTCCCCTTCTACTTTCAGTCGTCGGCAGCTCCACCCCTTATATATATATATATCCACCTCTTTGTCTCTTCGCTTTCTGCTCTCCCACTTTCACTGCCTTCCTGGTCCACGGAGAAGCGGGGTCTGGAATGCTTTCTAATGATAACGTGTCAGCCAGCTGTTCTGGCTCTGATGCAACCCCCTCCTCCTTACATTATCTAGCAGCTTTGAGTCATGACCTGCAAACCACCATTGTAAATCCATACTGTCCTCCTCCACCATTCCAGTCTTCTGTCCAGTTCTTGACACCGTCCCAGTAAATGTTCCCCCAGAAATCCACAATGCACGACGGTCAATTTGCTGTTTCCCACACAATTTATGTAATCTGCAGTGACAAGCTATCTGGTGAATACTCTCTTTAAAAATTATTATTATTATTATTATTTTGTTACTTTTTACACATAGAAAGTTACATTCGTTACTCAAACAAATTTTATTCCAATTCAACAAAACTAGTGACTTCCTGCTTGCCTGAAATCAATGTTTATAACTCAAATTACATCCAATTGCATTTTTAATTTTCCGTTTTAATCTAGTCTCATGCTCTTGTTTCTTAATATATTCTGCTGTTTTCAACCGCTAGTGAACACTTGATTTCTAGACATGCCAGGCTTGTTGGAATATAGCACAAAATGGCTGCCACATGTAATGGGGCACGATGACAAAAAGTGTCCTGTTAACGCTCCTCCATCAATTGGGTGGGAGTGGGGAGACCACCTGCCTTAGCTCACCACTGTGCTCAGTGGGATCTTTGCGCCTCTGTTCAGCAAGGGCAGGCGAGGTGACCGATCTTGGAACCAAGTGAAATAAGGTTACAAGATCGAAAATAAGAGCTGCAAATTCAGTTTCGCAATGGCCAAAACAGTGAGGCATGTGGTCTGAGAGAATGGTGGCCTAGGGTCCCCAGAGCCAGAGAGAGAAGTCTGGAGGGCAGCATTTCTCTCCCCCCACCCCGCCCCAAGTCTGAGATTTCCCATTTCCTGCCTACTAAAAGCTTAAGTTGAAATCGGCAGAAGGGGCTCTGAAAATACAAGAGAAATGGAGAAGTAGCGTAATGATCTTCATGCATTGCAGGGGATCAATAGACTGCCCTCGATAATCCCTTCCAACTCTGCAATTTTATGATGTCCTTGTTAGCTTCCCAAAAGCCTGGGAAACTGAATGCCAAGCTGTAGGTTATCCCTAAACTTTTAGCAGGTATTTGAATGGCTGTTCTTAGCGTTTGCAATGCTAGAGCAACTAAACACCACCAGGCAGGCTGCTCAATATTGTCTACAGTTGGGAAGCGGGTGGCGCTGTGGTCTAAACGACTGAGCTTCCTGGGCTTGCTGATCGGAAGGTCTGCGGTTTGAATCCCCGCAACAGGGTGAGCTCCCGTTGCTCTGTCCCAGCTGCTGCCAACCTAGCAGTTCGAAAGCACACCAGTGTGAGTAGATAAATAGGTACCGCTGTGGTGTGAACGTAAACAGCGTTTCTGTGCGCTCTGCTTTCCCTCACAGTGTTCTGTTGCACCAGAAGCGGTTTATTCCTGCTGGCCACATGACCCGGAAAACTGTCTGTGGACAAACGCCGGCTCCCTCGGCCTGAAAGCGAAACGAGCGCCACAACCCCATTGTTGCCTTTGACTAGACTTAACCGTCCAGGGTTCCTTTGCCTTTTTTTTATTGTCTGCAGTGACTGGCACAGGCTCTCCGGTTTTGCAGCTCTACATCAATATGCCAAATGTGAGCACACACTGACCTCCCAAGTGGCGAGGTTATCATAAGCCATTAAAATGTAATCTGCAGAAGTGTACATGATGCGCTGTGGCTGTATCAAACGTGGCGCCTTTCAACTAGGCAAAAGTGAGAAACCTGCGACATCCAGTAATCAAATAACACTGCTGTTCCCTTCCACTTTTCCATGAGCTGATGGAAATAATGTCATTTCAAAATATAGGTAGATTCCCCCCCCCCTCCCTGCCGCCGCCGCCACTCACTCACTCCTGGCTATTTTCTGATGGTCATGTTTTCCCTCTCCCTCTCCTTTTATCATCCTCCAAAGGAAATCGCAATGATTGCACAGAGTTTGAAAATATTTCTATGGCGACAAATTGAGATGCTATGACCTCCTCTTCGACCAGGACTGGATTAAAATGGGGCGGGGTGGGGAGGGACAGAGGGGGCGGCAGCGAGGGTGGTTTTGCCTCTGCTGCTGATCACCTGCTTTAGCAGGTAGGTAGTGATGACCTGAGGCAGCTCCTGAAGGAGAGGGAGGAAGAAGAGACTCCTCTGGAATATTGCCTCTTACTTGCACATTGGTAGGCAATTGATGGCCACTCCTATTTATATTCCTTTTCTGCTAGGAAAGGAACCGGAGGCATTTGGGTTAACATGGTAGTACATATATAATAAATAAATAAACACCATCTCCAACTTCTCGAAAGATTTCACCAACGGTGTCTCCGGAAAATGTTACACATCACTTGGGAAGACAGGTGAACTAATGCCAGTGTAATGCCAGATCACCAGTGGGGTTTGTTGGTTTGTTTTTTAAACTGCACAGCAACATTTATTGTTGCAGCCTGAAAAAACACCCCGTTTTAAATTTCACACAGCAAAGCAAGTTAAACTTCACTCATCGATAAGTGATAATTTAAAACAAGAACTTGCTAAAGAAACCTTGTCACAACAACTTTAGGGCCTGATCACTTTTAAGTCCATGGGGCCTTTAATGAGTATCAACCTAGTGTAAAGATCACCAATGTTGAAGCAATGATTCTTCAACAGCAACTTCGTTGGACTGGTCATGTTGTGCGGATGCCTGATTATCGTCTTTCCAAAGCAACTACTCTATTCCGAACTTAAAAATGGAAAGTGTAATGCCAGTGGTCAACAAAAGAGGTTTAAAGACTCTCTCAAGGCAGATGTAAAAAAATGTAGTATAAACACCGACAACTGGGAGACATTGGCCTGCGAGCGCTCCAATTGGAGAACAGCCTTTGCCAAAGGTGTTGTGGGCTTTGAAGATGCTCGAACTCAGGACAAAAGGGAGAAATGTGCTAAGAGGAAGGCATGCTTGGCAAATCCTCACTATGATCAACCCGGAAACCTATGTCCCCACTGTGGAAGGACGTGCGGATCCAGAACTGGCCTCCACAGTCACTTACGGACTCACTGTTAAAACCATATTCATGGAATACAATCTTACTCGGCTATGAGTGATCGCCAAAGACGAAGACGACATATATAATAAATAATCTAATGGAGAGAGGGGTGGCTAGGCCCAATCTAACTGCTACTGCTGGCAGGTCATAAGAACATAAGAGCTCTGCTGGATCAGGCCAGTGGCCCATCTAGGCCAGCATCCTGCTGTCACAATGGCCACCCAGATTCCTGTGGTAAACCCTCAAACAGGACCCAATGCACAAAAGCACTCTCCCCTCTGGGTTTCCACCAACTGGTATTCAGAATCATGGCTTCGTCCAACTGTGGAGGCGGAGCTTAGCCATAGGGGCTAGTAGCCTTTGAGAGCCCTCTCCATTAATTTATCTCGTCCTCTTTTAAAGAGTTGGCGGCCATTACTGTCTACCATGGGAGTGAGTTCCATAGTGCAACTATGCGCTGCATGAAGGATAACTTTTGTTTATCTGGCCTGAATCTTGAACATTCAGCTTCACTGAATGTCCATGAGGGCCATTTCTGGGAGTTAGGGAGGGAGGGAGAAACAACTCTTCTTGATCCACTTTTTAAACGCCATGTATAATTTCATAAACTTCTATCACATCACCTCTCTTCGTCTTTTCTTCACGCTAAAAATTACCAAACTAAAAGGCTGGCTAGGGGGTCAGCACTGAGTCCTCTTGAGCCGTTGCAGGGCTTCAGCGTATTATAGTTTCTATAATTTCCAGGTGAACTGAATATGAATCAAGTACCTTCAGCAGTGGAACTTTAGGTTTAATTTTTGTTTTTTTTAACACAAATGAAATTTAATGCCATAATTTATGCATATCACACTTAACCCTGTGTTAGATGGTGGCCATTGCATTTTCCATTTTCACCTCTTTGAAAAGTGATGCTCTTGTTGTTGTTGTTGTTGTTGTTGTTGTTGTTGTTGTTATCCCACCCATCTGGCTGGGTTGCCCCAGTCACTCTGGGTGGCTTTCAAAACATATAAAAACATAATAAAATGACAAACATTAAAAACTTCCTGATATAGGGCTGCCTTCAGATTGTCTTCTAAAAGTTGGGTAGTTATTTATCTCCTTGACATCTGAAGGCATTCCACAGGGAGGTTGAAGCTTAAAGGTCATAATTGTTGGGGGGAATAACTGGAATAATTGCTCACATTACACTTAAGTCTTCTTAAGTATCTTTTATAATTCTGAAGGCTGATGGTGAAACTCCAAGGACCATGTGAATTAATTGTGGGTTGAACTGGAAGAGAATTTGTTCCTATCTGGAGGGGTGAACTGAAACTAATTCCTGGCTCCACTCTTCATACATTCAGCCATTGCGTGAAATGGGTTTTCATTTCAGTTTCTTCCTCCATTTTCTGTCCTTCCTTTGCAACTTTCCCACAGCTAAGGGGCATGTTTGGAAGCACCAATGCCTTTGGCAGAAAATGCGAACACATCTGGGCTCTCAGCTGCTGCACATGCTAGCTGTGCGGGCAAACTTGGAAGGAGCAACCGGAAAGCAATTTCAAGGGCCATCAACTCCTCCTTGAACAATTTGATTGGCTGAGCGTTACGCAGGAAAAACAAGGCACCCTGCGCTCACCTTTATGCTTTTTCAGCTCTGCGCTGTCTAAACTCTATGAACGCAGCAGAATTAAATGATGCAGCCTTGAGGTGTTACAATGGGCTGTGGCTTTAACCAGGCTGGAGTTGGAACGTCACTAAAATAGCAACAACGTGCTACTCTAGGATTCTAAATCCCCCTGCATGCAGAAAACTGCTGTCTTCATTGTTTGTTATAAAGCCTTTTGTATCTGACAAAGACGGTGACCAAATCCTCTAAGGAAAGGTGGAGGAAGTTGGGTATATTTAGGCTGGAGAAGAGATGATGGAGGGGCCATATGGCAGCCGCCTTCAGATACATGAAGGACTGTCACATAGAGGATGGAGCAAATTTCTCCTCTGTTGCTCTAGTGCAACCTTTCTCAGCAGTGAGTCCCCAGATGTTGTTGGCTTACAACTCCCACCACCTTTGGCTAACAGGACCAATGGTCAGGGGTGATGGGAGTTGTAGTCTGACGACATCTGGGGACCCAAGAAGTGTTAGACACTCAGATATATACCGGTAAGCTAATCACCAAATGGCACTAGCCAAAAGCCATGGCATCATTCACAAAAGGAACAAAAAGAAAAGCAACAATAACCATAAAGACATCAGGCACTGCAGATGCAATAAACCACGATCACTGCTCCTAAAAATTATTTGTTGCATACGATAGAATAGTGAGGGGTTCTCAGGTAGAGTCTGCCAGCTGAAATGTCCGAATCACCTTTGCAATTGACCGCTATTTTATCTAGTTCTTTTCTCCTGATCTTCTTACCGCTAAGGCAGATGGGAGTTGTAGTTCAAAGCACATGGAAGGTACATGAAAGGTAGTGCAGAAGGCTGCACTAACCACTAGATCATGTTGGTTGATCTGTTTGCTCTAAGGTCACCCCTTCTCATCTGCTGCCTGAGGCAGCTGCTCCACACTCTGCTTAATGGTAAGGCTGGCTCTGTTGGAGAAATAAAGGAATTAATAAACAGGGGTTCCAAATGGCCAGGGAATGCAGGGGGTACAGATTGTGACATTTCTAGCCGAGCCCTGCACAGAGATGTCACAGAGTGTACCTAGAGCATTCTGTACCCTTTTGACCCCGTTGTTTATGCATGTTCGTCTCTGCACTCATGTGCATCTGTAAAACTGCTAAATTAGGACAACACACTGCGCATCTCTGCGCCATGAAAAAACTGCTTTGTCTTTCATTTAAGGTGTCACGAGACACCTTTGCTTGTTTCTGCTGGAAGAAACATAACACAGTGACCTTTCTCCAGCGACGCGGTGTGTGAATCAGGTAATCAGGTGCAGGGAATCGAGTGAAATTATCTTTCTCAAGTTGCTTCAAAGGTGACATGGCAGAAGTCTATAAATTCAGGCATGGCAAGGAGAAAGCAGAGAGAGAGAATAAGTTGTTCTTCCTCCCTCATAACCTCTTCATTGGGGGCAGCCAATGAAGCCGAATGTTGGAAGATTCAGGGCAGATTAAATAAAGCACTGCTTTAGGGTTGCAAAGGGACGCGGGTGGCGCTGTGGGTTAAACCACAGAGCCTAGGGCTTGCCAATCAGAAGGTCGGCGGTTCGAATCCCCGCGACGGGGTGAGCTCCCGTTGCTCGGTCCCAGCTCCTGCCAACCTAGCAGTTCGAAAGCACGTCAAAGTGCAAGTAGATGAATATGTACCGCTCTGGTGGGAAGGTAAACGGTGTTTCCATGCACTGCTCTGGTTTGCCCGAAGTGGCTTAGTCATGCTGGCCACATGACCCAAAAACTGTACGCCGGCTCCCTCGGCCAATAAAGCGAGATGAGCGCTGCAACCCCAGAGTCGGTCACGACTGGACCTAATGGTCAGGGGTCTCTTTACCTCTTTAGGGTTGCAAGGAACAGTGTGTTGTAGTCACTATAGCAGGCTGTTGTGTGTGCTTGGTTGCCATAAGCCCATGAGAAATAATTTGATAGCTAAATCAGTAGAGCTATCTCAGGGACATGGGTTCGAGCCCCACGCTGGTTGGAAAATGCCTGCAATGCAGGCAGTAGGATGAGATGATTCTTGCGGCCCCTTCTATAATTCTGTTGTTTTTGAACACAGAACATAGGCTGGGTCAGACCGCTGGTCCATCTAGCTCAGTATAGCCTACACTGACTGGCAGTGGCTCTCCGAGATTTCAGACAAGGATTCTTCATTGGAGATGCCAGGAATCGAACCTGTGACCTTCTGCATGCCAAGCAGATCCACCACCACAGAGCTACAGTGCTTCCCCAGATCTGATGATTTCCAGGATGATGTACAAGGATACAGATATGTGATAGATGGTAAATGATAGATAGATAGATAGATGATAGATAGATGATAGATAGATAGATGATATAGATATAGATAACTGAAAAATTGTCTTGTTGTTGTTTAGTCGTTTAGTCATGTCCGACTCTTCGTGACCCCATGGACCAGAGCACGCCAGGCACTCCTGTCTTCCACTGCCTCCCGCAGTTTGGTCAAACTCATGTTGGTAGCTTTGAGAACACTGTCCAACCATCTCGTCCTCTGTCGTCCCCTTCTCCTTATGCCCTCAATCTTTCCCAACATCAGGGTCTTTTCCAGGGAGTCCTCTCTTCTCATGAGGTGGCCAAAGTACTGGAGCCTCAGCTTCACGATCTGTCCTTCCAGTGAGCACTCAGGGCTGATTTCCTTCAGAATGGAGAGGTTTGATCTTCTTGCAGTCCATGGGACTCTCAAGAGTCTCCTCCAGCACCATAATTCAAAAGCGTTGATTCTTCGGCGATCAGCCTTCTTTATGGTCCAGCTCTCACTTCCATACATCACTACTGGGAAAACCATAGCTTTAACTATATGGACCTTTGTTGGCAAGGTGATGTCTCTGCTTTCTGCAGAGAAAATTGTCTTACCCTGGTGCAAAAAAATAAAATAAATGTAGCTTCAACAGGAGTCAAGCCTCCCTGGGAAGGGCATTTTAAAGCTATGGCTCCTCCTCCCTTGTACCAACACAATGTGCTTCAGCAACTGGTGGTACCTGGAGAAATACCTCTCGTTTGAAGATCTTAACAGCGCAGGCAGTCTGGCATGGGAGGGGGCAGCCCCATGTGTAATGGATTACAGTAATCCAGCTCTACGGTTATCAGAGCATGGATGACTTCTCTGCCACAGCTGGCTGACCAGGCGAAGTTGGTACAGTGGTACCTTGGGTTACATGGAAATCAGGAAAGAGGGCCATGGAAGTGACCTGAGGGCCTCGGACATAAGGTTACCGGGTTAGATTGATGGGAATAAGGACTGACAAATCCTGGAACCAGGAGGAAGGGACGTTGGATAAAGATTGGACTTGTCTATATCTTTCTTTTTCTCTTTTTTTATTATTAGAATGTTTTATAAAGTTGATGAATGATAGAAAAATGTTGGAAGAGATTACCTGGCTTTAGCAAAGATGCATAAAGAATTATGAAAGAATATTATGATTATAAGAAGCTGGTAAGGTTAAGACTTAAGTTTTAAACTTTAAGGTTTATTTTATTACAGAAAGATAGGATTAAATTAGTCGAGGGTAATGTAATGATAGAATTTTATGAAATATGGAAAGGAAAGGATTTGCTGAGATAACTAATATCTAGAATACAAAGGAAGGGAGGAGGAGGAGGTCTACGAAAGAAGGCAATGACAGTTAAGTGTCTGAAAATAATGAACTTGTTTTGTTTTTGTCTTTCATTCTTTTTTCTGTATTTTCTAATTTCTTGTATTTTCACTTTTTGTACTTTTCGTTTTTGTGTAATTTTTGTATCCTTTGAAATTTTAATAAATATCATTAAAAAAAAAAATACATGGAAATCAGGAAAGAGGTGCTTCGCTCATTCTGCTTAGAGGTGCTGGTGTTGCAAGCCAAAAAGAGGGTCCTAGTCTAGGTTAAAATGCAGTTACAGTGGTACCTCGGGTTACATACGCTTCAGGTTACAGACGCTTCAGGTTACAGACTCCGCTAACCCAGAAATTGTACCTCAGGTTAAGAACTTTGCTTCAGGGTGAGAACAGAAATTGTGCTCTGGCAGCGCGGCGGCAGCGGGAGGCCCCGTTAGCTAAAGTGGTGCTTCAGGTTAAGAATAGTTTCAGGTTAAGAACGGACCTCCGGAATGAATTAAGTACTTAACCTGAGGTACCACTGTATAGGCATGAAACAAAAGAGGGCAGGTGCTAATTGTGGGCGCACATTTTTTAAGAGGCAGCCCTGGAATCATCCCATTCCCTGCTGCTTTAGTAATTCACAAGTACATGGGGTCCACGAATGACGTAAAATAGCAGTGCTGTTATTCACCCTGTGCCATCGCAAGCCGCTTCTGCGAATGTCTCTGTCTCCCGGTGCTCTGTCTTTCCCCCCAACACTCCCCTCTTTTCTGTTTCGAAATCCCTACAGCACGCAGTTGCCAAATGGCAACTTCTCTGCTCTTGACAACATCTCCATTAGTGACCCTGTCTTTTTCGAGTCACAAATACCGTTTAGCACTTGATACAAACACCTATATTTTCCTTTCTTATTGGCACACACAATAACTCTCATCGGTTTTGGCGCAGAGGATTCATTTCTCTTTATGCACGTTATCACACAAACCATTTTCTTTCAGAAAGGGCTCAGGGCTGCTTTCAACTGCGTTGCGTTGTGTCCGAGTTTCATTGAATGCTATCTCTCCGTCGCTGGGTTACAACCGAAGATGAGCCGTGCTGGATCAGACCAAAAGACCCTGCATCCTGCATCCTGTTCCCACGGTGGCCAGTCTGGTATGGATTTGTCTAACACCTCCCACCCCCCACCCCCCTTTTTCTACTTTTGCTACCTGCATTGGCTCCTCCGGAGTAAAGACAGAGCGGAAACAGAATAAATGAATGAATGAACACTGGCGAACACTCAGAACACCGACGGACGACAGGGCACATTCATTGCACACACGCCCCCTTTCGGACCAGAATCGCCGTTCACACGTTACGTTCAACGGCCGCGGCAACGCGCGTCCACAAACAAACGCTCGCCCCGCGCGAATGCCCGAGAGCGCGCGCCCACCTCTCGCCCCGACACGGGCGCGACGGCGGCGTGTTCCGCGTGACGTGTGAACGCGCTTCTCCGCCAATACCCCACGCCCCCTTTTTCCTTCATCCATTCATTCATTTCTTCCCGCGCCTCATTCCCCTCCGGCTCGTCGTCTCGGCGCGCAGCACGCGGCACCCACCGCTTCCTTCGCCAGAGCCGTCGGGGCGGAGATCCGGAGATCCTTTCGCCGGGGCAGGAGCGGGTTGGCGGGCAGAGTCGCCGGCTCCGGCGAGGGCGGAGAGGGGTTCGCTTCGCGCTGCTTCTCCTCGGAGTGGAGACGGGTCGAGGGCGCGCCGGGCGCCGTTGCTCATCGCGGCTCGGAGGCTTGGGAACAGGAGGGATCGATTCCGCCCTCGATCCTGCCGCCGGGAGCTGCCTGGACCTCGCCTGTCTTGCAAGCCCGACCCTTCTTCCCCAGCTTGGAGTCGCTCTGCACGTGCTCAGAGGGAGACTCGCCTGCCCAAGGGCTTTTCTGCAGGGAGGTGCAAGGAGCACGCCGGAAGAAGCGGCTGGGATAAAGAAGGAAGGGGCTGCGTAGTTCAGGGGTTTGCATGCAGACGAAGGTCTTGAGTTCGAGTCCTGACAGCTCCAGGTAGGGTTTTTTGCGTGGAGGACTGCTGCCGGTCAGTGTAGACAGCACTGGCCTAGGGAGACCAAATGGGCTGACTCTGTGTGTTCCTAATAAGAGAACTAGAGCGGTTAAAAGGGGGAGGGAGCTTCCTTCCTTAAAAAAATATATATATTCAGGCTAGTGGTCATTTCGGTAACTTGCACGCTAGGATTCATGGTGAGGAGGGGGCATTCTTTAGCCTGTAATGTGCGCTACTATTTTGAATGGTCTCACAGTGTCTGATGATAAGAGTGCATTACCTTGCTTCAAAATGAGGTGCACCTGCTGCGTTGGGGTGCAACCTCCTTCAGCTTTGGGATTCCCATTGTGCCCATTGGGAGGCTGTTGCTCGGAGGGGTAGTAGAAATCCTGAAAGGATCGATTTGCCTACTGCTTCTTAACTGGTGCTGCTGATCTGGCTGGGGTGGAGGCTTAAAAAGTGGCAAAAAGGTGGTCCTGTGATTCCCCACATCAACCCATGCTTAGAAGTTGCCATGGGGTTTTTAAGCCACTTGATTCCCACGTTGGGCTAGAATAAGGATCGCTTCTGACTACGCTTCTTTACAGGACACATAATCTAACTGTACCTGTTTCTCAAATGGTTTTGTACATGTGGCCCCACGGTGCCCAGGTGGCCAAAGAGTGGCAGAGTCATGGCTTTTCGGTGCATGACTTGCGCCTTGCATGATTTACACCCCGCCTTTCTTCCTTCAAGGAACCAGGTTTGCAGACAATGGGGCTAAACTCTGCAACAAGGGTAGGATAGGGCGAGAGAGAAGAATGATGCAGCCAAAGCCAGCCAGGGATTTGAACTCTCTCGTATCTGTGCTTTTGACCCCATGCTCTAGCCACGACATACACTGGCTCTTGAACGCCCATGGAAAACCGGCAATTAGATTTCTTCTGGTGGTAGTGGCTTGCCTTCTCCTGCAGCAGTGAGGCTTGAATGCCAGAGCTGTGCTCTGGGTTGCATCGGGGATTGGTCCCATCAGGACAGGACTTTGGGGCAGTTGCCAGGGACCCCACTCAGCAGAATGAGCCGGAGGGTCTCTAAATGCAGCTGGGTTAGCTGACTGCATTTCGAATTAAGTCAAATAATACATGCTGCTATCAAAAGACCATTAGTCTAAAACTTCCGTAGCCCGTGCTCTAAAAGAGACAGAGATTCCCTAAATGGATGGATGGCATTGCCTGCTGGGAAAAAGATGAACTTCGGTTTCCCCAGAGCTTTGATTTTGCAGCCCAGTTCACACACGCACCTTGTTGTTGTTGTTGTTTTTATGAAAGTGCAGTTTCTACATACAGTCATACCTCGGGTTACAGATGCTTCAGGTTGCGTTTTTTGCGTTATGGACGTGTCAAAACCCGGAAGTACTGGAACGGGTTACTTCCGGGTTTCGGCGGTCGCGCGTGCGCAGAAGCACTAAATCACGCTTTGCGCATGCGCAGAAGCACCGAATCACAACCCGTGTGTGCGCAGACGCAGCGCTGCAGGTTGTGAATGTTGCGGGTTGCAAATGTGCCTCCTGCACGGATCTCGTTTACAACCTGAGCGTCCACTGTATTTAGATAAAGGCATAGAAACAAGGTGTACACTTATCGCTTGATTACTGCAGCATCCATCCCGTGATGGCTTTTGCATGCGAATGGACCACCTCATGCAGAAAGGTTGTACCCATCCTCTCTTGTCCTTATTATGACCACCAATGCTTTCCAAAGGAGTCCATTCTCACTTTCACACAATAGCCATCGCCAGGTGTAGAGTAATCAAGTGAATTAAGGCACATCTGATTATAATTAATTCTGACTTTGTCTCCCCATCGGTGGGCGACTGCTATTCCACATTAGTTAGCTTATCAGTTGTGTGGCCTCAATGGAAAGGCACCTGAAGTTTGGAATTTAGCTTTTATCTCAGATTCAGGCTCTCTTCTGACTCCCATACCCCTGCACACCTTGCTCATCTGGTTTGGGTTGTTATAGAGGCCTTTGTAGGTCATCTAGTCTAACCCTTTGTAGGTCATCTAGTCTAACCCTCCGTTAAGTGTAGGGAAACCAGAGCTCAGCTCATCACTGATGGACGGCTGTCCAGCCTCTGCTCAAAGATCTCAAGCAAGGAAAAGCCCAACCAGCACACCTGGCAATGGCTTCCTTTGCTGAACTCCATCATGAAGCTCCAACCAACACCTTTCCTCCTGGGACTTAAGCCCTTAGATCAGGGGTTAGCAAACTTTTTCGGTGGGGGGCCGGTCCACTGTCCCTCAGACCTTGTGGGGGACCAGACTATATTTTGAAAAATAATAATGAAAGAATTTCTATGCCCCACAAATAACCCAGAGATGCATTTTAAATGAAAGGACACATTCTACTCATGTAAAAACACGCTGATGATGAAGTTTGGATTTGATATCCCGTTTTATCACCACCCAAAGGAGTCTCAAAGCGGCTAACAATCTCCTTTCCCTTCCTCCCCCACAACAAACACTCTGTGAGGTGAGTGAGGCTGAGAGACTTCAAAGAAGTGTGACCAGCCCAAGGTCACCCAGCAGCTGCATGTGGAGGAGCGGGGAATTGAACCCAGTTCACCAGATTACGAGTCCACTGCTCTTAACCACTACACTACACCACACTGGCTCCACTGATTCCCGGACCGTCCGCGGGCCAGATTTAGAAGGCAATTGGGCCGGATCTGGCCCCCGGGCCTTAGTTTGCCTACCCATGCCTTAGATCCTGGCCTCCTCCTAACCAGCTTATTGGTTTGTTTCCATACAGCACCTCCCGCGCCATTTGTTGCTGCCGCCACCACGATTGCCTTGTCTTGCTTCGGGCATGAGCAGTAGCTGACATAGCCTTTTCAGACCGCCCCAGCCCAACCCGTGCCCCCGGCGAGAGCCCCTGGGGATGTACAACGAGAGCAGCCTGCAGGTTGTGATGGATTACGTCGGCGACAACGACACGTTGCCCGAGTACCCTCTGCACCTCTTCCCCGCGCCTCTCCTCACCGGCGTCACCGTCACCTGTGTGCTCCTCTTTGTGGTTGGGATCCTGGGCAACATGATGACGATGCTGGTGGTCTCGAGGTTCCGGGACATGCGGACCACCACCAACCTGTACCTGTCGAGCATGGCTTTCTCGGACCTCCTGATCTTTCTCTGCATGCCCCTGGACCTCTTCCGCCTCTGGCAGTACCGGCCCTGGAACCTCGGCGACCTCCTGTGCAAGCTCTTCCAGTTTGTCAGCGAGAGCTGCACGTACTCCACCATCCTCAACATCACGGCTCTGAGCGTGGAGAGGTATTTGGCTGTCTGCTTCCCGCTCTGGGCCAAGGTGGTCATCACCAAGGGCAAAGTCAAGCTGGTCATCCTGGTGCTGTGGGCTGTATCCTTTGCCAGCGCCGGGCCCATCTTCGTCTTGGTCGGGGTCGAGCATGAGAACGGGACCAACCCATCGGAAACCAACGAGTGCCGGGCCACGGAGTACGCCATCCAGTCGGGGCTGCTGACCATCATGGTGTGGACCTCGAGCGTCTTCTTCTTCCTGCCCGTGTTCTGCCTGACCGTCCTCTACAGCCTCATTGTGAGGAAGCTCTGGAGGAGGAAGAAGAAGGACATCGGGCCCAAGACATCCATCCGGGACAAGTACAACCGTCAGACGGTGAAAATGCTAGGTAAGGGTATCTTGGTTCCGTTTCTGACATGGTGTGTCCCTGTAGACCAGAGTTGGCCAAACTTGGGTCTCCAGCTAGGACTACGATTCCCATCACCCCATCTAGCTAGGGATGATGGGAGTTGTAGTCCTAGCTGGAGGCCCAAGTTTGGGAAACCCTGCTGCTGTAGACTCGAGATGTGAAATTTTGGACCAGCTATAAGGGGTGATATCGAGGGTCAGTCACGCTCATGATAACTTAAGTCTGTTGATGTCACTGGGGCCACATTCACGCTGCGCATTTAAAGCACTGTCATCCCACTTTACACAGTCAAATGTTTTTTTGGGCGGGGGGATATAGTTTGTTCAGGGTGCTGAGAGTTGTTGGAGACCCCTGTTTCCCTCCCAGAGCTACGATTCCTAGAGTGGCTTAACAATCAATCCCTCTTCCCAGGGAACTCTGGGAACTGTAGCTCTGCAAGGGGAATAGGGGGGTTTCCTAACAACTCTCAGCACCCTTAGCAAACTACAGCTCCCAGAATTCTTTGCGGGATAGCCATGACTTTTTAAAGTGGCATCATAGTGCTTTGAACAGATGGTGCGAATGTAGCTTCCGTCTACTCTGAATATGACTTAGTTGGAATTATTGTGTTTATATTTTAATTGCCTTCCACACGTATCTCGAGGCAATGTTTAGAATGCAGCTAAAGCAGCTAAAACACTTTAAGACAACGTAGAAAATAGCGGCAGATTTTTATTTCTTTAATGAAAAATCCATTAGACACCCGTGGCAGAAACTCACTCATCCAGCTGGGCAGGCTTGTCAGAACAAAAAACATCTTCAATGGTTTCTGGAAAGTGCAAATAGCAGGCATCTGTCGTATCGCAAAAGGAGCAAGGTTCTGCAGAACAGGGGCAGCAACACTAAAAGCCCTGCTCTGGGTCGCATGAACACATGTAAAAGGGCTGATTGGGAAGACATCTTTGGCACCCCTTCCATGCATTCAAGGGGTAGAGTTTGCACAGAACCAGCACATGCATAACTGAACACACATAGGCTCCTGTGTGCATGGTCTGGTCCCTTGGAAAATGGAGCCTTACAGATTGCACATGCAGGAGCCTTCATGTGCACACATGTTCAGGTGTGTGCTTGCAGGCTTGGTGCAAATGGCATAGAATGCATGGATCAGCTCCTCCTGTACGTCAATTTGTACTCAAATGGAGGAGCAAAACTAGGACTGAAGCTCCTGAGTGTATGAAAATTCTATTATTAATTATGATAATAGCCTCTGAGCCTCTGCAGTGTATATTTCTCTCACTACTCCCAGGCATAATAAGTATGTGAAAGGATCCCTCCTGGATTCTGATCAAAGGTCTATCAGTTTCACAACTGGACAGGGAAGTCCAGAAGTGGCACATGTGGGCAATACCAGTGGCGTTGTGGTGAAATTCAAAGCGCATGGCATCCCACAGCGTGTAAAGCAAGCAGAAGTAGCCAGTGTGGAATCCAGATATTTGCTGGACTCCAACTCCCATCAGCCCCAGCAGCCATGGCCAACGGCAAGAGAAGATGGGAGTTGTAGTCCAACAATATCTGGAGGACACCATGCTGGGCACCTCAGTTGTATTGGCTAGATTGTTGGACTTGAAGAACAAAGGAACCTACAATATACCAAGTCAGACCATTGGGCCGTCTACACTGACTGACACCAGCTCTCTGAGGGTTTAGACAGGAAGTCCCTCCCATCTCTACCTGGAGATGCTGGGTCTTGAACCTTGGACCTTCCATTGCAAAGCAGATGCCCCAGCACTGGGCTGCAGCACCAATGTCTACTTTGCTAGTGAAGACCTGGGTGTGTATCCCTGATCAGTCGTGGCGTTCTCTGGGTGCCGTGAGCCTGTCACTGTGTGAGCTGAGCCTCCCTCGGATCACGTGCCAGGACGGGCACAAGCTTACAGTGCAGGCACATACTGCTCCAACAGATTAGAGATTCCTCCTCTGTCGCAACACTGGCAATGGCCCATCCATTCTATGCATCTCCCGCAACTGGTATTCAGTGAGATCAATGTGTCTTCAGGAGACGGCAGAGTGCCAATACTGATGGGACCTCTTGGGACCAAGTAAGAAGGTCCATATGGTTTCCTTTCCTGAAAATCTTTCCTTCCTTCCTTCCTTCCTTCCTTCCTTCCTTCTTTCCGAAGTTAACCACTGGACAGTTCTTATTTGAAGTTTTTAATTCACCTTGGCATTAGGGGTTATTCTTGGAACCATTTTTATCATTGGAGGCCCAGGTGGCCTCTGTGGCAAGGACTGACAACAACAACAACAACATTTATACCCTGCCCATCTGGCTGGGCTTCCCCAGCCGCTCTGGGTGGCTCCCAACAGAATATTAAAAACATGATAAAACATCAAACATTACAAACTTCCCTAAACAGGGCTGCCTTCAGTTGTTTATTTCCTTGACATCTGATGGGAGGTTGTTCCACAGGGCGGGCGCCACTACCGAGAAGGCCCTCTGCCTGGTTCTCACTTTTTGCAGTGAGGGAACCGCCAGAAGGCCCTCGGCGCTGGACCTCAGTGTCCGGGCAGAACAATGGGGGTGGAGACGCTCCTTCTGGTATACTGGGCCGAGGCCGTTTAGGGCTTTAAAGGTCAGCACCAACACTTTGAATTGTGCTCGGAAACGTACTGGGAGCCAATGTAGGTCTTTCAGGACCGGTGGTATATGGTCTTGGTGGCCACTCCCAGTCACCAGTCACCTATCATCAGCTTCGGCTGGTTAAGTTGACTACACCTTTTATATTTTAGTTATTGCATTCATATCCCAATTTTCTCCAAGGAGGTCAAGGTTGTGTTCATGGTTCCTCCCCCACAACAACCCTGTGAGGTAGGTTAGAAGAGAAGAAGAGTTTGGATTTGATATCCCGCTTTATCACTACCCGAAGGAGTCTCAAAGCGGCTAACATTCTCCTTTCCCTTCCTCCCCCACAACAAACACTCTGTGAGGTGAGTGGGGCTGAGAGACTTCAGAGAAGTGTGACTAGCCCAAGGTCACCCAGCAGATGCATGTGGAGGAGCGGAGACGCGAACTCAGTTCACCAGATTACGAGTCTATCGTTCTTAACCACTACACCACACTGGTTAGGTAGAGAAGCAGTGACTGGTCCAAGGTCACTTAGTGCATTTCATAGCCAAGTGGGAATATGAACTCTGGTCTGGTCTAGAAGGCTCTTCCTGTGTCCTTCTGCTCTCTTAGGTTATTGTAATGCATGCATTATCAATTAAATGCCCGGCATGTGGCCCCTTTATGAGAAACGTTCATGACCCTGGAGGCCAGCTCCTAGAGAGAGCTATCTCGGAGTTGGGTCCTAGCTGGCAAAGTTTATTTCTACTCTGCGCGGGCTCCAAGGCTTCATCAAGAATCGAGTCTGTTAAACCATTAACTCGGTTTGTAGTGGATTTCTACTTGAACAGCTGAGGACAGAACAGTTATGAGGACAGAGAGATCTGACTCAGCTTCACATGCCTGATGCACTTATGCATAGAAATTCACTAATGAATGCACACAGAGATCCTCTGAAAGGCCACATATAAATATTTTAAATAAACGTAATACAAAGAACTCTGGATCCAGGCACCCGTAACCAACACAGAAACTACTTATACCAAACTTTATCAATAAGTGTTTGTGTTAGGGGTATATTTGTGTGGGGCTTCTCATAATAAAATGCACCCTCTCCAATATTGCCTCCTTTTTTTCTGTTCTAAACAAAAACACCCTAAACGTGTAAAGTTACTATTAAAAGTGCTAAATATACATGGCCCTTGCCAAATTCGGTCACCTCAGGCAACTGTCATTACAGAATTCATTCCACAAACTGTTGTTTTTAAACTGCGTAATCCTAGGCATATCTAATCAGATCTAACCAGTGTTAGAAACAGAGATATGAAAACTAGGAGTTGAATGGCACCTTAAATTATTATGGGCGCAACAATGGAATGTCTGGGCACACTTTTTTTATAACAAGAATTCAAAGCTGAAAATGAATGAACTGCAGGTAAAATATTACGTTCACTTTTCACCTGGTCTAGTCCTTCCTCTGCCCACCTCCTAATATTCTTCAGAGGGTCTCTTCTCCAGTCTTCAGAGAGTAGCTGGAAACTGGGTCCTCCTTTCCTTCCACTCTGCAGTTTTAATCTGAAATCTTAGGTGCAGAGCTCAGAAACTAATGAAATCCTGTCGCAAAATGCGCCTAGAACAATGGGAGTTTCGAACATCATTGAGTTCACTGAGACTTTACTCCCAGGGAAGCGTTAGAGGCTGGCAGTCTAGAAAAAAGCCTAATAATCACTGCAGTCATGCCTGCACACTTGACAGAGTCATTTGATTCTGCGTAGAGGAAATTAAACTGACACAGGCGATGCAAAGGAAGATTTCTTTTATAATTTCATTTTTATTAATGTCTTCTACTTGCCATAAATTGCTACAGAGTGGCCTATGTTTGTTCTGTTAAATTAAATCTGGGCAAGTAGTTCTGTAACCCTAGACACACTTCTCTGGAACTGTGTGTAAGCCCCACTGACCTGCAAGGGATTTACTTCTGAGTAGACATGCAGAGGTTTGCACTGTGGAAAAACTGTATGATTTATCATCATAAGAACTGGGCAGAGGGGTCTTCAGGATTGCAAGATTACCACACTTTTCTGTGTATAAGACTAGCTTTTTTAAAAAAAACTAAAAAAAGAATGTTAAAAAGGGAGGGGGTAGTCTTATACATGGGGGCAATCTCCCCCCATTTTCTTAATTTTGAGTCCCCCAAAACAGGGGTCATCGTGATATACACAGAAAAATACAGTAAATACCTTTGATGGAGGGGAGGTTTGTGTGTTATGTTTTGACTCTGGGATTTAAAAGAAAATCTGGACAGAACCCCTTTCTCTAGTAACAACAGTCCCACTGTCCAAGGTCTTAGTACTGTTCCTAGTTATTTCTTAGCTATAAAGAATTGAACATTGAAGAGAGAAATGAATATACGGCAGAATATTTTGCCCGCAATTTAGGTAACATTGCCTAATCCAAAGCTTCTAGGCAAATGCAAGTCCCCATGAATTTTGGCTCCAATTAACAGCATGTGGATGGACTCAGGTGTTCGTCTGGCTGTGTTTAGTGGGTCTTATTTGCGGGGAAGTGTGCATCAGATTGCAGCCCAAACCTTACTTTATGGCAGGGAACCTGTGGCTCCCCAGATGTTGTGGGACCCACCCACCCCTAGCCAGGGGAGCCTGTAGCTGCAGTCCCGAAATCTGGACCGCCACAGCTTCCTCACCCCTGTATAGGGTTTATTTCTATACTACTAAGTCATATAAAGGTACAGGTAAAGGGACCCCTGACCATTAGGTCCACTCGTGGCTGACTCTGGGGTTGTGGTGCTCATCTCGCTTTATTGGTCGAGGGAGCCGGCGTACAGCTTCTGGGTCATGTGGCCAGCATGACTAAACCACTTCTGGCGAACCAGAGCAGCGCACAGAAACGCCGTTTACCTTCCCGCCGGAGCGGTACCTATTTATCTACTTGCACTTTGACGTGCTTTCGAACTGCTAGGTTGGCAGGAGCAGGGACTGAGCAACGGGAGCTCACCCCGTCACGGGGAATCGAACCGCCGACCTTCTGATCAGCAAGCCCTAGGTTCTGTGGTTTAGACCACAGCACCACCCGCGTCCCTTACTAAGTCATATGGATACCATCTAAGTTGTGTAAAGCAAATATAAAATGCAAGGAAAATACAGAAACAGGGAACATCATCATAAAGAGCAGGTCAAACACATAGCATTCATTCAAACAAAAGGGCCTTTTGGCGCAAGAAAATCTTCTCAATGGAGATGGGGCCAAGTTTTCCCGGCAGAAAGCTCCTTGATACAGGATTTCATTCTGAAAAACGCTGCACAGCTTTCATGTGAGCCCTGAGAGCCGAACTCCCTGTGATGTTAAGTGCATCTTTGCATCTAGCAAGCAGAAGAACTGAGCTGCAGATTGCAAAAAAACAGCTGTGGGAGGAGGATCAGGGATCAAGGTAGAGCAGGTGTGGAGAAAGGGGGTGGGTTTAACCCTCGCCTCTCCTGCTGTGGTGTGAGGAAACTCCCACTGCAGACGCCAGCACTTTGGTTGAGAGGAAATCCTTCATGGGTGCTAGTGAGAGATTCCCTTCTAAAGCTTCACTTCAGCTTACTGAGGGATTTTTCTCAGCAGGTCAGGGTGTGCATGCAATAAACTTCCCCACTTCACTCCTGTTCTGCTCTCATCATTTTCAGCCCCCTCCAGATGATGATTATAAAATATACAGTACTTCTATAAGTATAGTTATCGCAATTAATAATAACTTATTATTTTGTTTTTCTGGATTTTTAATATTTATATTTTTATTAAAGTGCTTTCAAGTAAAGTAAAGAAATAAAGTGATACAGGGTGGAAAAAGAAGGAAAAGTGAGAGGGAGAAAAACAACAACAAAGGTACATGTAAAAGGGGGGAAGCAAAAAAAAGAGGCAATATACGAGAATCCCTTACATTTTTGTATAAATTGGCATAGTATTATTGTCCTAGTGCTTATGTAAACGTTAATAGCCAACCAGATTTTGTGTAAACTCATTCATCCCAAATGTTATCGTATTTATCCATACAGATTCTGCACCTGTAAGCAGTCCATTCATAAATGACAAGGGATGTCATATATCATCAGTCCATTGATATCATACCTTTATTTTTCCAATTCCTCAATATCAATCTCCTGGGCACCATTAACCCACGTGAAATTCATTAATAATAACTTTACATGTTTGGGGTCTTTTTTCTTAGGACAGCAAAAAAAGGCAAAATTGGAGGGGGTGCATTTTATGCAAGGCGTTCTCCTTCTGCCCCTCCCCCTTTTCTGTTGCGCAATGGGGTGGTGCAAACTTATGCGCACTTAGCCAATGCTCACTGGGCCAGGAACGTAACCCCTGCACAAATCTGCCATTGCCTGTATTATGAGCAGTAGTAATGGCCACATCTTTAGGGTCGCTACCTGCTTTTTGAGTTTTATTTTGTTGGCCTGTTGTAGCTGTTGTTTTGAGCTAGGCTCCTCCACCACTATGTGGAGCAAGTACTGAATATTTTTTCTCAGCTGGTAGAGAGAGAATTCGTGTTGGCTTACACTCCAGGGTGGGGGAGCCTGTTGTTATGGATCGTGCCCCCTCGGGTGCAGTTCTGTAGAAGGGTGTTTGTGGTGTTGCAGGGAAAAGTAGCAAGGGAAGATGGATGCCCAGGAAAGTGTGGAAGGGTCAAGCAGCCCCTCCCAGCTGCTGCTTTCCTAAGGCAAACTACACCCCCTCTTCCTGCTTCCCAGCAGATTTCCAACACCAGCTTTCCAGCACCAGATTTCTAGCTGGGCATTTCACTATTAACTTACGCCAGTGAAGCCAGTGTGGTGTAGTGGTTAGGAGCAATGGGCTCGTAATCTGATGAACCGGGTTCGCTTCCCTGCTCTTCCACATGCAACTGCTGGGTGACCTTGGGCTAGTCACAATTCTCTGAAGTCTCTCAGCCCCACTCACTTCACAGAGTGTTTGTTGTGGGGGAGGAAGGGAAAGGAGATTGTTGAGACTCCTTAAAAGTAAAGGTAAAGGTAAAGGGACCCCTGACCATTAGGTCCAGGTTTGACCGACTCTGGGGTTGCGGCGCTCATCTCGCTTTATTGGCCGAGGGAGCCGGTGTACAGCTTCCGGGTCATGTGGCCAGCATGACTAAGCTGCTTCTGGCGAACCTGAGCAGCGCACGGAAACGCCGTTTACCTTCCCGCCGGAGTGGTACCTATTTATCTACTTGCACTTTGACGTGCTTTTGAACTGCTAGGTTGGCAGGAGCAGGGACCGAGCAACGGGAGCTCACCCCGTTGCAGGGATTCGAACCGCCGACCTTCTGATCAGCAAGTCCTAGGCTCTGTGGTTTAATCCACAGCGCCACCCATGTCCCTTTTTTGAGACTCCTTAGGGTAGTGATAAAGCGGGATATCCAATCCAAACTCTTTTTCTTCTTCTACGCCACCTCTGTAAATCAGCAGGGTGAAAGGAGAACGGCTAGCAAATAATATGGTATCTCCATTTCTCCCTAACGTCTTCTCTCTTTTTCTTCTTCCTCCTCTTCCAGCGGTGGTGGTCTTTGCTTTCATCCTTTGCTGGTTGCCTTTCCACCTCGGACGTTACCTGTTTTCCAAATCCTTTGAGGACGGATCCTTGGAAATAGCCGTCATCAGCCAATATTGCAACTTGGTGTCTTTTGTCCTTTTCTACCTAAGTGCCGCCATCAACCCAATCCTGTACAACATCATGTCCAAGAAATACCGGAAGGCGGCTTACAGGCTCTTCGGCATCAAGACACACAGGAAGAAAAGGCTGTCGGGGCTGAAGGAGGGAGGGTCTCGAGTGTGGGCAGAGTCCAGTGTCAGACAAACATGACGCTGCCGACTGGACCTAGCCATCACCTAAAGCCACAATAGAAGGGGAAATATATTCAGGTTAAAGGAGCTCCCTGGTAGACCATCTGCTTTGCATGTAGAAGGTCCCAAATTCAACCCCCTTTATCTCCAGGTGGGGTTGGGAATGTTTCTAGTCTGGAACCCTGGAGAGCTGCTGCCAGTCAGTGTAGACTATATGGAGCTACATGCAACCGATGACCTGGCTCAGTAGAAGGCAGCTTCCAGTGTCCTTATCTGCAGAGCTTTCTGTGGAGTGGCGAGTGCATTATGAAATAAGTTTTGTGCATAATAAACATCAGCAGAGAAAGAGACAAAATCCCTACCTTTTCTGTCATTTTCAGTGATTCTCTGTCACTGGGAAGAAAGGTGGTTTGCCATCCTCAAGATGCAGGACATGAGGTAATAGGGCTGTGTTTTACTGGTAAACAGCTCAGGGGGGGGGGGCAAGCGGCAGGAGCTGGTCAGAGCCAGGATGGGGGGTGGTGCTACAGAGAGCCCAGGAAGGGCAATGAAGGAAATTCTAGAGTGATGATGCACAGAGTTCATTTCCTGTTCCCATTTCAAAGATCCCATGAAGATATCAGGGCCATGCCCAAGGTAGAGGGGCTCTCTTAGCTTGCATCTCTTTCAAACGAAACCTATTGATCGTCACTCCACCAATCTGCCAAACAGCAGCAGATGTACACATGTAACCGGCCAAAGAACAGGGAACGTGAACACAGAATCCAGTGTCTCTGGGGTTTGGCATGAGTTCGTTTGGATTCACCGAATTTGTTCAAGAATCTCCGAACTGCACCTGAAAGCAAGCTCCCATAATTGCTGAGTGAACCAACCATGAATTAAGAACGTTGAACAATTTTTAGCTCATCTTCAAGTCCATCCTCTTACATGTGTTGTTGTTTTTTACTCTTTAAATTCCCTGGGCGTTGAAAGATCGCATTTGTTGTGGGGACTTGATTAAATCATTCGCATTCTACTTTGTGTTCTGATGCTTTTGCAGCCACCTTAAGTATGTTTTATGCATCATCACAGTAGCTTGTAACATTCTGAATGCTGAAAGTGTTGTTGTTGTTTTTTGCTGAGGATTGTTTGGGTGAACATCAATCGAGCTGTGAACTAAGCTAGTTCATTTTGTAAATGGACGAGCCTGAACTGTAATCCCTTCTTGGACATGTTGAAGCTGAACCAGAACTCATTTCTTTTTAAAGTTAGCTTTCCAGGCTCTGGAAACATCTGTATAGAAGGGGGGAGGGATGTGTGGACCTAGAAGTTCGCTGAGTGTTGTGGATTGAGGGGGATGCAATATGGACTCTTACAGGTGAGTGGGGCACCTGTGAGAGTGGGTGAGTGAATGTGATCTTGCCAAGAGTTGATAAGCATTGGATAGCCACGATTCAGCAGTAGGGGGAAGGAGAGGAAGTAAACATTAAAGTCTCAGGACAGCCCTGCTCCTATGAATGCTACAGAGGTCACTGACAGATCCGAAAAGTGTCTCCATTTAATTCTTACACAAACACAAACACAAACACAAACACACACACACACACACCAAAATGATGCAGCTCCTTTCTATACAATAGCTGACACACTCAGCTATTGAAAGGGCTGCTGCCTTTCAATATGAGTGAACAGAATGTCAGCAATGAATGTTTAAAAATGGCCAGTGAGAACCTTAGCTCCCTACCCTTTTTTTTGTTTACTATAGGAGTGCCAGGTTTGCAATATTCATCCTAATCATAGCCAAATGCTGGTGCTCAGGAAAAATAAAATAAAAATTACACGGAAATGTTGGTGATCTCCGCTTAGGGCTGACTTGCACAAACAAGTATATCACCTGACAGTTTGTCACAGGATGCTTTCTGGAAAGATGTCAGTGGATGGTCTCAAACCTCGTGTTGTTGAGGCACAACAAGTGCCAGGGACTAGGGGCTGTCTTGAGGTGGGGGCTCGGCCCCAAGTTATTTTGAGCTGGGCTGTATCCCTCACACCTCGCCTTCTTTTATTTATTTATATTACCTGTTCAATTCGTAGAGTCCTTTCACGCAGACAAGACCATTCCCATTCTTCTCACAGATTTACCCAGAGGCACAGGGAGCAAGGAAAGTGACCCGCAGATCTTTGTCGATCTTATGGAGATATTGGTACTTAATCCAATGAAGAGTCCTCTCTCCCTACGTGCCTCATAATTACAGCTGTTCTGTCAACTCGCAGTCCTCCAGAGTGCCAGATTCTCAAATCTAAAATCATGCAACTTAAGCAACCTTTTACATTTATTTCAGTTTTGCCCTCAGCATCTTTCTTAGTCCCAAGTGCCTATAACCTCAACACTTCTGTTCAACATAACCAACTGGCCGTGTAAATGAGATGGTTCAAGTGTAATGGATGGCAGAATCTGGTTTCTTCTCATGATGGTTTGTGGTCTGCATGATGCGTTTTGATGCTTAAGGCCTTGCTATCTATAAAGCATTGAATCCCTCACAGTGGCCATGGGGAAAAACCTTTACAAACGTCAAAAACGGCTTAATATGAACATATGTGCCTTTAACTTGCTAAAAACGTGCCTTCACCTGTTACTTCAAACCATTGCTTTTCAAGTATCTCCAAAGGGGAAACAAAATAAAAGCCCCTCAGACATTTGAAACTGTTTGTGTGGGGATGACGTGTCTGCTTTAATCCTGCCACTAACTCTGCTATTTCAATTTCTTTGTTGCTTGTCCTAACCTTTCCGGTAAACAGTATTGAGGAACCTCAATAAACAAGATGAAGAAAACCATTGTGCAAACTTTTATGTTTTTCTGGAGAAGGGCCGTAGCTTCGTGATATGGCATCTGTTTGGCGGGCTGAAGGTCCCAGGTCCGACACATGGCATCTTCAGGTCAGATTGGGACTGTTCCTTATCGAAAGCCCCAGAAAGCTTCTGACACTCAGTGTGAACAATATTGAGTTAGACCAGAGCTCTGACTCAGTAGACAGCAGCTCTCTATATTCTTATGACACCTAACAACTTGGCCATCTCGTGCAATAGCCCCCTTCCTCTGAAAAGGATGCAACCTCCCCCCGCCCAAGCGATGCATAGTCTTTCCCCTTCTCCCGTCCTTCAGAGAAGATGAAAGGATCAAACCATTTTCAGTAAACTGGCCGCAGAAAATCCTGTTGGAACTCCTGAAGGGGGGGGGGGGAATTGATTTAGAATGGGCTCAATGTGTGTGTGTGTGTGTGTAAATTAACAGAAGAGGAACGTATTTGGGATGTGGTGCAAATTAACCAAATACCTGGCTGGGTGGTTAATGGGAAGTGCATTCATTGAAGGGGGATTTGGATGGGAAATTAATTGACTTGCCTTTGAAGAAATGGGCGTTCTGCCGCTGTAGCAAAATGTAGGACCACAGGAGAGATTTGCAAAGCTGGGGTCGAAGGGCACGTGGCTGTCGCGCCCTCCTCATGCCGCCCTCTTTGCAAGGCTGGCTGGCGCAGTGGTCTCCATTCCCCTGGCAAAACATTAGCCACCATCCGTAACGATCCCATGAATAATGTCACGGTCATTTTCACTTGACAAACTGTGTTTCATATGGCTCGGCCCTGCAACCCCCGAGTCCTTTGGCTCTTCCCTACGACCGACCGTATTTTTCACTCCATAAGACGCACTTTTTTCCTCCAAAAAGAGGAAATGTCTGTGCGTCTTATGGAGTGAATGTGTGGTCCCTGGAGCTGAATTGCTCAGGGGTGAAAAGCAGATTGTGCCTTTTTTTTTTTTTAGAAAGAGGGAAGGGGGTGTTGAAACAAAGCCGCTTAGCAGCTGATCGGGAAGCGATGGGGAGGGAGATAAGGGACGCTAGCGATAAAGGAGGCTGCCTGGGAGGGGGGTGGTAAAAGCCCATGGATCCTCAGGATTTTTGCATTGGGTCACCCCAAATTCACCATCACATCACATCACATCACATGTCCATGGCTACTGCCTGCACCAAAAAATCACGCATCCACTGTTTCGTGGGGCCGCAATGGTGCAAAAATGTGGTTACAAACCATGGATCCACATGGATTCTCAGGATTTTTGCACTGGGCTACCCCAAACTCACTGTCAAATCACATATCATGTCTGTGGCCACAGCATGAACCACAAAAATCATACATCCACTGTTTCGTTCAGAATTTCCCCCCCTTGTTTTCCTCCTCTAAAAATTAGGTGTGTCTTATGGAGGGAAAAATATAGGTATTTATTACACATTCATCCCGATTTGCTTATGGGGAGGTTAGACCATGTCTGGTCTTTACTGAGTTCTGGTGTGTCTGCAGGGCACTTATACGACAAGGAGCATTCATCCCAATTTGCTTATGGTCTGTTTATACATCTTTCTGTTAATCATCCGTTCACCCCACACTTTTTGCTACATTTCCCCATCAATTTCCTAAGTACAAGTAAAAACAAAACAAAACAAAAAGTGGATTTGTTGTACCAGGGCGACAAGAGTTCTTTAATTGCGCCAACCTAAATTTCTGGTCTGCACCTGAATTCCCACCCACAAAACAAGGACAGTCTGGAGGCAACCTTGTAATTGCAGTGCACAGCATCCGAGACGACACTTTGGCTGCCTCCACATTTTGCAGCTGAAGTTCCTACCTTTACAATTGTTCTCCTTGCTGCCAATTTCAGCAAGGTTGCAGGGCTTAATGAGCCAGAGAGAACTTCCCATCACACTGTGGAGGCTTCCATTACTCACTGCAAAGCCTATCAGCCAGGCTGAGGCTGCCCGTGCCTCTTCAGGACAATGCGGGAGCCTGGACTAAATCAGACCACTCTGGGGGAACAACCATAGGCACAAGAAGCTGGCATAAAGCAAGCTGGAGTCAGTAGAGTCAGAATCGTATTCAGGCTCCCTTGTGGTCTTGGGAAGGAGCTATATTGGGGCCATCCCCATCCTTTGAACAGGGGAGCAGCAGCCCTGGGAGCACGTGGATAGCTCCCAGCCCATTCTGAGCCAGAGTGGAGAGGCACAATTTTTGTGAACCGCTCCCAGGTCTGTACCCTTGGTGGAGGCCAGTGGCGTAGCATGGATTGCAAGCACCCGGGGCCACACAGAGAGGTGGGAGGGAAACAGACGGAGTATGCGTGTACGTTCAACTGCCTAGCGGTGTCTGCGTCACCCAGGAGACTGCAGCAAAGCAACAGAAGAGCTGTGTTGAGGCAGCACCGGGTGTTGAAATTTTGCACCCGTTAACCATTTCCCGCCTGGGGCCACCGCCCTGGTGGCCCCCCATGCTACGCCACTGAACCTAGCCAACCTCTAGGTGTGCCCCTGCATAGAGTTACACCAGATACGACACTAAATGGTACCAAGTCACCCAAACGTAGCTGGCGTGTTCTCAGAACCTGCTTCCTGAAGGCGACAGTGATGTTCAAAGTGCTAAATTTGATCCTGAAAACAGACATTTGTTTAGACGGCCTTGATTGCTCATAAGCATTCACACACCCCCCCAGGTTGTTTCCTTGTGAAAGCTACCTCCCAGGGAGCCAGGCATGAGTACGATCCATTCCGTTTCTTATCTTTTCAGTCATTTTCCACATTGTTGCCTGCTCTATATTGACGTAGAGTCTACAGCAGCCCCCTACAGTCTTTCGCTACACATGGGAGAAGATTGGAATCAACACTCTGTTGAATCTGTAGAAGAGGAGCTCGTTGACAGGTTTTTAACACCTTGACACTTACGCAATAGAAGGGAAGGAGATGGATCAAGTTCGCCACTTAGCAAGATGAACAGGACTGGCCTCAAAGGCTGCTACTGACCACAGCCCAATAGACTTGGCCCTTCTCTTTGCCACTGCAACCTATTCATAAGGCTATCGGTGGCTACCAGGCACAGAAAAAGGAATCTTGATATCAATAAAGAATTAAAACATTTATTGGGCATAAATATATTACATATACACTACAGATACAGATACATACATAGCGTAATATTTGCAAAAATCTATACATTAAAATCGATATGGCAGTTTTAATACAATGCGTATGAAATAGTTAAATTTACAATACAAGAAAACTTATGATTATTTCTCTCAAGAGTTGAAAAGCTTGGAATGTATATGTCCTATTAGTGAGGTAAAAAAACAAAACAAAAAAACCCAAAAGAAAAACCAACCCTTTTATTATTATCATTTATTTATTTTTTCAATTTAAAGAATTGTGCAAGGATAATGTTCGGAAACATTCAATTTAGGGCACTTTTCCCATGATAACAGTGAATACTGATTTACTGTCGCTGACGAAAACAGGATTAGAAAACTACAACATTTCAAGTTCATAAAGGACAAAGGCAGATAATATAAAAATGTTTCTTTTCCTCTTAAATAGTTTCTTAAAATACTTTCCCCACTTTGCATTTTTTATTTTTTTATTTTTACAATTCCTTTTAAAGTCTATAGGATTGGGAATGGGGAGCTTGCCTGTACACAGCAGAGACTGATTTTGGGCCGGGACAGACGTACAGTATAAGGAAATATAACAAAGCCATCAGCAGAAACAAGTCTGCTGTTTACGGAGGCAGAATCAGGAATGATTTGGATTTGCAACACTTTTGTTCTATATCTGCATCAGAGAGGTTAGTTCTAGTCAATCCCTATGGCATAAATGGCAGTGTTTGCAAAGAGAACCATACATGTCACCCCACGATATTTCATGGATCATGGCAGTGTGTGTGGAAGGGGGGAGAGGGCTAAGGAAGAGACATTTGATTTTCGAAACTACAATAAAAATACGTAACAAATTATTTTAAATACTTTCTCGATAATAAAGTGTTACAGACTTCCCTCCTCGTCACATTTATTCAACCTTATGTAAAACTACAATTCCATATCTTTTATTTTTAAACACTCAAAATGTATAAATCTCAATTTCTAGAGCGCCTTTACAAAGTTTACAGTAGTTTGTTTCCCACTCAGTTTTAAAGGTGTTAGGAGATTTTTGCTGTAGTGAACCAGTTTTTTTTTTGTGGGGTTGTGGGGGGTGGAGGAGGAAGAGTGGGGGGTGGGGAAGGGACCTCTACAAAATTGTGGCTTTCCCAATGATCAGCTTTCAAAACCAGCTGGCCCCACTCCAGATAAAAGTTAGCTACAGCGAAGACCAAGGGCGATACATTGCTTAGACATTAGAAACCATGGGAGCCCAACATCCCAGGACTCACTTCTCCCGTTAAGTTCAATGAAATTTATGCACAACTAACTTTTTCTAGAAGGGGCACTTCCCCCTCCCCTTAAACAGACAAAATTTCACCAAAACAACATGTCCGGAACTTATATTTGTGGTCACCCAAATTTCATACAAGAAATAAATTTAAATTAAAACACACACATATAAACACCACTAGGAACATTTGACAAGCCATTGACTTTGGCCAAAGGAAGTGGGGAAGAGAAAGAGGCAAGTTAAGCTCAATACCATTAGTTTTCTAGGCAAATTTATAAACTAACGATAGTCAATAACAAGATACAGAACCTTTGTACTAGTTTGCTACATCTAGAGAGGCACAAAGAATAATTTGTCAAACCTTAGAATGTCCTTCCAAGAGATGGTCATATTTTTCGTTTCACTTTAGTTTTGGCTACATGTAAACTTTTCGGTCGTTGATCAAGCGTATAATTCGACAAGCTCTGATACTAGACAAAACCCCACAGATAATTCAGTTTCAAAGCCATTCCACAGCAAGAGGCTTGGCTTATCAGGCCCCATATCAGAGGGGAGGGGTTCGTTCTTTTTGGCAATTAATATACTAAGACACTCCCATTATTTTCCCCCCAAAAAATGCACAAGTAAAATTGTAAGAAGCTTAATAATCCTAGGAATGCTGATGTCGGTAAACCTACACTTATATAAAACAAAAACTGACAATAAAATAAAATTGAAAATATAACATGCTACAAAGGAAGGGGGCGGGGGAAATTTAGTACATAAGTACACTTTTTATTTATTTTATTTTTTTACAATAAATAATAAGATTGCACTGTAATTGGCATTTAAAGTACTGTATGCAGTATATAGTATAAATAAACCTAGATCAAAAATAATGTTGGTTCCCCCATTACTTTGGTTATGGGAATATACGCTACTACAGGGACACTGCGTCGTAGCTAACATAGAGGACAGAAGAGCCAAGCCATACCAAAGACAGCAAAAATATACAAAATGATTATTTCTGTTTGTTTTCTCCTTTTAAAAAGCAGGGATATACAAAGTGTTGGAACTTCTCCGACAGCTGCCCTGCCAGGCCAGGAGTCGCGAGGCAGGTGTCTGCCCTGTGCAAGCGCTGCAGAAACGCAACTCGAGTCCGTTGCGACTCGGGGCCGTGTTTACAAGGGAAAAGTTCCTGGCCCTGTGTCTGCTACGCCCTTTTGGAATCCACTCGCCCCTCCTGCCTATCAATATCCCTGAGGCACTTGGACAACATTGATATTGTGTAAATAAGCCAATGATTCATATATCAAGGATTTTGATGGACTGGATAAACACGGCCATCAGGGCCAGTGATGTAAAGACAATGTTCCGAAAGGAAGAAAAGAAAAGAAAACAACACAACCCTGACGTTGGCTCTCGCAATGGGTCACATTTGCTGCGGGAAGAGCACAAGCTTAAGGCTGGACTGAGATATTATGGGATGCACACTGAAGATAGCGGCCGCCCTGCCTTCTCTTCTTTCGTTTCTCCCTACTTACTGCAACATGGGTGATGCAGTGTGTGTGCCCTGGAACATCGCCCAGGAAGCAGCAGCCTCGAGAAGTTGAGTGGGGCTAGAGGACATCTTGCAATGCGCCGAAGTCACATCCCGCGTTTTGTCGGGGCAGGCGCTTCCTGGGAGAGGAGCAGGTTGTGACGCTCTGCAATGCCTCACATTCAAATTATGCCTCCTGGGAGGCCTCATTCCCAGGTTTCCCCAACACAGATGGGCGTCTTTTTCCTCCCCTCTTAAGTGGCTGACTGAACAATTACTTAACGTCAAAAAGGTAATAATACTTAATATAAATAGCAAAGGCAGCAAGC